ATTCCGAGAAGAAGTAGACAAAGTGTTATCGGGGATTATGTTCGTCGTACTGTCCATGGCATTCTCTATGCGAAAGACTTCGTTACAGCAGCAATCAACGCGGAGCCCCATGCTGCGCTAGCATGGGCTGGGGTCGTGATGCTGCTCCCAGTAAGCGATTCCTTTTCACTTTGTCTCTCACGGCATAACACTAAAATCACATTTAAGCTGTTCTTGAAACCATTTACCCAGCGTGAAGATGCTGTGGCAGGACTCGAGTTTATCTCAGATCTTTTGGTCCGATATCAGGTTATCCAGAGCTCACATGCTCGAATGTATATGGATTTCCTAGGTAAAAGGTACATATATGGTTTGCTCCACCGTTCACTGTCAATATGGCAGGATCTACCTGGTGATATAGTTAAAGGTCATATTCTAAGGTCATGATATAGTGCTCCTGAGGATGGATCCAAGGTGGGCCTTCGGCTCAGAGAAAAGACTATTACTTTATACTCTCAGGTATTGGAGTACCAGATCCGACTGACGAAGCAACTCTCTCGCTTCGGACTTATCCAGTATATGAGAGATATTGCGACCGCTGATGACTGGAAGGAAATGCTCACGGAAATCAAGCACACTGACAAATCGATCGAAGAATTATTAGGGGATTGGTCAAAGAAGACGGTCCAGGAGATCCATACCGAACTTTTCTCAATGAAACGCGAGGTCGAAGGGCGGTTGAACATTGTCCTTGACGCCATCAACGTAAGATACATAGTGTCCCGAGGTCGACCATCTACATGTCATAACTTAATTCACGATAAATCTAGACCCAAGCATCTCAAGATCAACTAGATACCCTCCATCCAGTTACGCGCGCTGCCTTTGGCTCATATGAACAAGCTAGAGAAACATGTCTTGTCGGTACTCAGATACCATTGCTTCAACTAGTTCAAAATTGGAGCAACGATGCCCAGGGCGAACCTATTCTGTGGCTCCAGGGTATGGCCGGTACTGGCAAGTCCACAATTGCCCGAACCGTGGCTTCTGCATTCTACAACGGAACATCTTTATTAGGCCAGGAAACCCTACCCAGTGAGGCGTGTCTTGGTGGTAGCTTTTTCTTCGACCACAGGGATGAGGACTGTAGAAATCCTAGGAAACTCTTTCCCACCTTAGCAAGAGGCCTAGTCGAGGTTCTACCGGAAATTCAACAATCCTTATGTGATGGTATTCGTAGCCATCATGCCACCCATGCACAATCCTTAGATGCCCAGTGGAAACATTTGATCTTCAACCCTCTGAAGATGCTGAAAACAGCGCTTCCTGTGACAATACTTTTTGTTCTTGATGCCTTGGACGAGTGCCAAGCTGGAACTAGGGAGGATCAGGATGACATCAGCGATATACTGGCTCTTCTCAGTCAGGTTCGGGAGTTACAGACCGTCAGAGTTCGGGTACTCATTACTAGTCGTCCGGAAACACATATACGCTATCGATTCAATGAGATGCCAGAAAGTATTCGTGACGAAACCGTGTACAAAATCCGACGGCTAGATGGAGAAGAAGTAACGGCAGATGATATTACTCGTTTAGTTGAATATAGGTTGTGGGAAATTAGAAGGAAGCACGATCTCCCGCGGAACTGGCCTGGAGAGGAGAGGATCGAACAGCTAGCTGAGAAAGCAGATGGGCTGTTCATATATGCAGCCACGGTGTGTCGATTTCTTTCAACAGCCAACAGAAAAACGATTGAAGATCGCCTAGGGAGGATCCTCGACGGTGATGTGGGAGAGACCGCCAAAGAGAGCCTGGACGGAATGTACACTAGAATCCTCCAGATAGTGCTTACTGGAGAAGTGGACAACGACCAGGCAATGTCCGACTTATTTAAGCAAGTAGTTGGCCCCATTCTTGTTCTATCCAGACCGCTGTCAATCATAGCCCTAAGCAGGCTTATTGAAGTCGAGCTTAGCGACACAAGATGGCTTATGGAGCACCTTTATTCGGTCCTGGAAATGCCTCAGGGGGATCACGGCCCCATTCAATTGCTACATCTATCATTCAGGGATTTTCTTCTGGCCTCTCAGCGATGCAAGGATAACCATTTTTGGATCGATGAGAAGCAATCTCATCGCAACCTGTACCAACACTGCCTGAAGGTCATGTCTAATACCCTGCGGCGTGATATATGCTGCCTTGAAGCCCCCGGTATTCATGTGACAGATATAAAACCTTCAGTCGTTCATGAATTTCTTCCCGAGCAGGTGCAGTATGCCTGTAGTCACTGGGTGGACCATCTTCAGCAGAGTGATATTGTGGCGTCTAATGACACAGTGCTTTATGACTTCCTGAGAACACGCTTTGTCCATTGGCTCGAAGCTATGACTGTTATGGGAAGGGTCCCAATCGCGATCATGATATTAAATAACCTAACCACTCTACAGGTAAATACCTCATAACCTCAGTGCTGCATTTATGCTAATGGATGTAGCTGGAGACTAACGCAAAAATGTGGAGACTGGTTCATGATGCACGACGGTTCACTGTCAGCTTCAGATCAGTGTATGAGAAGGCCCCTTTGCAACTTTACGCATCTGCTTTGCTGTTTGCACCGCAGGAAAGTGTCATTCGATATGAGTTTCGAGAAGAGATTCCTGCTTGGATATCTCAGAAGCCAAGTGCTCATCAGTATTGGAGCCCATTACTGCACACCATCCCAAAGCCTCGCAGTGAGGTGATCGAACGCTTAATATTCTCAGCTGACAGCAGGCTAATGGTAGCGGTATCTTCGTATATGTACTCACATGTGTGTCGGTTATGGGATACGTCAACTTGGGTTTGCCTGAAGTCGCTTGAAGATCAAGGTAACATTCGAGATGCTGCCTTTTCACCAGACAGCAAACAATTAGCAACCGTATCGGAGGCCGGATCCGTCCGGCTCTGGAATACACACACTGGGAGATCAACGTTTCTCGAATCAGATTCAAGTGCCATAACCTTCGTGGTATTTTCGTCAAATGGTGAAAGGCTCGCAGCTAAATCTAACGAAGAGATCAAGATTTGGGACTTAGCATCGGGGAGACTGCTACAAAGAATGCCCAATAAAAGGAGCACAATGATTTCCATCTCCCCTGATGGCAGATTTATAGCATCTTTGGATGCTTTTGATGTTATCGTTTGGAATGTTTCACAGAGGACGGTTGTACACACTCATAAGCAACAGGGGGTCCACACAATCGAATTCTCCCCTGAAGGGAATCTGCTGGTTGCATCCAAGGACGGCACAATTGAACTGTGGGATTGCACCGCAAATACTTTACGATCTTATAACAATACTGAGTACAAAACGGTGGTCGCGGGTTTCTCACCCAACAGCAAAAGCATTGTCTCTCTCGCAACAAACGGTCAAGTCAACGTATGGGATTTGTCTACAAATGAATACAAAAGCAATATACACCATATAAATGACTCAGAAAATCCCGACCCATACTGCGGAATGGTGTCATTCCCACGATTCGGTGAACTCGCGGCTTCGTCGGTGGGCGATGGACCAAAAGAGATCTGGACACTCGTCCCCGGGGTCTTGGCGGAATTATTCAGATTCTCCAGCAGAATACTGGATGCACTTGCATTTTCGCCAGATTGTGAGATTATAGCAGCCTCTGGTTGCTGGGCAGAAGAGATTGCGATCTGGAATGGATCATCAAAGGTTTCGAAGGTGCTTGATAATGTACATCAAGATACCATTACTGATCTGGTCTTTTCTCCTGATGGCACTGTTGTTGCATCGACCGCCAAGGATGGCACAGTCGGACTCTGGGAAGCGCAATCAGGAAGTCATATGAAAAGCCTGCGAGTGGTGGATGATTCTGGGGTTCGGAGTATACGGTTCTCAGCCGATGGTCAAACTATGATATGCCGAACATATAATGGGAAATGTGTTATCTGGGATGTACCGACGGGGGAAACTTTGAAAAACCTTGAACTCGGAAGGGATACTTCGAAACTCCAAAACATGGCAATATCACATGACGGTCGACTAGTAGCAACCGGATGTTTTGATGAACGGAAAGACACGAGTCAGATTGAGGTCTGGAACCTGACTTTGACAGAGCCTCTCCTCACACTCACAGAAAAAGGTGATACTAGTGGTAATGAAATCTCACCGCATGGAAGTTTCATGGCGTCGACTTACTATGGATCTTCATCATTCCAGCTTCGGCACATACGGACAGGAAATGTGATACACTCTATAGACCATGGAGAAAACTCTCCAGTCATTGCATTCTCTCCAAGTGAGAACATGATTGCATCAGCAGAGCAATCTATCAAATTATGGGATACTTCTACCGGTACATGCCTCGGGCAACGTTTAATTGATGGTCGTGTTGAGTCTATGGTCTTCTCTGAAGATGGGGCATACCTCTGTACCAACGAAGGTCAGTTCCAAGTTGCTTCGATCCTCGGTGCCGACCCCGATTTGTGCAATGATAAGATATTAGGGAAGGGGGTATACGTGCATGACAACTGGGTCATGAAAGGGGGTGAGAAACTTATACATCTACCTGTAGAATACAGGGTGCATACATGTTCTTTTGGAAATCGTGTTGCTATAGCTAGCAAATTGTATTCTGTCATAGTCATTGGGCTCAGTGCGGATGAGAGAGAAACGATATGAAGGTGTCTGTCGCCAAATTGTATCTAACGTATATAAGGAACAATGCCATTTATTCTCTTTGCCATATCTTCCAATCTCAAATTGGGTACCCACCAATACTCCTCCTCCTCCTTATGCTTCTATATATACTTGTGATCAGCTTGAAACAGTGATGGTAAAAGTCAAAGCCCCAATTTTCGGTCCATCGTCTCTCGCGTGGGGTTAAAAAGGGCTATATTCCATGCTGGTAGTTACTTTTGGCATCTGCCAGGGAACGCTCTGCTCTACTGTCCAACACACTATATTCATTCTGCATTTTAGCTCACCCATGTACAAAGCTTTATGCTCCAATATCACAGCACTAATTCAATGGCTTCCCCCCCGCTAAGCTGATCACCTTCTTCGCAGCCCCTTCAAAGCTATCAAAGGCATGAAGTGGAAGCCCACTCTCAGCGATCTTCTACAGTTAGTACCACTCACACTTATCTAGCACGGCATGCACTCACCATTTTCTGTCCCTCTTCCTCGTTAGTCCCCCTCAATCGCACCACCACCGGCACACTCATCTCCAAATCCCTAAAAGCCATAATAATACCCTCGGCGATCATATCACACCGCGTCAGGCCCCCAAATATATTGACGAAAATAGCCTTCACCCGTGGGTCGGATGTGATAATCCGGAACGATGACTTGACCGTCTCGGACGTTGCCTTGCCTCCTGTATCCAGGAAATTGGCACAATGGCCGCCATGAATGGTGAGTGCATCTACTGTGTTCATTGCGAGTCCGGCGCCGTTTACTATTCGTATTAGTTTGGAACCTTTTATTTGGATTTGTATAATGACGTACCTAGAGTTCCGATGCTGCCCTCTCCCTGTAATCTGTGGTGTGTCAGTGCCAGGTTCTGCATTTTGGGTTGTTGATACTGAACACATACTTCACGTAGACTATGCCGTCTTTCTCTGCTTCAACTTCTTCGTGCACTTCTTCTGCCGGGTTCCGCAGACTGTGGACTTCTTTCTGACGTCCTGAGCTTCGGAATGCGGCGTCGTCGAAGCCGAAACGTGCGCCTCGGACTTCTAGTCCTTCTGTGGATGCGTTTACCCGGACTTCTAATAGATAGGCTTCTTTTTCTTTGAATACTTGCCACAGTGCTTGGACTAGTTCTGCTAGTTTCCTGTGTGTGGTGTCAGGGAGCTTAAGGTGAGAAGCGATGGATGTGATGAGTGGTGAGTTGCCGCTGCTGAAGTCTGTGTTGGCGTAGGGGAAAGGAAATTTGCTAGTGTGCGACGGCGCGAAATCGGCAACTGTTGAAGCTATAACACAAGGTGACAATGCTGTTCTATCGACTGTGAGATTTAGAAAGATGTCGGATTCTGAGGGCTTTGCTTCGTTGACTGAAATGGACCTTTCTTTTAACATGTCCAGGGCCTGGAACTGCTTGATGAAGAGGGACCGGGTTTGGCTTGAGGCAGACACTCTTTGGCTCTTTTCTAGGGATACACGTCTCATTGTGTGTAGGCTTCTTCTCTGGCTCGGGGCGCTGGTAGACTGGGGTATTGTTAGCGCCTTTTTTTATATAGGATATTTGGAAGGCTTACCGTCGTGCTCTGAACCTGTGGTCGACTATTCAGTAAAGTCTTCATTCCTTTGCCGAACTTCTCCGGGTGGTTGACCATGACTGCGCCGGCGCGCTCAAGCGCTTGGTACTTCGCATTTGCATCTGGTTCCCCGATCGCAGTCCATGCACCCGCATGGCCCATGACTCGTCCTGGAGGGGCGTGCAAGCCACCAACTAGGGCCATGACCGGTCTTGTCTTCCAGTTAGCGTCAGAGTAATTAGTAGATCGAGGTACAAGTCACATACTTAGGATTCGCTGTTCTTCTGTTATAATCCTTGATCCATTCTGCTGCGTCAATCTCCGCCGTTCCACCAATCTCGCCCACGAGAATGATGCCCTCCGTATCGGGGTCATTCTCAAATATCTTCAGGGCATCGACGAAATTAGTCCCAGCCAAGACGTCACCACCCATACTGATACAGAGGCTCTGCCCCAAGCCTGCTCGTGTAGTCGATGCAACAGTCTCATAGCTCAAAGTTCCCGATTTCGCAACGATACCGATCTTACCAGGAGAAAAGCACGGCAACGGCTGGAATCCTATCCGACACTTCCCAATTGCAGAGATGATACCGGGGCAATTGGCCCCGACAAGCCTTGTTTTGGACTGTGTCTGAAGCATGGAGTGAATCTGTGGGGAGTGATGTAAGCATGCGCTTGTATGCATTCACTGTAGCATAACAATCATACTCTGAGGATATCATGGATAGGCACATGCTCCGCTACAGCCACGACGAGAGGGATCTCGGCTTCAATGGCTTCTTCAATTGCCTTTGCTGTTTGGTTCCCTGGTACGTAGATGGCTGATGCATCGGGTTTCGCTTTTTCTTGGGCCTATTTCAATAAGTATTTGGCTTGTATAGTTAGGATTAGAAACCGTACCACTTTCACGGAGGGGAACACGGGCAGTCCGAGGTGCTCGCCTTCGACTCCTGCTTTACGCCTCCGACAATCTTCGTTCCCCAGGCCAATGACTCTTTTACGTTGGCAGTGGCCTAGTTGGTTAGTTATTCTGGTTGGTTATTGATTCTGGTGGTTTTCAAGTACCTGTCTGCCTGTAATTCCATATTAGTATATTTTATCGGAAACTTTCTCATACAAAGATTAACTCACCTGTAAACCCCTGAAACAGAACCCTGGTATGGGCCCCGATCTTCAAGTTCGGGAGCGTATCAGCGTAGGAGTAACTCCGCGACGAGGTAGAGAACCCATTCGTCTGTCTCCCAGATATACTTGAAAAGGGTACCCTCCGCACCCGCGCAGGGAGAGATCGCAAGTTCGTCATTTTGCGTCTCGAATACTAATTGTGGACGTATCAGTGAAGTACGCGGTGGCCACGTTCTGAGTACCTAAGCAGCCACCCTGATGATATCCGCTTGATAATAACCAGTACTGGGGACGGATTGTTGGGATTGAACACTCTTTGAATATCCACAGGCTAGTGTCCAGCGACAGTAGAAACTAGGGGAGAAGATGCAGTGCCCGAGGGGGGGTAGGTACACTAGAAAGAGGAGAAACAATACCTCGGGAGATCAGTCGACCTGGAGAGTGCGCCTGCCGGTCTCGGACTCCGCGCGGATCATTTCCGAGGTTTTGTGGGCGCCCCCATAGTGGAAGGTGATTGGTTATCTCGGAACTGGGGTGCCGTGGTGTCACTCGGAATGTGTTGTGTTTTTCTTGGCGGTCATGAATAGAATCGACTATGGGCGTGTTTAGAATATTGGTATGGTTGTGGTCTTTCATTAGTTATAACTTATGATGGAAGTTTTGATTAATTCTCATGGATGGAGTGTGTGTTTATAGGGGGGCAGATCTAGCAAGTATCACTGGTTTGTGAAAATCTAAGCATCTTGGTACCAAGATATATATATATATATATTTATATTTATTAGTTTCAACAAAAATGTACATTGGTAGACCGATATACATTCGGGAACATATTCTTTGTTTATATGCAATGTATTCCCAACAACATCATCTCCTTGTATTGTAGTAGTCTTTTGATTGACACAATGTGAGTCCGAGTCTTAAGGCCATAATCTTATCATATTTAGATGATTAAAGTCGCTTTCCTATGGAGTAGGGAGGAAGAATTATCGGACATATACTTAAATTCGAGATAATCAATCGTAGTTGGTTTATCTACCAGGTTATCCCCTCGACAAGTGACAGGTACATGAGGCTAGTTAGAAGGCGCATTCGCTGATTACAAACCAACAACGCAGGATTATCAAAGCATACAAGGATTCAGTGCATGACATGACTAATTGCATTCTATCAATACTCAATAGCCGTAACTAGCATACGCGACGTAGTTCTTGCTAGTTTGCAGCATCCAGTGCAATGCGCAAAGACCTCACTTTCCTCTACTCTTAAAATGAAAGCTATTGTCCTGAATGGCACAACCGCTACGGTGGTGAGCTCACGGCCCATTCCGAAGCTCCGTGACGACTACCTTCTCATTAAAACCGTGGCCGCTGCCTTAAATCCAACTGACTGCAAGGCGATCAGCCAGGGAAGAGGGGCTAAACATGGCTTAGCTGGCTGCGACTTCGCCGGTATTGTCGTAGATATCGGTCCAGCCGTCAACAAGCGTTGGAATAAAGGCGACCGGGTGTGTGGCTGTACTCATGGCGCTAATAGCCGGAACCCAGATGATGGGTCATTTGCAGAGTTCATCGTTGTAAAAGGGGATGTCTGCATTAGAATCCCGGATGGCATGAGTTTCGAAGAAGCGGCTGGTATCGGCGTTAGTGCCATTACATGCGGTCAAGGTCTATTTCAGAAACTGGGGCTAAATCTCCCCCTTGATCCTATTCGAGAGAAAGAGTACATCCTGGTTTATGGCGGTAGCACGTCAGCGGGAACTCTTGCTATCCAATATGCAAAGCTGTAAGCCCGCGTCCTGCTGACTTGATATGAGTATGCGGATGCCTAACGAGATATATAGGGCCGGCTATTCTGTCCTCACAACTTGCTCCCCTAGGAATGTAGATTTGGTCAAATCACGCGGTGCTGAAGCAGCCTTTGACTATAACGATCCATCATGTGGGGAGCAGATCCATCGTTACACAAAAGGGGAGCTCCAGCTGGTCTGGGATACAATCGGTTCCGAACAAGGAGTTCAAACCTGCATGACCGCTCTGTCAACGAACCCCGGGTGCCGATACGGTACCATTCTTCTCAATGATATCCCACGACAGGATGTCGCCTGTACCCGGAGCATCATGATGACGTTTCGGGGTGAGCCTTTCGACCTGTACGGCAAACATTTTCCGGCAAGCGCTGAGGACTTTGAGTTTGCGAAGATGTTCACCCAATTGACGGAAACACTTCTCGCTGAAAACAAGCTGAAGCCTCATCCAGTCAGAATCTGTGAAGGAGGGTTGCAAGGCGTACTAGAAGGTGTGGGATTAGTACAACAGGGGAATGTGAGCGGCGTTAAATTGGTGTATCGAGTTGCCGACACGCCTTGATGCCTGTAGGTAAGGATTGTTTCCCCCACAATCCAAGATTGCGTACCCGGACCAAAGTTGTGGTTCGGCATGAAAATATAAGCATGGACGCCTACCATGTTAAGTTAGTCTTCTCTTTGTCCATACCCTTTGTTGACCCATGCAGTTGGAACGATGTCAATCCGGGGTGATTTCAAGGTACGCTGTCGATCACCTTGTCCGTGGGAATTTCATTGTACAAGCAATGTAGAATAGGAGGGCTTGCAATTGGTCAGGAGCCTTCAATAATGAGATTAGCCTCAGAATGAAGTCATATTTGCTCCTAAGAATCTTGTATATATTAGTACCTTCGGAAGACAACAACAGAGGTGGACGGAGATCTTCTCGGTTGGTACATAAGCCAACCCAGTGACTTGGACCGACTGCTATGGCTTCAAGGGCTAGCCCTGGGGGGTTGGCTTGTAATACCAATAAACGTATAGAAATGCTCTGAAAAGCATAGCCAATGAGAAAGCCGAACAAGAAGAACAAAGACCAGACTCATCGAAGGAGATAAAATCAGACCTTCGATGCAGGCATATAAGTAATCTCCTGCGCCGGGTTGGTATTGTAGAGGATTCATCATTCCGACATCAGGTGTTCTCATCCGGTGTTCTCTCCAAGACCCAGATTCATGAACAAAGCGACTGTTCTGGACGTCCCCGGCACAGGCCAATGGAAGCCGACGACCGAGAGGGATGGTGGGGTTCAACTTCTCCACGACTGACGACATTCATTATTTCCACCTCCAATGCTATTAATATCCTCTCTCCCGTCAATTGCGGATCTTTGAAACGGCTGTCGACTCCGACCATCTGGCCGACTATTAAGAGAAACAACTGAAATGGCAACAAAGCCCGGTCCAGAATCCAAGGGTCCGTGATTTTCCCTCGCAACCATTGACCCTGTGCGGCCTGCTTTTTACTTTCCCTCCCAATCCAAAAACTTATACTTTTGCCCGCTCTTTGGGCAACTACTATCTCAACTTTTACACTCTTCTAACCCCTTCTTACACCTATATTACTATTTATTATTCTTCTGCTTCTGCTTCTTCTTATTATTATATATTTGAACCTCACTGACAAACCGCCCTTAATGTCTATTTCAGAAGCCACCACCACGGAGCTCCAATCATCCCTCCGCGAACTGTCCCTCAGTACCAACAGCCCTGTGAAGGACATCGCCCGCCCCGCGGTGAAAACCGCAACGACCAAGGCAGCAAACCCCAAGAAGAAGGCTCCCGTTGTCGCCGACTCATGGGAAGACGAGGCGGACGAGTCGGAACCGGACATTAGCTCCCCAGGATGTACTAGTTCATCGCTGTCGCCATCCGTCACCACCGCAGAGGGTCCCTTAGATCCCCCGCCCACTCCGATTTCCCCCCAGACCTCCCAGACATGGGGCTCTGTGCCGGTGTATCCTAATGCTGGCGATGTGTCGTCTCGGACATCAGATTCCAGGTCACCGTCCCGGAGGCCAGAGAAGCAGACCGCCGTTGCAGGGAGATTGATTGCGGGTGCTTTGGGGCTTCGGGCCCCGAAGCGAACGGAGGAGCAGCGTGCCTATGACCGTGCTGTGAAAGAGAAGGAGATAAAGCGGCGTAATCAGGAGCGGGAGGCGGCAGCTAAAGCTAAGGAGGACGAGGAACGGGCGAAGGCGGCTGTTTGGGATGATTAGGATTCTCTCTCTTCTATATTTGCCATTTATATATCTGACACACTTGGACGCTGGCTCTTTTAATATCGTTCTTTTCTCTCAATATCGTGTATAGTGCTGTGTAATTGCTTGTTCTTTACATGGGAATGTTTGGTTGGACCCTTCGCAGGTGTATTATATTGAGGTACGTACAAGGGTGTAAGGCACCCCCAGTTTTACTTGTGTTGTATGGATTTCCTAGAGTCTGATCAGGATCAGACAAACGGCAAGGACAGTAACACTACTACTAGTTCTTAGGTATGGTGACCAGAATTTGCATGCTTCACCCCAGGGAGAAGTACTGTGTCGTAAGTAGTTAATTCGTAATACTTAGATAACCTATCCACAGCCCATCATGATTTTAGTTCGCTCGTGTCTAAGCTTTTCTAAGCTTAAATCAAGCCCGTAGGCGACCCCGTCCCAGCTAAAGCCCGACCGGGCCAACGCTAACACCATTGCGCCTGTGTCTCAAAATGCGACGGATGAAGTAAAAAAGGAAGTGACAAGAAGTGAAACGCAAGTAGTGGGACGGGCCTCCTAACCTCCGATCTGCTCCTGGTGGACTTCCAAGGTATCGCCGTCGGCCATCTCCAGCTAAAGCGGGGTAAGAAACAGATGTTAGCCAAGTGATCTGAATGCGCAAAGTTTAGAGGTCAAGGTAAACATACAGTGTCTGGCGTGTCTTCCGGGCGTACACGGGTTCCGTCGAACAAGAAACGGACAGTAGAAATTTGCTTCCCTTGACGTTCACAGAACGCGTCCATCAGCTTCTTCAGCTGCGTCGAACGCTTGATCTTGAAAAACACTTCGTTGTTGTTATCGGTCACTTTGATGTTGAGGTGTTCAACGGGAGGGGCATCTCCAGCGGGGAGTCCTGCGTCAGCCATTTTGGAACTGTGAGAGGAAAAAGGATTTGCGATGAGTGTGAAGTAGGTGGCGTATTGCTGTGTTTGAGTGGAATGTCAGCTCTGGTGCGGTAGTAGTTTTGTCGCAACTGGTGGGAGAAAAGTGAGAGTTGAAAGAGATAGAAGAACTTACATGGATGTGATCAAGGGTTCGACGATGATGAAAAGACACCCGAAGACGGAAAGGGCTCAACTGAGGACGTAATAGAAGGAGCTGAAGATGCGAATGGATAGATATCAATGGGCTGGCAGCGATGAGAAGGCGACCCCCACCACCGGCAATGAATGAATACCAACGGATAATCTATTTTGCGGCGCAGGTCCTGATTCCGGTTCTGCTATGTACTAGTATATGGCTTGTTTGTTGTGTGACGGAATCTCTGGTAATTCACATTTCATTACCCTTGGGGGGTTTATGTGTTTGTTTTTTTCTTTGAAAGAATTTATAATTGCATAGTGATATATACAGTCGGCTTGACCAACAAGTTACTTTTCTTTCTCCTTTGTTTCTGGCCTTGCTGGTTCCTGGATACTATTGCGTCATGGTAAGAGACTCAGAAGACGATGTGCTATTCCACTTGAACTAGGAATGACGACGATATAGGGAGGACTCAAAGAGGATCTGGCATATGACCCTCCATGCCATCCACGGGCAGTAAGTTTGGTCTCCTTCAGCCATTCGCAGTGAACTCTTTAACTGATGGGCCAAGTGCGCAATTCAAAGTACTACCAACACCAACCGCCCCGAACGTATATATAGTTCATGGTGCTCATGACTAACCATTGCAGGCTGTTTAACGAAAAACTCATACCAGGAGGAAAAGTGCCAATCTCAGATAAATGCCCTGTATGAATGCTGTAACGCCTTCTACCAAGCTCAAGGGGAGGATGCAAAGACACCCAGTTGCCCTAAGCCCAGTCTGCTCAAGCTGAGGATGAAACAACGCGGTCAAAACAACTGAGAAAGCTTTTGCTTTTTTCCCTTGCATGGATATTTCTTGTCCATTATAACAAGACCTGTACATACTACTGTCCATAGATAAACTACGAGCTGCTGCTGTTAAGCCTGGGCCAGCATCAAGTACTCCAGAGCGGAATAGAAATGAAGATATACGAAGCGATGTGACAATCCCTTTGCTGTCTCAGCCCTCATGCGTCAGGAGGTTCTTGACTAATAAGAATTGCCATAATTCCTCTAAGACAATCTTGAGCACGCAAAGAGGCCGATTGACCTGAACGAAGATTGAAGCGCTCGTTCCGAGACTCTAATGATTGCCTATAGACATTTGATGAAGAAAAAGAAAAAAAGAAGGATGAGAAAAAAATGTTGAGGATTTTTAAATGCGTGTGCTGGCCGACAGCGCTAAACTAAATCGGACTTAGCGGGCGGTCGGCCCCAAAACACGCCCGTTCAGCATTCGAGCAGAACAGAAGTTCTCCCCCAAACCCTGTTTAAAGCTACAGATTCTCATCAAGCGGAGCCGCTCTGCAAACTGCTGCTGAGAACAGTGACGGTAGTCGTTCTCACGCGCGATGGCTCCTTTAATAAAGTCCGCGGGGTCCGCTGGCTTTACGTCAGTAAATGTGAGTTTATTTGTTTTGGCGACTACTTCTTTTGGCGGTGCGCCAACTATTTTCTCTCCCAGGCTGCCCGAGGGTCGACGTCGAATGACCCGGAGATCATCGAGATAGACGACGATGACGACGAACCAATGGATGACGAAGAAGATATTGACGCCATTGACCAAGGTGATGAGGATATGGAAGAGGAAGAAGAGATAGAAGAGTACGAGGAGGATGAGGAGTACAACGATTCGGTTGAGGAGACGAATGGAATAAACGGCGGCAGTGAGTCACCATTAGACCTTGGTCCCTTCCAAAATGGTCACAGTACGGTTTATTCCTCAATATATTGGCTCCGGTGAAAGGCTGACGGTCTTCAGAAGCGTACGACATGACAACTCCGGAACTATTCACATCTGCTGGCGCACAGCAGGCATTACATCCTCTTCGCCGAACTGCGGATCGGGTCACGCGCCAAATCGAGGCGTTCGCAGAAAAGCTCGACCGTTTCAAACAAAAAGAGAACCGTGATAGCGAATTCGAGAATTACCAAGCTGCCTACCAGTTGGTGAAAAGCTACCAAAATTTTGCAAATGATTCTATCGAGGATATCTCTAAACAAAACACCCTGAGGCGCGCAAAGATGGGGTGGAATACAAGTCGGACCAATGGAACAGTGGCTCAGGATCCCAAGACACAGGAGGAGCTTCAAAGATTACAGCTAGAAGCGAACACTTGGCAGCTCCTTCTTAATCTAATTAGCATCAACGATCCCCCAAGCAGGGAAAGTGCCAAACAAGCTCAAGAGAATGCCTTCCAGAATCTTCACCGCTACTCAACCGATCGCGAAATTTGGGAACAGTTCGTGGGTGCTGATCACTATGCTCTGGAATGCGTGATCATCATGAAATGGCTGGAGCACACTTCAAAGTCAGCAAGTCAGGACATTGATTCGATAATCTCGGAGTTAGAGGCACAGGCTGAAAGGGGCCAAGGGATGTGGACCCACGGCTGGCTCTATACCAAGGAGACCATCAAAGGCCAAAAACGACTGCGAGCTTGGCCTCAACCTCTCGAGCCTAACGATCCAGCTGTTGCGGCCTCGCTCCTAGTCGCAGAGAAATCAGAATCAATGATTACCCAATTGGATCCTGATGCGGTAACTCGACAAAAACAGAAGCTTCAGAAACAAGATCAGTTCCATGAGCGCGCGACTTGGATGACTTGCTGGAAGATGCTGAGACAGGGCGAAAGCTGGACAAAGATTCGGGACTGGGCAGAATCCTGCCTAGAGAATTGGCGAGCAGTTAGCTTGTGTGGCTCGAGCGTGGATGCAAGCTCTTCTCGCGGGGAACGGACGCCTGTTGACGATGGAACTACGCGCATGATGAATTGGCGGTCACAAACCACCTGGCGAAACGCTTGCTCTGCTTTGGCGCGTAGCCAAGGAACCGAAGATTTCGAGCGCGCCGTCTATGCATTGCTTTGTGGCGAGACAGAAGCTGCCTTTAAGGTCTGTCAAAGCTGGGATGACTACCTTTACGTTTATTTCAACAGTGTTGTGCTCTCCCGCTATCAAGGGTTCTGCAAGCAGTTTCAACGGAAACTCAATCACTCGCCGACTGTTCCTGTTGCATTTGTTCCCGAGCCTGTTGGGTATGCCGATGTGAACAAATTTGTGCTGTATACAAAGGGTAACGATCGTGTCGGGGTCGAGGCACGCAACCCTTATAGAACTATCCAGGCGGCTATCCTGGGTAAAGGGTACGACTCGTTTTTCCACTCCTTGGCGAAAGCGGTATCACAAGCAGCGGCGAGCAAGGGGGATCTGTCTTTCGTACCAGATCTTCCACCAGCTGCCGTGGACGACTCTCTACTGATTGCGGCCGAGGACAACGATGCCTTGAGGATTGCGACTCATCTCTACATTATTGCGAACTCGCTCGGCTATGTGCGCTCAGATACACAGTTCTCAACTAATGCGTCTATCAATGTCATTGGATATATTGCCAACTTGGAGGAAGCCCGAATTTACGATATTATCCCTCTTTATGCATCGCTTCTACCAACATACCAGGCACACTCTGTGCTTGGCCAGATTCTGATTGAGGTAGTCGACCCGCGGGAGAGACGACAACAAGTCAGGCTCATGGAGAATCATGGTATCGATGTTGAAGCTGTCTTGCGTGATCAATGGCAGTGGGTTAGCGCTAGTGTTTCTTCAGTTGAGCATTCAAGCACGCTTAAGCGGTACCCCAAGGTTGTCCGTCGCAAGGATGGCCTGCCCGAGGTGGTACCAGTCAGGAAGGATTACATTGGAACCGATGTATCCGGTACGGAAGAGCGCGTCATTCGGAGCTTGGAGTGGCTTCGCTATGTTGATGGACAATGGGGGAGGATCTGCCAACTGGGTGCCTTGCTGTACAGGAAATTCTATGGTATGTCTCTGTGCCTCCAACTACCTCGGACATGGTATTTACTTATATGATTTTACAGTTACTGGGAGACTTGCTGCTGCTCGGGAGTTGAGTAGACGCATGAGGTTGTCAGATATATCGCGGGAGTCATTTGGGTTTGACCTGACAGATTTGCCCTTTGGCGTTGAAAATGGGGTAGAACCGTCGACTCCAGAGCCCTCCAGTCCGACTAAGTCGAGGGTTTTCGGCTCTCCTCATAAGCGCAACCGATCCTTAACGAATCGATTGCCCTCCGATGAGCAAACAAGTCTTCTAATCCAACAATCGCAAACCATGCGTGACTTGGAAGAACTTATTCTGGCATTTAATGCACTAGAGTGGTTTGCTGTGGTTTGCGAGAAGCTCGACAAGTAAGTAACCTGTCCTGTGATATGTCGGGAAGGACCCACGCCGACTAACGATGTACAGGAATAAACACAGACGCGATTCTGGCGCGATCAAAAATCTGAAGGAAGAGCTTCAGGAGTCTTTAGACGAGGTTTCTGTGCACGTTGATGCACTGCTGGATGAGTGGCTCATGGGTGCTGAGGACGGTAAGGCATCATTGAGAACACATGAAGGGGCGTATGCTGACACCAATGGCCAATACAGAAACCGAACGAGCCGAGATGGAAGAAATCCGAAAGACATATATCCCGGAACTTTTCCTCGACTATCACAATGCGCTGTACTATGCCGGACATGTGCTTACCAGCGAGCTTCTGGTGCAGTGCATGAACCTGGCAATGCAAGTTTCCGAAAATGAGTATCTAACTAGCGCTTTTGTGGCGTCTCGTCGAATGGCGGAGCTCGTGGACGCGTTAGCCTTGGCCAGCAAAGCCATGGTCAACACGCAAGCTAGGCCCGGTAAGAAGCTTCTGGGAGGCGAGTCTTTGGGCATTTGGAATGTCGACGTGCCCGATGAGGATAATGACCTCCAGGAGGCGCAGTGAAATGCACATGTACTTAGATATCTTATGAATGAGCTGGTGTATATTACCCTCTTTTCTTATTTATGTTCTCTCATCTTTGGCAGGAGGGTTCTGGTCAAACCATCACATCTGGACAGGATTTAAGAGGGCGTGTTTTATTATTCGGGCGCTTTTTTTTCCAGGGGTTTGACTCGATTACAATATCACATCAAGAATTGGCATGGCATTTCTCATGGATATTTCACTCTCTCTAGTTAATACCTCGTATAGGATATTGTGAAATCCTTACTCCTTGCTCAATCTTGCACAATCATGTTTTGTACACATATCTGACCTGATTCGAATATTTGATTCACCTCCAACCGGACCAATAAAGCTCAATAAACAAGGTAAGTACTCCAGTATCCACGCCATCAATCCCGTCGCCATCGTGGCGCAGCCTGCGAACTATTGAATATATCAACTAGAAGGTTGATTCCCGAATCCCGAATAAAAAAAAATCAAACTCTAATACCAAACGCAGAGACTCGCTGTCATGGGTCTGGATACCTACCTAATACCCACAGCTCACGCTAAAGCCTTGCTTAACAGAAAAAGGTTATCCGACAAACCAGACTATCAAGGAAACAAAAAGGCCCCATCGAGTAGGACAATGATGTGTCCTGTGTACATCATTGCATTGTATTGCTCCGTCGAAGAGGGCAGTGCTTGGTTTCTCCATCGAGCGAGCAATAATACGATTACGGGCCGAGTTGGAGAATACGAATGGAGGGCCCTGAAGATCTAATGAATTGAATGCAATGTTTCAGTCTAGATTACCGCTCGACAACGGAACGTTAACGCAGTCGTTCCTTGTTCGAGTCCACGGAAGTCGTAGTTAGTTATCTCGATCGACGATTGCTCAGCAACAGGTTGGACGGGACGCCGTCTGTCTCTTTCCATGAGACAATATCGACCAAGTCCATGGGGTATCGTGACCAGGTGACATGCAGATAATGGGAGTGAGTTGGCGAACTCTACCCCTCGCACACAACTAAACCACAACCCCCCCCCAGACCGCCATTCCTTCTGCCATAGGTTGGATTCCTTCGGTTGAGGTTGACAGTGTGGAATGTTGGGTCTCTCGCGTTGTATGAGGTATTAATCCAGTTGCTCTCGGGGTACAGACATACATGGATACCATTAGTAGGTCCTAAAGAGGAAGGTGGAAGTCCACTTACTGTACTGTACCTGTCTATTGTGATAAGCGTTTGGAGGCTGTGTTCGTTCCTCTGGAGATTAGCACACTTATAGAGTACGTGTTAAGGAGTGGGTCCTTCTAGACATCCTGTACCAGCTGCTGTTTGGCAGAAGATAAATTATCCTTGCATGTGGCTTTCCGTCCTCTTTAGTGTGGTTTTTGTATTGTTATTTTTGATTTGCGAGTGTAGATAAGCAGGGGTGGTGTTTAGGGTATGCTTATATGCATGGTGAGAGAGATTGATAATCTCCTCTGTATGTCTATCCAGTACTGGATAGTGGTGATAGTTAGGTAACATGTCGGATTACAAACGGTAGAGCAGTTATGGATCGAATGAAAAGCTGATAGTCCCACATACTCAGCCAAGGACAAGATCGAACGATATACATGCATCCACAACACATGTTCAATATCTGCGGTGGGTAAAGCGAAGTACGACTTATGCTCGCGTCATACAGGTCGAACTAGTGATGACAGTAGTCTTTCTAGAATCGATAGTATAGTCTCGGTTTAACCAGGACGGGTCTAAATGGTCAAGCTAGCTACGAGGTGGTAAAACAACATGCACGATCACTGATTTACTCGCCTCTGTATCGTCATGCTTACTTTTGCCCCTGTCATATCCCCGCGGTTACAAATGACGCAGTGTTGTGCTATTCAAGAGATATCACCGCATTGCATTGGACCACGCTTCATTCCTTTGTCCTATCAGACCATCGACGTTGGTGTAACTGCCACAACATATCATACTACTAGTATGAGACAAGTATGGCGCCTCGTACTTGGTTCCCGTACCCACGTCTCGCTTCGTTTGGAGAAGTATCCACCCATATTATCTAGACTATGAAGATTTTATGGAGTATAGAAGGTATATGTACGTTAATACTCCGTGTACCTCGAGTTGAGTAGTAATCAGCGAGGCCAGACCTGAAGAACGAGTAATGCAACCGCCCAAGCGAACCAGTAGAAGCGTCCCGGCGGATGGACCGAATGTGAACGGCATCAAAATGACGAGGAGAAAAGTCATCCAAAAAAAAGAAAAAAAAAGAGGGAAAATCCCAAGGGCTAGACTGTTGGAGACGTGTTATGGGTCCCTTTCCTTTGCACCGCCCATTTGCCAAGCCTCGGAGTTCATTATTCGTCCGCGGCAATGAAACGACCCCCATCAAGGAGTTGAACGGTGCAAAGGACAAGACGAGATTGGTTCATGTGAGAAAAATGATATTGGGAGCAGGTTTTGAAATTTTGTAAAATTTAAAAATTTTGATTTTTTTTTTTCCATTTTGTCTCCCAAGTGTCCGTTGCGGGCCTCATTGTCGCCTGTATGTATGGGGTAAATAGTAGTCACATCGAGGATGCAGGAGTATACATTTACCAACCACATCAACATTCGAGGATCAAATACTTTCGGGTTCGTAAGGAATTAAAGTTTCGGATTAAAACAACACCACAGTGTGCATCAGTGCATCAGTGGCAGGGAATCTATCTATCTATATTGAATTGTATGACTCGCCTCCCCCTTTTGGAGGTGGTTGTCGTGTAATATCAAGTGGGGCCCCTATTCGGCGTCAAACAATCTTATAGACGGCAGAATCCTTTAACGGAGGGGAGATCGGAATCTCGACTCCTACTGTGAAAAGAAATCGTAGGTCATATCACTGCTGGTCATGCAGGAAACATCTTGAATACGTGTAACAGGTCTTATAAATAGGTCCCAGAAAGAATGAGAACGGAGCTTTCGCTTTTCTCTCTCTCTCTCTCTCTCTTGTGGCATGAGGATACTTTCATTGCATTGCATAGAGCCTGAAAACGGTGTATATCAACCAAAGTGGTTACAGTATCACGGGACCAACATCCCAATGTTCTTTTAAGTTATTAGACTAGGAATGGTGGGAAAATTAATATGGGAAAATATTGAATTGTTTTTTATTTTATTTTATTTTATTTTCCTTTTTTTAAAAAAAGGAGAGGAACAAGAAAAAGGGAGGAGGTCAGTGTGTGGAAAAATAAATAATAAGTCGATGACGGAGAAATGGAGTGAGGCAGTGCAGTGGAAGCCGACGAGTGATGTTCCAGCGTTGAACTTGCAGGACAAGGTCTAGTAGCAAGTGAAGCAAATCCCAAGCATTGTGTTTCGGTGGCAAGCCATGGACCCATCATCGGAGAGATCCTTGTTTTTCTTCTCTCTTTTTTCTTTTCTTGTTCCATTTTTCGTGGTCGATTGTAGTCTTTCTCCCTTTTCGGTAAATAGTTTGTTGAAGATGTTCTAAAGGGAAACTTTCAATACCAGGGGAAAACGCGAAGAAGTTCAGATCCAGGACGCAGGGAAGCGATGTCATCCGTCCAATTTGGGAAATGAGAGATTCTGCAAACGGCATCCATTACTTAATTCGCGTACGGGGGTTTACCATACAGGAGATTCTCGACCTTCTGCGGATCGCTGGTGGAGCTGACGGCCGCAGTAGTGACGGCCTTCTTACCGTAATGCTTCTAGATCTGGACCGCTGATTGGCTGGACTGGCGACCGGAGGGGACTTCAATATAGGAAAAGAAAAAAAAAGTATCGGGTGCTGGTATTGTAATGGTTGTAACTTGTGACGCTAACTTCCATCTGGGATCCATGGTTTACTCCGTAGCGCATTGAACCCAACTATTCTATTGCGAGAGCTACGCTACGATTATCTCCAGTCGACCTACTGACCTCGGTGTACCTGACCTCACCACCTCACCGTCCTCGCCTCTTTCCTCCTCGAACCCCGGATAGCTCCCTTCTCTAGCGCTCTCTCCCCTATATTCATTGGTCCCACGTCAGGGCCGACTGGAGGAGTATACCGTTCGTATACTGCCGCTTTCTGTCTCTGTTGACTCCTGTCTGTAACGGGTGTGTTTCTGGTTTGCTTGTATGGCTGACCTTTGTGATTGAAAGCCTCACCCTTTAGAGTCGAAGGCACTGGTTGCGGCTTTCTCCTATCCTTTGTTTTCATTCAGGTTCTTTATGCGCTCATAGATGACCACCTTTTGCGGATCTCTCATCCTATTCATAACCGTGGATACTTCCGTTGACTCCAGGTCGCTGTTTCCCATCGTTTGATATCTCGACATTCCCCGAGTGAATTGCTTTGCCACAGAATCCTCTGCCCGTTTCCACTATAATTTGGATGTCGATCGCTACTGCTCCTCATCATTCTCGTGCATTCTTCGCAACTAGATCCACAAAGAAGGAGGACCGGTGATATTTTTGTCTCAGCATAAGCCACATGGGCTATATTGAACAACTGCTAGGACTCAATATTTTTTTGGGGAGCTTAACCGGTTGCGGTATTACTGCAGAACACCCTACCTCTTTACGAGCACAAGCCTTGCTTTGATGATACAACGAGGTCCGATTGATTGCTCCTTCAGGAGCCGCATTCTTACAGATATCAATATCCCTTTCGTCTGAAACTCTTGTCGCCCTTGAGACCCACTTTCACCTGGGCCGTTAAACCCCTTGGACGATCATGTCGGATTCCAGATCGAACGCAAACGATTCCAAGCAGTCGCAACCCTTGCAACGACCGCAGGCCCCCGAAATCAAAATCAATACTGACTTTAACGAAGAGATCTCACCGAGCACGGCGCATCCCACCTTACAGATCTCCAGCGAAAATGCCTATTCCAATGATACGAGCGCTCTCTTGAACAGCGGCAGTGTTTCGCCCTTGGATGGGACTTCAGGTGGCTCAATACGCTCTTTCACATCTGACCCACGGGATCACGAGAGTCGACCGACCTCTCCGCACAACGTCTCGTCTCCCACACACAAGATGAACGACTCCGTGTCCCATTCGAATTACCTGGCTGTGCCTGGCACTAGATCCCGCGGGAATTCATTGGAGTCGGAGGACACGCATCAGTCGTCCAGCACATATGGAGGTGATACCTATGTACCAACAGCATCTCATGGATCTCGTGCAGATCTGACGAAGAACATGGTTATAAATGATGAGGACGCCCTTAAGCCAGATCCGGGCCGCGAAGATGATTTTACGGTGGAGAATAACAAGTTTGCCTTCTCGCCGGGCCAGCTAAACAAGCTTCTAAACCCCAAAAATCTCGGCGCATTCCATGCCCTAGGTGGCCTTCGTGGCATAGAGAAGGGGCTGCGGACTGACATTAACAGTGGGCTGAGTATGGATGAGACCGTATTGGATGGAACCGTGAGCTTTGAGGACGCAACGTCAATCGCTTCGGAGGAATCGACACAAGAGTCTCCTTCCCAGCCCCCGCGGCAACCGACAAGATCTGGCACAGAACCTGCGAAACCACCTGACAGTGGCTACACTGACCGGAAACGTGTCTATGGCAGCAACAAACTTCCTGAAAGAAAGCCCAAGAGTATCTTCGAGTTGGCTTGGATTGCATATAACGATAAGGTTTTGATTCTCTTGACGGTTGCTGCTATTATTTCACTCGCTCTCGGCATCTACCAGTCTGTAACAGCCAAGCCAGGCGAACCCAAAGTAGAATGGGTCGAAGGTGTCGCTATTATTGTGGCCATTGTGATTGTGGTGATAGTGGGTGCTGCGAACGACTGGCAGAAGGAGCGCCAATTTGTGAAACTGAACAAAAAGAAGGATGACCGACAGGTTAAAGTGATTCGTTCTGGGAAAACACTGGAGATTCCAATTCACGACGTGCTAGTCGGCGACGTCATGCATCTCGAACCCGGCGATGTAATCCCAGTGGACGGTATTTTCATCAGTGGTCACGATGTCAAGTGTGACGAGTCCTCCGCGACAGGTGAGTCGGATGTGTTACGCAAGACTGCCGCCAACGAAGTCTTCCGGGCTATTGAGCAACATGAAAACCTCTCGAAACAAGACCCTTTCATCGTGTCCGGTGCGAAAGTCTCCGAAGGCGTGGGGACATTCATGGTCACATCCGTTGGAGTCCATTCGACATACGGGAAAACGATGATATCTCTCCAAGATGAGGGCCAGACGACCCCGCTGCAGTCGAAGCTGAATGTTCTCGCTGAATATATCGCCAAACTCGGTCTTGCCGCCGGACTATTGTTGTTTCTTGTGCTGTTTATCAAATTCCTCGCTCAGCTGAAAACCATCGACGGCGCCGATGAGAAAGGTCAGGCTTTTCTTAGGATTTTCATTGTCGCTGTGACAGTGATCGTAGTCGCTGTCCCCGAAGGATTGCCTCTGGCTGTCACACTGGCGCTCGCCTTCGCCACAACGCGCATGCTCAAGGACAACAACCTGGTGCGGCTGCTCCGGGCTTGTGAGACTATGGGGAACGCGACAACGATTTGTTCCGACAAGACAGGTACCCTGACGGAAAACAAAATGACAGCTGTTGCTGCCACTATGGGGACGACCTTTAGTTTCGTCAAGGATGCCGGTGCTTCTTCCAATGGAACGGCTGAGGATAGCGACGCACAAGAAGTTTTAAATGCCTTGTCACCATCTGAATTTGCCAAAAGTCTTTCTGCTCCCGCCAAGCAGCTTTTACTCGACTCCATCGTGCTGAACTCCACCGCATTTGAAGGGGAACAGGAGGGGGCTATGACGTTTATTGGTTCAAAGACCGAAACAGCGCTTCTGGGTTTCGCAAGAACTTACCTCGCCCTCGGTTCGCTTAGTGAGGCACGGGCTAACGCAGAAGTCGCTCAGATGGTGCCGTTTGATTCTGGTCGAAAGTGTATGGCTATTGTCATCAAAATGGGACCTGGAAAGTACAGAATGTTGGTCAAAGGTGCAGCGGAGATTCTGGCTGCAAAATCTACGCGTATCATTTCCGATCCAACAAAAGATCTATCTAATCACCCGGTATCCGATGACGATAGGAATACCTTGAATACGACGATAGATCGATATGCGGCCAAGTCCTTAAGAGCGATCAGCTTAGTGTACCGCGATTTCAGTCAATGGCCGCCCGAAGGCGTACGCAAGCAGGAAAAAGATCGCAGCCTCGCGGACTTTGACGCTGTATTCAAGGACATGACCATGTTCGCTGTTTTTGGCATTCAGGATCCCCTCCGAGCTGGTGTGACAGAATCTGTTAAACAATGCCAGAAAGCTGGTGTTTTTGTCCGAATGGTGACCGGAGATAATATAAATACGGCCAAGGCTATTGCTGGAGAGTGTGGTATCTTTACGCCTGGAGGAATTGCAATTGAAGGACCCAAATTTCGCCAACTTAGCTCCGCTCAGATCCACCAGATTATCCCTCGACTGCAGGTTTTGGCAAGATCTAGCCTGATGATAAGAAGATCCTGGTTACTCATCTGAAGAAGCTAGGTGAGACGGTTGCGGTTACCGGAGATGGAACAAATGATGCCCAGGCGCTTAAGACAGCAGACGTTGGATTTTCCATGGGAATTGCTGGCACTGAGGTGGCAAAGGAGGCGTCGGATATCATCCTGATGGACGATAACTTTACCTCGATCATCAAGGCTATGGCCTGGGGTAGGACTGTGAACGACGCGGTCAAGAAGTTTCTGCAGTTCCAAATTACCGTCAATATCACTGCGGTTCTCCTAACATTCATCTCAGCAGTGGCTAGTGACACTGAAGAATCGGTTCTTACGGCAGTACAACTTCTATGGGTCAATCTCATTATGGACACTTTCGCAGCGCTTGCTCTAGCGACTGATCCCCCTTCTCCACATGTTCTTGACCGCAGACCCGAACCCAAATCCGCTCCGCTTATCACCCTCACGATGTGGAAAATGATTATCGGCCAAAGTATTTATCAAATGGCTGTCACGCTTGTCTTGAACTTTGCAGGAGGTCACTTTGGTTACGAAGGCGATGTACTCTCTACAGTTATATTCAATGCTTTCGTTTGGATGCAGATCTTCAATCAGTGGAATTCCCGCCGTCTGGACAATGGGTTCAATATCTTTGAAGGCATGCTCCGCAATTGGTGGTTCCTTGGAATCCAATTCATCATCATGGGTGGGCAGGTCTTGATCGTTTTTGTTGGTGGCCATGCCTTCTCTGTCACCAGAATAAACGGTGCGCAATGGGGAGTCTGTTTGATTATTGGCGTGATCTCTCTTCCAATTGCAGTCATCATTCGGCTGATTCCAGATGCATTCATTGAGAAACTCATCCCAACCTTCTTCCACCGCAAAAAGGCTCCTGAGCTTTTGGTTTCTGACGAGGATCGCTTCGAGTGGAACCCTGCTCTGACTGAGATTCGGGATCAGCTCAAATTCCTCAAGAGGGTCCGTGGAGGTCGGTTGAGACATCTGAAGCACAAATTGCAGCACCCTGAAGAGTTCCTTCCAAGATCGCGGAGCGGTTCAAGGTCATCACGGTCAAGAGAGAACTCGGTTCCTGGAACGCCTGTCAATGAACGCAGCAGTACCCCATCTCAGCCCCCTACGCCAGAGTCACGGTCAAGAAGACGAGCTCGGTCTCGCTCGAACTCGGCATTTGGACCTGCTGCAGCCATGGCGGGTGTAGTTGCTGGAAGTATTGCAGGCTGGTCGCCAATTGAACGAGCGCCAACAGACGGACAGCCCTTCAAGTTCGACCTCACTCCACACGGGGGCTTGGAAAACCAGCAAGGCATTGAAATTCACCCCAAGACAGCGGCAGACGATCGGATCGTGGGAGACTATCTTTCATCGTCGAAGACGCCACCAAGTCAAAATCCAGACCTCCTGCCTTACTTTGAGCATGCTCCCCCTGCACGGGCTCCATCTAGCCGTAGCATAAGGTCAACATCTGCTCACAGTCGGTCCGCTCACAGCCGGTCCGCATCCCGAAACGAAAGTTGACCGGATACTTGGCTAACTCCTTAACCAAACCTTTGATACGTTAATGGTCTTTTCATCAAGACCGCCCACCTCACAACGATGTATTATGATCCTGTCGTTGATTTGCTTTTCGATATGTTGTTTTGTTTTATAGTTCTGGGTCGGCCGCTGTCTTGCGATAAAGCAACTTTAGTGCATTCGTCAGCTTTTTCCGCTTTTTACTGTGCTTATAGATTCCCTATTGCTTTTCCTGGGGTTTCGGCTATTTGTATTTTGCTGGATTGCATGATGCTAGTCTAGCGATCCATCGGGCGTACAACGGTCGAAAAGGTCTTGTTTGTTCTGTTTTCATATAGACACTCATTCCAGTGTATGTTCGGTCACGGCGCAAGTTAGGATGGCTTGTGTCTTTTCTTATTTGCCTACCTTGTACATATTGATTTTTACTCCCCTCCCCCCTTTGCTGGGTGCTAGGGATGGTTTAATCATTGTTAAAAACTTGTTTTTCATTTTCTACCTTTTTAATCTCTTCTACTGGTTGACTTCGTTTTCTTGGGTGGGTTTTAGTCTTTGGTATGGGAGGTTCTGGGTTCGCTACCGGAGGCTTCTAATATTATTGCTGCTGAATGTGGATCTACTCTTATGGTTCGTCTTTTGTCTGTAGCCCTGGGTATAAGTAAACATTTGTAGGATCAGGTGTAGTCATTCGTGATTTGGTGTTTATTCTTATTTGGATTTGGCCGACAGTTCAGTTCTCTAGCATATCAAGTGTATTGAGGGATGGGTACAGGTACGATAGACTTGATTCGCCATTCCCAAACGATATAAAGCATCAACAATACTGGTTTGGTTGACCTCAGTGAGGTGTAACTAGTTTCCTATTTTGGGAGAGTAGACTATCAAGGGATATGATTTCTTATCTTTTTCTTCCCGCCTGTTTTGTGCCCTCTTGTCATAACGTGTTTCGGGTAAGGGCTTTAGATGCTATGTGCCCGATTGTTGTACTTATTTTGTACATTTGAGGGGGTTCCTTTGGGGCGAGTATTGATAAGGTTGCTTAGCTAGATGGCTGTCTTTGGAGTGTCTGTTCTCTGAGTGTAGTTCGGCAAGCAATGGCACTGTCTCACCAGGCCCACTGGTTATGCACGACATGACTCAAAGGTCAAACTACGGTTCTTTTTAGTGATCCCGAAACTGGCTGAAACAAAGGAAACCTGATGCATCCATTAGCAGTATTATGCAATGTTCCACTGGTGTGGTAGTCATTATTAGGTCATGTGTGATCTGCAAGAACGTGCTACTTGAGATTTAGTAAAAGGAACCACTTGCTCGGGAAACTCAAGCCGAAAAAAAAACAGTCTTCGAACTAGGGGTTCGACATGGAGTCACTATCCTTGGATTGACCACAAGGCTGAAAGGTAGGCAGCATGGTGGCGAGCTGAGAGGCTCATGGTGCCTGTTGAGGACCCAAAAAGATTTACCCCAACTCAGCTTCGAGGTATGATCATAGCATCATATCCATACTTGTTAAACTTTCTTCCAAATGGGCTAGTATGGGCTCCGGGATTTTTTCTGAACTGCCCGGATCCTCGGACCTTGAGCTACGTTGCATCTTTCTTACTGTCTCTCCTTGCTTGGTTGGTGCATACCAGACGACCGTGTTGGAGAGCTTAATGCCAATATGAGTAATGGAATGTAATGGGCATGGTGATGTGACAAATCACGGAACAAGGACGATCTGTACTGCATTAGCTTGAATGTAATAGAGGCGATTCGGGTGTTTGAGCTAAAAAATTAACTGGAGGGCCATAGAGGTGACGGGAATTTCAGTAAACCTGAAAATACCGAGCCCCTGTTTGGCGCTGGGTTCCCTTCCTCCTCTTTCGATGGATGGGGTTGAACTTATTTTTTATGAAGCCCTGCATCATGAGTGCCTGTTTCATAAGTGTAGAGGACAGGACCGTGCGGTCAAAGTGCAGGGCCTTGGTACCGTGTACACACCAGCTGTGGAATGCTAGCATCAAGTAGGGCAGGTGATAGGGTGATGTCAATCCAGTAGCACTGTGAGAGCAGCGTACTCCTTCCCTGAATTTCCCCTTTTTCTCCTGTACATCTCTGTGTCCCTATATATACCGTGAAACGTTGTTCGTCTTTCCTGATTATCTTCTTCCGGCAACTTGTAGCTTGGTCAAGCTTGCACTTTACTGTTTCCCACGAGAAGGAACAGAGAAGTAGGCATACCCGGCTCCTTTTACCAAGTGGCAACCCGTCCAGAAGGCCAGCATGATGTCGGAAGCCGAAAAAGCTCGTATATCCCCTTCTCTTCAGAGTGTTACACAGGAGGAGTTAGAAGATCAGGCTCCCCTTAATGCAGGCCACAGATCGAGGTACCAAAGATGGGCGGGATGTATCAAAGGCCTCGAGGCGCGTGGGATTGAGCCCATACCGCTTGAGGAGCGCCTGAAGACCAACCCATCAGCATCGCTTCATATGCTGCTTATGTGGTTTAGCATGGGGATGGCCTTGAACAATATGGTGGTTGGATCACTGGGCACGCTGGTAATGAAGCTGAGCTTTGCAGATGCTGCTCTGTGCGCAATATTTGGAAACCTTTTGGGAGGTATGGCAGTCGGGTATATGAGCACTTGGGGGCCCAGAAGTGGGAATCGCACTCTTGTATGGTTCATCCGTTACGTATAAATTCTGTCCGTCCCTATCCTGTTACGAAAGGAAGAGAAGTACATACAGCTCACTTGTCGTCGATAGATAGTTGCCCGATATTTTATGGGGTACTACCCTAGCAAGGTGTGCTGCTCGCTGAACGTGCTTACAAACTTGGGTTATGGAATGATGAATTGTATGATCGGCGGGCAATTACTCTCAAAAATATCCGGTGGAGCCGTATCCGTTGTCGTTGGTATTATCATTGTCGCGCTTGCAAGCTTGGTGATGGCTACATTTGGAATGCAGATCTTCCAATATTATGAAAGGTATGATCCATGCGTTGGTGCCTGCCTCTGTTAGATTCGTTGGTGCTAACTCAGCAATGTGAACACTTGCAGATATGCTTGGTTCCCGCAGTTGTTGGTGCTCTGCATCATCACCGGATCGGCAGGACCACAGTTTGATTTCCAGCGTTCATCAGTTGGATCCTCATACGAGGTTAATGCCAAACGTTTGGCATTCTTCTCCCTTTGTTTATCTGTAGCTCTCGCATGGGCGCCGTTAGCTGCAGACTACTATGTCTACTACCCGCCGACCATTAGGCGATGGAAAACATGGTCGATGACCACGATGGGAGGATGCTTGGCAATGATCATCACTCTTCTCCTTGGAGTTGGTCTGGGAAGTGGAGTGGCGAAAAACCCAAAGTGGGCTGAAATTTATGATGGTACGCCGGCGAGTCTTTTGATGGCTGGTTATGGCAGACTTGGTGGCTTTGGCAAATTCTGCGCGTTTATCAATGTCGTGACGGTGGTCTCCAGCAATGCCCCCGGGTCCTATTCAATGGCTATGAATTTCCAGATGCTCGGGAATGTATGGTCGAAAATCCCGCGTCCTGTCTTCACGGTTACCACGACAGTGATATACACGGCATGCGCCATTGGAGGGCGAGATTTCCTATACGACATTTTCAAGAGCTTCCTTCCACTGATCGGTTATTGGATCATCATCTGGTTCACTATTGTTGCGGAAGAAGACTTGCTCTTTCGCCGTAGCAAAGGCTATGACTGGTCTGCATGGAACTGTCGACAGAAGTTGCCGGTAGGAGTTGCTGCTGCTCTAGCTTTTCTGGTCGGCTGGGCGGGGGCAATTGTAGGGATGGTATAGTATATCCCTGATTTACCTGCTTAAGACCAGTGTTAACCCGTTCCCCTTTTCCTGATAGAATCAAGTGTACTATACGGGGCCGATTGGGAAAGCAGTCACTGGAGGCTGTGACTTGGGAATCTGGCTCGGTTTCGGTTTCACGGCCCTCACCTTCCCTGCGCTGAGAATGTTGGAGTTGAGAGTGATTGGCCGCTGAAAGAGCGTTGCTGCCATAAGATACCATCCACATGCGTTCATAGTGACTCGTCCATCGGAGGTTGGGCCATCAGTCATACATGCGGAGTTTTGCTTCAGAGACCTTGGATAGATACTTTGAATGAGATGGCTCGAATGGTTCTAAGAAGGTAAGACCTCCAGTCAATAAATTCAGTACGTACGTACGCATGGCCGGTCATGCTCGTACCATAAAGCTTGATGGAAGCTGCATGCTAGAAGTTTGTCTTTTCGCTATGAAGATAGACAGAACTCTGCAAGACATGGAATGTTTGCTTCTCATCAAGCCAGAATGGATATAGAAAATGATGTATTCCGGTTACATTGCTTATAAGAAGGATCTATGTGTTAACTCGTATCCCCTGTAATCAGTCTCCATGGTAGTGTGTCTCTGTCTCCGATCTTACACCTTTTGGCTGTTTTGGTAAATAAATCATATGAGCTTCCACCGAGCAAAGAGAGATGCATAGGCCCTTCGACGTACGCCGGCGGTAGTGATTCAATTCTATTAATAGGAGATGAATATATGTGATGAAGTTATAGGTTCGAAGAGGAAGTGACTAGTGAGGGCAACACGTGAGTGTTTCATGTGCGCTCCGGGCCACTCACGGATTGCCCAGTGAGCACCCACCGGCAGCTCTGGTTGCTCCTGGATTGCTCTGGCTCTCTAAACTATATACATCTTTCGCAGCAAACCTGAGAGCCCGTCACCCACGTGATCAAGATTCAAGGGACATGTATTGTGGTCACAGACATATCAAAAAGTATGTATGTATGTATGTACATACATACATACATACAACGTGTACGGCACGAAGGATGCAAATTTTAGAACAAGTACACCAAGCTTTGTGGGTCCACTTTAGAGGCAGAGTGAAAAATGCTTGGTATCCTCCGAAGGGACACAAACTTGCATGCCCAAAGCTTTGCCCCAGTGACTAGTGATGATAAGCGTATTGCGCAATAGGGGTTGGAAATGAGTGGATGACGGTGATAAGGATCCGAGCGTCAATCCACGAGCTGGGAACAGCAGCTACAGTAGTATCGGATCAGGCCTCCACCGGAGTATGAGACGGCGAGCGTGCTGCATAACAGGATCTCCGTGTCGCAATGGTCACTGATACAACTTTCCCAATTCCTTCCTCATGCATGCCTTTATCCCCTCCACTAACGCATATCAGAAATGTACTCGGATAGGGATGGGATCGCCTCGGAAAACTCTGCGGCAGTTTATCAGGCGAGGATACGGAGACTACCATTCCTCACCTCCCTATTAGCCGGTATTGGCTTTGGCGCCTCGGTGGTTAACGGTGAATACGGCAACTGGGTCCTATCCAAAAATCGGTTCTCCTCACTCCGCTGGAGTGCGCTCTGCTGGGTAGGTAAACGGCCTGCTACGTTTGAGCTGTCATTAATTCACTCTGTAGCCTGTTCTGATATTGCACAGCCTATTGTTACATGGGATACAGGACTGCGCGGCAATCTACACGGCTGGCTTTAGAGGATCAGTACTATCTGTTCTCACTCTTGCTTTACAAGTCTCCGAGGCTTGGAGTCAAACAAGGATCTTGTTTACTGTATCTCCTAGTCTACTGCAATATAGCACTGCATTCCTCCTGGACCTGGTACAGATCCTTTTTCCTCGCCGACCAGATGCTTTCACATCAGAGGAAAAGCTGGTAGATAGGGAAAATGGGACCTCAGCCTTCCATAAATATTTCATGCAGTGGTGCGTCCACGCGCTTTACCTCTCAGGAGATAAGATCAATATTGACCAATTGCCGTTGCTAGACTATTATACTAGGTCTAAGTCGCGATTCGAACTGTAAGGGCTCCTTCGGAGCGTGGTGACCAACGGGCTACAAGAGGTGCAGTACTAGAAGGATCAAACGTGTTCAGATTGTTAGGGAGTTTGTATGTGTAATGGAACACTCGGCGGACCGCGCCGTGCGTCAAACACAGCCTATTCAGGCTGCTTAACAATAGGGTTGTGGTTAGTCAAAGGATCGCTTCAACACAGACTTGAATAGATAGAAACGCAAGCTGTTCGCTTTCGGTATAGTGTCGGGGAGCCTTCGCTCATATAAATTGTAACGAATTTTTGTAGTCATGTCCCCTTCTTCGGATGACTTCAAAAACGAGAACTGCGCGGTAAGTTGGGCTTCACTCCGCTGTAGGGCGCCGCTGGGGATCGAATTGACAGTGTTTTGTATCTTTGAAGATAGGTGCTAAGCGCAAGAACGCTGTACGTGGAATTGCTAAAGTCTCTCAAGAGGCCAAGCGGACGCGACTAGCCGCGCAAGCTTCGGTAAGTCTTCTTTAAATAGCTTCATCTAGCGGAGAGGCGTCGTGGTGTTTTCGCAGCGAAAGGCTAACTTATGCGTATAGGACTCTGTGCCTCCGCCCCCGCCTCCCCCTCCTCCTAGAGGGAATTCTGTGCTGTCCCCGTCCCCTGGAGGGGAATCCGCTTTGCCTCCACCCCCTCCGGAGTCTCCTCCGCCGCCGCCATCGCCTACGGCGCGGCCTTCCTCTCCCCCGGTGAGTCTAACTTAACGTTCCGTGAGGGAGCCGCATAGGCAGCGCTGACGATTTCTAGGTCCCCTGTACACGTTGCGCGAAGGTGTTATTCGAGGATTTTACTAGCAGTGTTCGTGGCCCTCGAGTATGCGTGTTCAGAGGTGCCGGGCGGCCCTGCGGACGGTGCACACAACTGAGAAAGCCGTGTCGTCCGCTGCCGGGGCCCGCGTGGGCCGAGGTCGCTCGCCTGCAGGGCCTACCTCCGACTTTCGAGGCTGTGGAGGCCACAGAGGCTCTTGCCAGTCGTCTCGAGGGTGCATATCGCCGCTTTGACGACTTGCGTGAGCAGCATCCGTGCCTCCCGGTGTTGCGGAGCATAAACCGCAATATTTTCCGCTTGCTCAACGAGCAGCGGGAGCTCGGAGGTAAGGAGCCTCTTGCAGAGAGCGAGCTGGAGGACTGGGTTGGTTTGTGGTGATTTCGGCTCTTTGTTTTTCTGTTTGTTTTCCGGGGCCGCTGACGGGCACCCTGTGGTGCGCCTTCGGGCGTTTTCATGTCTCTACAACGATAGCCACCCTCAAGACTTCATTGTGGAATCATCTCGCTGTTCAGCGCAGTTCCGCGTTTGCCAAACAATGGACCCTGATGCTTCTGCGACCAGTGGTGACATTTGGAATCCCTTATTGTGTCATGCAACTGCTCAAAGTCTGGAAGTGACTGGGGCCCCAACTGACGAGGCCTGGCTGTGGCTGATCGGTATTGCGTTGTCATCTGTAGGGGAAGCCGTCATTCATTATCATCTTGCTTGGATCCAGTGGTCTGAATTAGGAATTCCAATCCGTGCGCAGCTCATTATGGCGATATTTCAAAAAGCGCTACGGATCAAGGATTCCAAGCATCCGGAGAGTTTCAATTCGAAGGCGACATCGGCGGCATCTGAAAAGGCACAGGCCATCAATCTTATTTCTTCTGACACGCTAGCATTCAGCAAGTTTACTGCTGTCAACCATATGCTGCCCTTTTTTGTTGTCAAGCTCATTATGGCAATATCCTTTCTACTCAAATTACTGGGATGGCAGAGTACACTGGTTGCAATGATTGTCACAATAGCGAGTGCTCCTATACATACTATGGTCATTAAACATGAACGGAAGACCCGGAAAGATCTGACGGCAGCCAGAGACAGGAGGATAAAGGTAGTTAACGAAGCCCTGCAGGCACTACGGCAGATAAAGCTCCGGGGCTTAGAGGCTCAATGGGACGAGCGTATTAACCAGCTTCGACTGGAGGAGCTGAACTATTTGTGGAGCGCCCTTATTGCCAGCACTGTACGTTCAGTCTGGAAGTTGGCAGCTCCGTTACTCGTCGCAGCAGTTTCCGGTCGTACCTTCACATTCAGTGCATCTATCTCCCCATCAATCATCTTCCCAATGATTGAACTATTGCCTCACCTACAAGGGTCACTGGGAACCATCCCAATGGTCATCCAGGATCTCTTGGACGCCCGCTCAAATGCCTATCGGATGGAGGAATATCTGAGAAGACCGGAACAGAGCAGAATTATAGATCCAAGCCCACCCGGTCAGGTTGTATTCCGTAATGCTTCCATTACCTGGTCGACAGATGAAGTGTTAGACAAGGTTACATCACCTCCGCAGTTCTATTTACGCAATATCAACCTTAAGTTTCCGGTTGGGGGGCTAAGTGTTATCCATGGCCAAACAGTATCTGGAAAGAGTCTTCTACTTTCAGCTATACTTGGTGAGGCGGATCTTCTAGCTGGGGTATTGAAGCGCCCTCAATGGCAGAGGGGCAACAGGTTGCGTTTGTTGCTCAATCACCATGGCTGCAGAGCGCGACGGTCAAGGACAATATACTCTTTGGAAATCCACTTGACCAAGAAAGGTATACAAAGGTCCTCAACGCGTGTGCACTTTCCTTGGACCTGGAAGCCCTGCCTAAGGGTGATGAGACTCAGATTGACCCAAACGGTGTCAAGCTGAGTGGGGAGTCAGCGAGTTCGGATTACATTAGCAAGAGCAGTTTACTCGAATGCGATATTGCTTGTGCTTGATGGCATATTTTCTGCTTTAAGTGCCAGCGTTTCGAGGGATATTCTCCGCGCTCTCACCGGTGAGCTTTACCACGGGCGTACGCGAATACTTGTAACCCACCAGGTTTCGCTCTGCGCTCCAATGACAAAGTCTGTTGTTCAAGTCCATGAACACACTATCAGCTACTCAGGTACAGCTGATTTGATGGAAGGTATTACCGTACCGGATCCAGAACTGGGTGTGGAATTTAGGCCATCAATGGAAGTGAAATTGAAGGAGAAAGCTCGCACTCTAACGACGACGCAAAAAGCTGCCGCGCGTAATGATTTAAGGGTGTATTCAAAGTATTTTACCGCTGCAGGTGGCTTTATATTCGGAGTAGTCTATCTTCTAGGGCTAGTTATTAAACAGCTCTTAGCCGCATTGACAACATGGGGTCTAGGATACATTAATTCTGCAAATTCTAGCTCAATTTCGGCTGAACTGCCCACGCCGGTCGGGAGTAATTGGCATCAGAAATATGCCTACCTGTACCTTCTAAGCCTGCTGATGACCATCACTTGGGACCTCCTTTTCAACTTGCACACTTTCTCAGGGTCAGTACGTGCGTCCGAGGCGTTATTTCGAGAGATGACATCCCGAGTCATCCGAATGCCCCTGCTCTGGCTCGACACTACGTCCATTGGTGGCATACTCAAGAACTTCACCGCAGATGCTAGAATGGTTGACGATTCTTTACTTACCACCTTATCGGAGTTCGCTGACTGTATAGTAAAGATGATGGTAATTGCTGTTATCGGGTAATTAATGTCTCTTCCCCTGTTTTAGCATGATCGAACTACTGACCCCCAGCAGATTATACACGTCGAGAGACACAACTATCTTAACCTTGGCTTTCCTATACGCGGGTCTAAAGGTCGGTAGGATCTATATCAGAGCTTCTCTATGGGATTGTCTGGAGTCTTGTTCAGAGCTGCCAATGCGTTTGGGCTGTTAGAAACTTATATGGATGCTGCAGGGGCGATGACGGCTTACAGTGAGCTTCAAATCGAGGATCAAGGAGGCGAAGATGTTCCGGAGGATTGGCCCTTCCAAGGAGAGATCATAGTAGTCAAACTTGAGGTTGCATATTCGGCCAATCTTCCCCTAGTGCTGAAAGATATTTCCTTTACTGCTGCACCTGGCCAAAGAATCGGGATTGTTGGCCGAACTGAAGCTGGCAAATCGTCCCTCGCCCTCGCCCTCCTCCGTTTGATTGAGCCCTGTAGTGGCTCGCTACAGGTTGATGGAATCGATCCTTCGAAAGTGAAGGTCCAGTCACTTAGGGCGAAAATCGCATTTGTACCACAAGATCCTATTCTCTTTTCCGGTACAGTACGGTCCAATCTCGACTCTTTCCACCGGGCCTCAGACGAGATACTGGAAGATGTGTTGCGGCGTGTTCAGTTACTGGCGGCGGGAGACTGCACGGGAGGAAGATTCGGTGTGTTGACGCTGGACTCGCCTATCAGTGCTGGTGGAGCAAACATCTCGCAAGGCCAACGACCGATCCGACGTCGGCTGTCGATAATGAGACGGACTGGTGGATATTCTACAATCTTGTCCAAGATAGTGAGGACAAGGAGTTTCTGATCACAAAGATACTACGATAGAGCTAGAGGGGTTCAGAGTGGACGTTGGACATGTCTTTGTTATTGTAAGGGCTAGTATTATATTACTATTACTATTACATACGGTATCTTAAAGCAAGAAAGCTTCCCCTCTCAGGGGTTCATAAATACCGGGCACTAAGTCCGTGCCCGAGGTCCTTCGATACTCGGCAGGAATCCTTTGGTTGTGGGGAAAGGTCGAAGGCTGTCAATCAACAAGAAATGGTGGAGGAGGAGGAAGAGGCAGGACCTCGGCCGAAAATACTAAGAAAATATGGGAACACGATACATTGCGATGTTGACCAATCGTAGACGTGCTATTACTCTTGATCTACTACTAGTACTACTAGTACTAGTACTTGGTTTGAATACTAGTAAGGATAAATGGACTCCAATCTTTTATGCACGGATTCTATCAGGGTATTTTTTTTGTCAAGCTAAACTCTTGGCGAGCTGAACCCGAATTTCTCAAATGGATGAAATCCTGTGACCGTATTTGCTACTCCGCATCCCTCGCCCATGAGATCACATTTAACCACGCCTGCTGCTCACCGTCTTCACCGTCTTCACCGGCTTGTTGTGGTTTGAGGCCTATGAATTCCGGTGCACATGGTTAACAACCCCCCCCGTTGGACAGCCGATATAGACTACACCGTATACACGTTTGTTGACATTGGGCGGAGCGATGGGGAATCAGAGCCAGCCCGTCACGGCTGGCAGGAACATGAACTATTCAGCCCCGCAAGCAATCTTAGACATTGCTCCTCGTCAGCTTCTTCCATATGCCCTCGCGGCCCTGATAGCATATCCATTACTGGTCTCGTTGCTCCGATTTCGCCGCGTACAATGGGTACACCAAAAGTACAAGTTCCCCAACCGGGCATCCCTGGCTAAAATGACCGACGACGAAGCCTGGGAAATTCAGAAAGTGCTGTTGCAACTGGAATTTCCGTTCATCTATATTAAAGCTCTCCAATTTGCTCTCTTCAGGGTTCGACGCCTTTCTCCATCTTGTTATACTTTTTGGTGGACTGTCTGGTAACCTAAATTGACCCAGTGAAGACCTACGGAATCCCCACCATCTCCGGGCTGCTCACCAAGACCAGCCAATTCTCGAATCCGGAGACATCTTACAAGCGCTACGCCGATACAAGCGCCTTGGTCCAGGAATTTATGGGCAACGCTCCATCTTCTAGACGTACTATCACTGCGCTCGCTCGAACCCGCTGGCTCCACAATGGCTATCGCAGCTCGGGAAAGATCTCCGAGAATGATATGCTCTACACGCTTGGCTTGTTTGCCCTCGAACCCATCCGGTTCATCGAGAAGTTCGAATGGCGAGAGCTGACCGACCTCGAGAAGTGCGCTATCGGCACGTTCTGGAAGAGTGTCGGCGATGGTCTCGCAATCAGTTACGAGGCCTTCCCATCGCATAAGACGGGATTCCGCGACGGCCTCCAGTGGCTGGAGGAGATCACGGCCTGGAGTGAAGCGTACGAGGCCAAGTACATGATTCCCAATGCTACGAACCGGGAGACCGCGGACCAGACTACGGCTGTGCTATTGTACATGGTCCCGAAGCCGTTCCAGCAGATCGGACTGCACTTCGTTTCGTTCATGATGGACGACCGCCTGCGACGCGCGATGTTGTAAGTACAACCCGAAGGCAGTTGCTCCGTGTAACGATTAACCTGGGCCTAGGTACGACCCTCCCCCGGCAGCATATGCCAAACTGTTCTCGTCGCTTCTGTCCGTTCGCCGCTTTGTGATACGTTACCTGTCGCTCCCCCGGCCTTATTTCCTCCGTTACACTGCCTTCTCTGAGCAGCCCGACCAGAACGACCGCATTTTCATCACCCAGTGGGATGCGGCGCCCTATTACGTCGCGCCTACCTTCTGGAACCGCTGGGGTCCTGTCGCCTGGCTTACCTGGGCTATGGGTCGGCCTCTTCCAGGCGATGAAGGTGATAAGTATTACCCCCGGGGCTACTATACACCTGATGTAGGACCCAAGTACTTCGAAGGCAAGGGTCGAGCATCTCTAGAGGAGTACGTCCAGGGCTTGAAAGGTTCACGAACGGGCCAATGTCCGTTTATTTAAGCATGAGCACGGACGGTATGCGCTACTACTGTGGGAAAGCTGTTCTTTGCCGTGCCATCTGCAAAGCCGGATATACTCTGGCACGGTATGGCCCAGCTAGTGAGAGAAAAAGGATATCATCAATATTGATGGGAAGGCCTATGACCAAATTCGTTGCTTTGTAGTACTTTTAAGGTAGTTACTCAATGAGTCTACTTTGTGATATTCCATAACCTATTAGATAATTCATGATTACGGGACTGTTGTAAGATTCTTAATCATAATATGTCCAAGTCAATAGAACTACTGAGTCGCGCCTTGGCCCTTGAGCGTGACCCCCCAAGACCAATTTCGTATCCCCAGCTTTGCATTCACCGATGCATGACAAAAGCACAAGAATACAAACATTCTTAGTAAAAGCGATAATAAACCCAGGACAACCAGCTGTCCTGGAAGCTGCGCGAAATCCCTAATCCCAAGGACCCTTACCCGGGACGATATACTGTTTTGACTTCTCTACTGCTTTGACTGGTGGTAGAATCTCATCGACCGGTTGGGCGTGGGCTCCTGCCTGCGGAGTAGCCCGGGTACTAGTATTATGAGTGAGACGATGGATGGAGGGCGGAGGGATCAAGGGATAGGGCTTGGAAAGGGGAACAGGCTAGGTTGAGGTGGTTCCTATATTGGAGCGGGCTTTTGGTGAGACAGATACTTTTGAAGAGGCGCCGATGATGTATTAAGAGCGAGCAGTTCTTGGGTGATGGGTATCGTAGCAGAGCAGTTTCATGTACTGTTAGCCAGGGGCAGCCGCCTAAGCAGGCCTCAATGCAACGGATTTGCATATAACTACTCGTACGACCTGTTTGACGTATACTAAATGAACAGCTTGACAGGCTGTCGGCGCTCGTGATCTCGAAGACCACCCACGATCGATGCGTTCACAAGGAGGCACTTAGCTTCGGTGGCAGGCCGAAGGAAATTCCTCACGAGCTCTTTCATCGTAGAGATAAGATTCCATATACCGCCGCCAGAAACCACAGTGCATTCATACGCACTTTGCAGCGAGGATACTGGAAGGCCCAGTTACCGTGATGTGGTGAGTAGGGGCTGCCGTAGACTTTGAGAAGGCGGCCATTGTTACAGGTGATGGGCACTTCTGAGTCTTGGAGATAGATTATATCTCCCCAGCTAGGAGGTTTGTCCTCAGCTTTTACACGGTAAATATCGGAATCCAGACATAGCTCGTGATTTCCAGCAATGACTATCTTCGTTGCATGTGGCTGTGCACGTAACCAGTCCAATGTTTGCCTGCAGTTCTTTCAATGACCCTGATTGAGTCAGGTCCCCTGCGTGGATAAGAATGTCGCCCTCTGGGAGAGAAGGTTGGCAGTTATGGGTATCGGAGATGCAGACAACTGAGACGGGGTCTTTCACTGGTTGGGCAGCAATTTGTCTCTGCCAAGTGTAAAGCTTGCATGCGAGAAAGATGCATGGCTGCTTCATAAACTGCTGCCAGGCTGATGGGCGTGGTCGGTTGAGAAGCTCGTCGAGACTATTGCCCTGCTTTCCAAATAGTAACATCATTAAACTGGCCGTGAAAGTACTATCATATAAGCAAGGGCAAATAATGCGGATAGCTTTATGAGATGAATTCTGACTGATGTTCTACATAAGAAACAAGGGTGCTCTTCTCAGTTGGTTGTTGCGACTTGTCATTTCCCATCATCAATGTCGCCGCTTTTACGATATCAGCACACAACACTGAAGGGTATATACAGTTACCCCTCCATGCACAGCTTCTAATAAACACGTTATAAAGAGACTACGAAGACTCTGATTCATCGATTTGGTGCAGTCTGTGTATAATTTGCAATGTATGAAGTTGCGCGCCAGGTAGACATCAACATGCTTTCCCAAGGGCATGACAGGGATAGGGCATCTGCAATACTTCTGCACGAGAATTCTCAACCCGCTATCAATATTCCAACGGAAGGACTTCGCAATATTCACTTGTCGAAAAACAAACCGCGGGTCAGATTCAGACTCAGAAAAATTCCACATCCCAGATTTCTTTCAGGAATCAGGATGCCGGTCTCGGTTGTTCGGGCTCATGGTCAAGTTTCGGATGGTTGGCAATAAACAGACCCCTTACATTGTCTGAAAGAACGGCGACTCGAACATGAGAATGCTTTTGGTGGGCCGATGGAGTGGAACGTTGAATGTTCGCCACACTGTCCTACCAACCTCATCCCCTTGTGTATCAATGAAATGGGGAGCCATGTTCTCCTATGGTCATGACTGGTTTCAGGGGTGCATATTCGCAGTGTCATCAGAAAACATGGGTTGGCAGCGGCCAATGTATAGAACAGAACCACGCTACTCTGTGATTGAATGTACGACGGCATTGCCTTAATTAGTTTCGCGAGAGCCCTCGTCATCCTTGCGGAACAGCCTGGCATGCGTAGACCTGAGTCTTGGTTTTTCTATTGCGATAATCCTGCAAGTATATGGTTGTAAATACAGTGTGTTTCAGAAAATGATTTTGTATGCTGCTGCTGTAGTTGGCATGTCTCAATAGACCAACATGATGCAGGACGCTCCAAGACCCTCCACTGCGGAATCTCGACGCCCTAGCGTTGCCTCAAATACAACCACCGCTCCTTTTTGCTGAGGAATCTCCACAGCATAGGTACTAACGGCGGGGGCCATCGCCTCGTTCTCGCTCTCAACATGCGAGCCCTCATAGAACCGGGGAAGGCCAGCCCCTGGTTCAATGACGATCAGGACGTTGTAAGTGCCTTTCTCAACCCGGGGCTTGTAGATCGACGTTCCCTTCGGACGATCATGGTATTGAACGAACCATCGGTTCAAGCACGGCCTATCTTCTAGAATTGCGATGGACGGCTTGATTACCTGGATTAGGAGTTAGACCTAGCTGCTGGCAAATGCTCTACACTCGCTTACAATGTCAAAGTAGAACATCACTGCATCGCATTCGGCGTTCCAATGTAACTGGACCTGTCGGCTCCGTAGTTGTATAGTCTTCCGTTTCTTCTCCAACTCCTTCCGAACATCCGAAACGAGTTTTTCGCCGATGTACCCCGCCACAACAATGCCCGATATCTCAAGGTCTTTATCTAAATCAAAGTTCTCGGACATATTGGTTGATGGTTAGTGTTGATGGTTGTTCGAATCAAGGTGGGGTTAGGTAGGAAGTGGCACTGCGCCATGATGCAAGGGGGGGAGGAGGGATGCCCAGTCAGTGCGCGAGTATATATATGTACAACGGGATGAATCAATAAAGGTCTAAATTATGGGAGCAGAAGGCAAGAGGATCTCTACGTGTTATGCATTTTATTTGCTATCCTTGGTACATTCGTGTCCTGGTAACAGGACTACTAAGTAGTTCGTAGTGGCTACGGTAGGGCTATAGGTCGGATCTTTTTCGACTTGCACGCTGTATGCATGCAACTGAAAGCGGTATATACGTGGACTAGGCAGAGTGATGCGCTCAGGTCGTTGCGAGAATGTTTGGGCACCGATCATAGCTTCTTCTATGTAAGTACTACCTATACCCCGCATATGATGGCGCTTGGCTTCTTTGTATGAGGTCTAGAAACTGAGTCGAAGTCACCGTATCACCGAGCTGTACAAGGCAGTCCTTCACGTGACAATCACCTCGAGTATGCACCTTGAGTCCGTTACCATGATTCCAGAAAAGCCTGAAGGATGCCCGCAGCTTATCGAGCGTTATCAGAGTTCAAAACAATGAGACGTAGATTACGTTGGGACTTGCAAGGGTTAAACGTTGCCAATCAAACGTAGAAGGCCTAAGGCAGCTTTCAAGTAATCGATTAGTAAGCAATAAACTGTGATACCAGCCAATGGGAGGGCATGCCTGCAGCTCATGCCACTGGTACTACTAGTAGTATAGTACTAGTACTAGTATTCCATCGTCACTCTCTTCGAGCTTACATGGCAGCAATCCCGTGTACCAAAGTTCCCCCCCCACACCCGCTACGGAACGTCGATCTACTGCTTGTCTTCGCACAGTCACTTAATTATTCATATAGACCCTTTGTTCCTTTACTTTTCAGCATTCTAGTGATCCCGTACTCGCCGCCGCCGCTATGGCATCCCCCAGTCCCGAGGGTGCCTTGAGCAACTTCCCTCAGGACCCTTCCGAATTCGACAGCGACCCGCGCATTTCCTTCTCGAAACTAGACGACAAGTTCATTTTGGAAACAGAAGATGGTCAGGAGTTTGAATACGATACGGCTTTGAAGCGATGGATTCCGACGGTGTGTGCGCGCTTTCTCTCCAGCTGGTGATTCCTGTTGTGTTTTTCCGGCTGTTGAAATCCTGCTCTGCTGTTGTTTTCTATTGCGACTGCGCTTTGAAAGCGCCCAAGAACCTTCTTCCGTTGCAAATATGCTGGGATAGCTATGACTGCAAGGACTTTGGATGGTTCGTGAAACTGATCTCGTGGTGGGCGCCGCTTTTGCGCGCCCGTGGGTCTTCTCCAGGTAGATGAACAACTGCTCCGACAACAGCAAGAAGCCTACAAGGTTCAGGGCGTAGATGACAGTGAAGAAGTCACGGCATCGCAACTCAAGAAGAAACGCAAGCAGCAAGCGACCAAAGACGAGGTCAGTAGGGTATTCATCTTTGGCTGCGTCATGCCGCAAAGCCCGTGGGACTAACATTGTGGGTTCTACGTAGGGAAACGGTCAAAAATCGAAGAAACCGCGTGTGAACACAGCGGTCTATGTTACGTCAATTCCTCTTGATGCTGACTTTGAAGAAATCCGATATGTCTTTTCTAAATGTGGCGTCATCGCCGAGGAAATCGACAGCGGCCGCCCACGGATTAAAATGTACATGGATGACGGTGGAAAATTCAAGGGCGAAGCTCTCGTTGTGTTCTTTCGCCCGGAATCCGTCAACCTTGCGATCCAGATGCTGGATGACTCGGATTTCAGGTTAGGAGTAACAGGGCCGCAGGGGCCTATGCGGGTTCAACTTGCAGATTTCTCTTACAAAAGCCAACAAGAAGCACCGGCCAAGACCAGCGCGAAGGATAAGAGAAAGATCATTCAAAGGACCCAGAGATTAAATAAGTATGGAGCCTACAAGTATGAATGGTTATATGGTAGAAGAGTCTTGCTAATGTGGTGGAATAGCAAACTTGCCGATTGGGATGATGACGACCCATCTGCTTTACCAGAGTCCAACTCTAAGTTTGACAAGGTCGTGATCTTGAAGCATATGTTCACTCTGAAAGAACTCGATGTACGGGCCTTTCTTTGTTTTTTTTTTTTCCCTCCCCTCTTTTCGTATCCTGCTTGCATCGACTGACAGTCCCATTAGGATGATCCAGCAGCCATCCTTGATATCAAGGAGGACATCCGCGATGAGTGTTCAAAACTGGGAGATGTGACGAATGTAGTCCTTTACGATAAGGAAATCGATGGAGTAGTCAGTGTCAAGTTCCAAGACCCAGAGGCTGCAAGAAACTGTGTCAAGGTATGTGTATATTGGCTCAAGCGTCCTTCAGGGACAAGGAAATGCTTGTCTGGGTAGCGCTAACGACCCTGCTCTACAGCTCATGGACGGCCGGTTTTTCGCCGGGACCCGCGTCGAGGCGTACATTTCCGATGGTAACGAGCGATTTAAGAAGACTAACGAGAAACGAGCAGCGCTTGAGGACTTGGCGGAGAAGGGACTTGATGCCGATGAGGATGAAGAAGAGAGGCAGCGATTGGATGAATTTGGCACATGGCTCGAAAGCTCTAATACTGTGGAGAACACGGCCAAATAAGGGACTCGACGATCTGGTGGCAGCTGTGCTCTGTCACCTCCAGCTGAAGGAACCTACTCCAGTACTGTGTGCGAACCGTTGGGGGTCTCCACCGGTGCTGAGCTGTGGAGTCCATTTCTAGAAAGTCCGTGTACTATACCTACTCCGGGGGAGTGTAGAATTGTATTTAATTCGCGATCGATCCATATGGTGGTGTCCGACATGGCAACTTAGATCCGAACCAACTACTGCGTAATCTCTCGGAAGGAAACTACTGGTACTAAGTCACTAGCGGGCGACCAGTGGCTTGAACCCGCCAACTCAATTGTGGTTCGCTCCTGCAGTCTCGTGACAGCGCTAACCAGAATAGGGGAAGAGCCCCTATTTACCTGCCCAAAAAATAAACTAAGCCAATGTTGACTTGTTGATCCCCTGACGCCCGCACAACGAACAACTTGACGTTCCTCACCGCTCAACTTCAAGTCCATCTTTCCTCCTTCTCTCTTCTCCTCTTCCTCTTAACCTACTCCCCGTCGACTGTCTCCTCCAGTCTATCCAGCAACCCTTCTCCAACCACCTCTTCGCCTTTTCCAAACCCACCTTTTCCCACCAACACCGCCAGTATCCCCTCCATAATGCGTGAGATCGTATGTGGCATCCTACCCCCCGTTCCCCTCTTCAGACGCGTTTTTATTGGGGATACCCCCCTGATAGGACCCCACCCGTTCTCCAATGATACAAGTTTGCTGACGGCTTTTCTTTCATCACATAGGTTCACCTTCAGACCGGCCAGTGTGTAAGTTCGATTATGATTTGATGTCTAGGGGGACCATGGCGACGGATACTAAACGTGACATTGGTGATAGGGTAACCAAATAGGTGCCGCTTTCTGGTATGTCTCGATGTCTCCGAGTCAATATGCTTTGGACCCAGGACCTCAGCAGAAACATGAGCTTGGATGTATCATATCGTGTCTGACACGTGTTTGCTAACATCTTTGCAGGCAGACCATCTCCGGCGAGCACGGCCTCGACGGCTCCGGTGTGTAAGTACAACCCGTGTACAACTCGAACGAACGACGACCAGATGGGCATTGGAAGAGTTTGAATGGGTCTGACGGGAAGGATAGTTACAATGGCTCCTCCGATCTCCAGCTGGAGCGCATGAACGTCTACTTCAACGAGGTGCGTACCTCAAAATTTTCAGCCTCTATGAAAACGCTTTGCAAGTCCTGACCGCTTCTCCAGGCCAGCGGAAACAAGTATGTCCCTCGTGCCGTCCTCGTCGATCTTGAGCCCGGTACCATGGACGCCGTCCGTGCCGGTCCCTTCGGTCAGCTGTTCCGTCCCGACAACTTCGTTTTCGGCCAGTCCGGTGCTGGTAACAACTGGGCCAAGGGTCACTACACTGAGGGTGCCGAATTGGTTGACCAGGTTGTCGATGTTGTCCGTCGCGAGGCTGAAGGTTGCGACTGCCTCCAGGGTTTCCAGATCACCCACTCCCTCGGTGGTGGTACCGGTGCCGGTATGGGTACTCTCCTGATCTCCAAGATCCGTGAGGAGTTCCCCGACCGTATGATGGCCACCTTCTCCGTTGTCCCCTCCCCCAAGGTCTCCGACACCGTTGTTGAGCCTTACAACGCCACTCTTTCCGTCCACCAGCTCGTTGAGCACTCCGATGAGACCTTCTGTATCGACAACGAGGCTCTGTATGACATCTGCATGCGTACCCTCAAGCTCTCCAACCCCTCTTACGGTGACCTGAACCACCTGGTCTCTGCTGTCATGTCCGGCGTGACCACCTGTCTCCGTTTCCCCGGTCAGCTCAACTCTGATCTCCGCAAGTTGGCCGTCAACATGGTTCCTTTCCCTCGTCTTCACTTCTTCATGGTCGGCTTCGCTCCCCTGACCAGCCGTGGCGCCCACTCTTTCCGTGCCGTCTCCGTTCCTGAGTTGACCCAGCAGATGTTCGATCCCAAGAACATGATGGCTGCTTCTGACTTCCGCAACGGTCGTTACCTCACCTGCTCTGCCATCTTGTATGTGGCCTTATTTTCTATTGGTTCTACACTCTTTTGTTCTAAAACTGACCCTTCTTCTATAGCCGCGGAAAGGTCTCCATGAAGGAGGTTGAGGACCAGATGCGCAACATCCAGAGCAAGAACCAGACCTACTTCGTTGAGTGGATCCCCAACAACATCCAGACCGCCCTGTGCTCCATTCCTCCCCGTGGTCTCAAGATGTCCTCCACCTTCATCGGAAACTCCACCTCCATCCAGGAGCTCTTCAAGCGTGTCGGTGACCAGTTCACTGCTATGTTCCGTCGCAAGGCTTTCTTGCATTGGTACACTGGTGAGGGTATGGACGAGATGGAGTTCACTGAGGCTGAGAGCAACATGAACGACCTTGTCTCTGAGTACCAGCAGTACCAGGACGCCTCCATCTCCGAGGGTGAGGAGGAGTAGTAAGTGATTCCCTTTCGCCTGGCTCTTATGCATCTGTGCTAACCAGCTTGCAGCCTCGAGGAGGAGCCTCTTGAGCACGAGGAATAAATATTTTCCAGTCACTAAAGACTCGGATTGAGATCTGACAGCAATACCCTTGATAAGTCCATGTTCTCTGTGGCTCTGGCCTGGCTCACGGGTCTTGGTCATTATATTATTTTGTCAGAGCGTTTTTAATTACATTCCTGTTCTTAATTTCGAAAGGCCTGTAGAGCCTTGAGACTATTGAAATCAAACAGCACATAGTTCCAAAGCAACCAACTGCTGCAGTATTTCGTACAGCCCTCATCCAACAAATACAATCAGTTAGTCACTCTTTACAATGGTGGCGTATCTGCAAAATAAGAGCTTGGGGACGTCTCCGATGCATATCGATGACCCCTGACATCAGCGTTTTCCGCTGCTGCTCGAATCTCACGCAGATCTTCCATACTCAACTCCACCTCCAATGCTCCCATGTTCTCCCTGTAGTAGTCAATACTCTTTGTCCCTGGTATGGGAATGACATTATCGCCTTGCGCCAACAACCACGCTAGGGCCAACTGGCCTACCGTTATGCCTTTCCGGGCCGCAATGGCGTGCAACTTCTCAGCCAGCTCTAGGTTCTTATGGAAGTTTTCTGGAAAGAAACGTGGTATTCCCTTTCGAAAATCACCGTCTTCTAGGTCGTCAGGACTCTTAAGCCGGCCGGACAATAAACCCCGGCTTAGAGGTGAATATGCCACAAGTGCGACGCCGAGCTCCTTAGTGGTGTTGAGGAGATCAGTCTCGGGCTTTTCGATATCCAACGCAAAAAGACTGTATTCCATCTGTACCGCAGCAATGGGGTGCACAGCGTGAGCTCTCCGAAGAGTCTGAGGCGACACCTCCGAAAGGCCAAGATGGCGAATTTTCCCTCCTCTACCATACAGCATCAGTACCGATCAACAGCTCCAGCAAAAAAGAAAGGAGAGAAGGGGAACCCACCGCACTAGTGCCACCAGCCCCTCCACAGTCTTCTCAATAGGAACCGCCGTATCAACCCGATGTACATAGTACAAATCGATATAGCTCGTCTGAAGCTTCTGCAAGCTCCTCTCGCAACACTCTCGCGCATACTCCGCATCATTTCTCCCCGGTCCGCCACCCACCTGCCCGAACTTCGTCGCCAGGACTATATCTTTCCTTTTCTCGGGATTCAATGCCAGCCACTTGCCAATTAATTCCTCATTGTCACCATAGTTGTTTGCTGTATCCCAAAAGCGTTGCCCCGTGGCGTAGATATGGTCTAGAAAGGCGAGACGCTTGGAGTCCGGTTCGGGCGTGTTGGTGTAATAGGCGCTGAGGGACATTGCCCCGTAGCCGATAGGGGTTACGGGGGTTTTTTGCTCGAGGAGTCTTGGTGAGCAGGGCATGGTGGTTTAATTGTTGTGTTTTTCTGTTGGTGTATGAAGGGTAGAAGGGGAGCGTTATCTATAACTATATAATGAAGGTTGATCACGGCCAGAATGGTATGATTCAAGATGCCGGGAACTGGATTCTTCAGCTTCTATATATCAGAGATTTTACTTGTGTTTACTAATTATTCCCCTCTTGAATATCCAGCGAGAATGGGAAGTATACTGCTTTGTAATGTCGAGTCTGCGGGGTTCTTAGGGCTGAGCCGGTGCTCTCTTTTGCAATACTGGATTGGGATTAGTTGATCCTCTTTGAGTTGGTACCTTTTCCAATTCCATTCCAATATGGAGCCCCTTCCCAGTCGGGTTATGCGGTTGCCGTTTTGGGCCTGGTTTGATGCTGCTTTTGTATTGACCAAAAGTCATGCAGGAACACATAGTTCAACTGGATAAATTCGACTTGGGTAAGATTGATGCTTACTCTCCTCCAACCGTTTTGGCCCCCCGTCGCGATGAAGCTGACGAGCCCTCTTAGCCGAACCTTATTTTCGAGTCGCTTTTCAAAGTCATGTTCCTAACAATCATTTAAATGTTGGCATGAAGTACAGAGGTAGCGCTGATTCTGAATGTCGGTCTCAACGAAGTCGGCAACAACTGGACAAGAGGGCTACCAGTCCCGAGTCGGACATTCGACTCTCTTCCATAATCTCACATCATCGCATCCGAGTAGAGCTGCTATATTAAGGATGCTTATTTTCGTCTGGAGTTTAGTCCAAACTGCAGGGTGAGACGCCTAAGATGACGCACCCACAAAGCTTCACATCGGCCTAACCTATACTGTACTAGAGCTGCTGTACTTGGTGTGATCGTCGTTGGACATGGTCGTGGATGATCCCTATTGATTCTGGGAGGCCTGAGAAAGTGTCGAGGATCAGCCACAGCCGTTTGAGCTTGGAGTTAGTATATGCATGCTGAGACAGCAAGTGGGCTGAGTGCAGCAGTGTCCATCTTACAATCTATATTCTGCCGCTGTTGTAATCATGGAGTCACCGGGATATAAAAGCCTGCGAATCCTCGTCTTGAATATAATCGTCGTCAACAATAGAGCGCTATTGTCAGTCACTCAATCCTCAAGAACTTAACCACTCCTCACTCTTCATATTCTACCCTCCGCTTCATTTGACAGGTTCAATCATCGACCAAAATGAAGGCCACCACTATCGGCACCCTCCTTCTGGCTGCCGGCACCGCGCTGGCCGTACCTGGCAAGCGAGCCCAGAAAGCCGTCGCCATCAGCGCCTTTTCTGCCTCTCAAAATGACCAGCAGGGATTTGTCACCTTCAGCTTCAGCGACCCTAACTACAACAAGGCGCCCATCAATGCCAACGTGATCTGGTACGCCTTACTCCCCTCTCCCCTCCTCTTCGGACCACGACCAAACTAACATACATGGCCAGGGAACGTCCCGGAAACCCTCCCTCGAATGCTCGCACTGGTGACGGTGCCTACCTCGTCCAATTCCCAGACGGCGTGGACGACATCTCCACCTTCACCTTGCAGGTGCAGCGGGTAAATGGTACCTCGAGAGCCTCGCTTACCGTCGATGATGCCGAGGAGGACACCAACTGGCACTGTCACGACGTGGATGGCACCGAGAATGGGAAGAAATGCCACTACAATGGAAACATTGTCTTTACCCCTCCTTCGCCTTCTTCGTCTCCTTCTGCCTCCGCCTCTGCTTCTCCCTCGGTCTCTCCTTCCCCTACGCCCTCCGCTGAGCCTTCCTCTTAAGCTCCACTGTCAGTACTCTTGATTACGATCGGGACAAGACCGACACGGGGATTGGTGACGGGGAAAGTGTTTCTCTTTTTTTTTTTTTTTGTTTTTTTTTTGAGTTTTACGTTTGCGTTTTGTTTTGTTTGATATAGTAGATACCGCACGGGCATCAGCACGATGGCTGATACTGGATAGACTAGAGCAATGTTTGGGTGTTTATGTACCAAGAATGATTTTTTGTTTCATGTCCTTCGAGGCACTCTACCTCGGCTTCTTTGAACCTTGCAAATTAAATCGTTTCCAAGCATTGAGATAGTTGTGAAGATCGCATTGTTTCAGATCTCACGTAAGCTGCAGTAAAGTAGCCGTTCAAACTAGTAATCATACACACCAAGCCCCTGGATGGCAGAGGTGGTAGGTACAGTTAGCTATAAGGAAGAATACCGATGCAGAGAACCTTAGACCCCGGGTCTGAAAGGAGTGCTAGAGCCGGGGCCCTTACTGGAAATTATTCCGAGTGGGCGCTGAGCGCTCATGTGTAAGCCCTATTGAACGCGGCCTAGTTCACTTCTACGTCTACTTTGCGAAATACTTGATTCGGTTTCTGGCAGAGAGGCATGATTTGTTTGTGTGTAGGCTTCATTCTGTTCTATGTATTTTTGGTAGGTGGTTGAGATTCCGTTGTTTCAGAGTTGGTTGTTGTCTTGGGACAGGTTATTTTGAAGTTTATACCGAAGAAAATAAAAGGTAAGTGGGATATGTGGAAAAAGGTTGGTAAAAAGGAAAATAAATGAATATATATGTCAATATGAGGGTAGAGAAGGGTATCTGCAAAGAAAGGAAAGGGGAGATCAGAAATGAAGATGGTCAAATAGGAACATCGGAGACAAGACAGTAATGACATGTACTGACTTTCCCAATGAGCAAGGGGAAATTGGAAGAAGTGACAATAAGGAAATCAGGGAAAAAGAATGAGTGGGTGCATAAGTATGTACAAACATATCTCCGCGGGGGCTATCAAGGTGACAACTACTACCCTGCAACCTTACACGATGATATGATGATTATTATAAAGTAAAGAAACGAAAAATGTCGAGAAAGGTATCAAGGCCAAATCATAGACAAGTGGTCGGCTAAGCCTTGGCCTCTATGGTCGTCTCGTTGCCGGTTGGTGTCAAGCTACGCTTGGAAGCAGCTTCGCCGTTCTCACTGTTGGCGGTGCTGATCACGTCGCGGGTAATCTCGACGTAGTCATACTATTTCCATGTCAGTTGAAGGCCATTCGATCGATAGTCTAGCCAAGGAGCGACTTACGGCAAACTCGCCAATCTCGGCGTCGTCAATGCCCATGATCTCGTCTTCTTCGGGGGCACGCAAGCTGAGACCCGGGATCAGGTTGATGATGAAGAGGAGAATGCAGCTTCCGAAGAAAGAGTATGCCATTCCGGTGACAGAGTCGGCAAGCTGATAAGCTAGTTGAATGTAGTTGTGGTTGATCCAGCCGCCGTCGATTGTGGTAGAACCATCAAGGTGAGCGATGTAATCACTGGAGCTATGTTAGCTGCCGTACATACGGACGGAGGATATGGGTCGTCTTACGCAGCGAAAAGTCCAGTCAGAAGGTTGCCTACCAGACCTCCGATCCCATGGACAGCGAAGATGTCAAGTGCGTCGTCAACCTTGATCACATACTTCAGTTTCGTGGCATAGTTGCAAGCGACGGCTCCCACGACACCGAAAATGAATGAAGCCCAGGGGGTGACAAAGCCCGATGCGGGGGTGATGGCCACCAAGCCGGCAATGACACCGGAGCAGAAACCAACAGTAGACCACTTCCTCTCCAATCGATAGTCCAGAAGACACCAGGTAACCCCACCCACGGCGGCGGCGAGGTTGGTCACCACGGCTGCCATGACGGCACGAAGGTTAGCGCTCAAGGCGGAGCCGGCATTGAATCCAAACCATCCAACCCAGAGAAATACAGTGCCGATGACCACATGTGTTACGTTGTGCGGGCGATAATTGAGCTCGTGGGTGCCGTGTCCGCGGCGCTTTCCAAGCATCAACGAGTATGCCAATGCGGTGCAACCCGAGGCGATGTGAACGGGTGTACCACCCGCAAAATCAAGACCACCAAGGTTTGCCACCCAACCACTCGAGTTCCAGGTCCAGCATGCAATAGGATCGTAGATGATGGTGGACCAGACAAAGCTAAAAACCATGCAGGGAAGCATGCGGCCACGCTCTGCGACAGCACCAACTGCGAGCGCCACACTGGTCGGTTGTCAGGATACGTGATTATAGGTAGATAAGATCTGGACTTTCTGGGACTCACGTAATACATGCGAACATGCCCTGGAAGACAGCAAACAGGAGATCTGGGACCTTGTCGCTGCCAACAGACGGTGCACCCAGAACACCTTTGAACCCAAAGTTGTTCAAGTCACCAATATATTTTCCGGCAGTATGAGAGAAAGCGAGCGAGTAGCCCCAGAAGAACCACTGAAAGGAGACTATTCCTACGGACATTATCGATAGCCATAGTAAGGAAAGTGCCGACTTCCGACGGGCAAGACCGGAATAGAAGAATCTTGTACGGTCAGCAAAGCACTTGTTTGTTTAGGGCTGGACTTTGCGGCCCGGGGTTTCCATACCCGACTCCAGGAATCATCAGCAAGACAAGGGCCGTCGAAACAATAACCCATGCGATATCGCCAGACTAAGACAGTTAGTTGATCCGTTCGTAAGTGCTGTTCACTGGGCGCAACAAACGCTGTAGTAGATGTTAAGATCTTCCGTCAAGGAGTCCCCTCCGGTCCCAGTCTCCGACCCATTGTAGGCCACAGGGTATTCTGCCATTGCGAATCGTTACCCGCGTATCGAATCCCGCAAAGCAATCTAAAACTGAGAGGCGTAGGTGGATCACCGTGGCTGTCGCTGAACAGCGAGGATCCTGTCCGCTGCGATGTGCTGAGCTGAGGAGATACTCGAAGGAACACTCGACCGGTAGGCAACCAGCTGGATTAACTCTAGCAAAATTGGACAGGTGTAAAAACTCGGTCCCAAGGAAGAGAGAAAAGGATGGGTGGCGTAGGGGCGATAAGAGCGAAAAGATGAACCTCAAGGGGCACAGGATGCAGGAGTCATAAATATGTCGGCGACACGAGTCACAAACTTCAGCCTCGACACAGGCCCCGGTCCACTATTGGATGCACCTTGACTATCATCACTCACTGATTGGTATCATTTGATATCAACGCAGCCAGGCCAAGACCTGCCCCGACGACAGGCAAGTGGATACTGATGGGGAGGACTCTGAGCCAGTGCTCATCTGACTATTACTTACGGGGTGGATAAGAAGCTTTCCGATAGATAGTCCTCTGGCCATATGAATTGATTGATTTTGTTTCTCTTTTGCTAACAGCTTGTCCGTAATCTTTCTGATACTCTGAGAGAGAGGCTTGTGGAGCGATCTCGGCGGACGCACCTTACGGGGGAGGGAAGTCAGTGACATTTCCACGGGGACTTCGACCCGATTGGCAAGAATGAGGATAGTGGCAGTGAGATGATTGGGGTTCATCGACTAGTAGTAGTAGGTGAGGTTACTAGAAAGCGTGGAAGCTCCAGCGTTTGGACCTGTACAGAGATAGGGAAGCCGCCACAACCAATCAAGGAGCTCGATTTCCCCCCCCCCAATTTGATCCTGACAATAAGCCACTGCAGATAGATAACGACGAGATAAATCAATTAAAATCAAAATCCATCAATCCCGAGTCATGGATCGGCTTCAGTTTAATCCGCCTCAGAGTGGAGTGAGTGATCTTCATGCGGGTTGCTTCTGTCCCTACTAGGTCTGTTCATGTCATCACGATATAGCAATATTATTATCCTTTATGGACTTCACTGGACTTGAATCGTGTCAAATTCCCTCTCGAAAAGAATGTCTCGTTTTGTCTGTCTAGAAGTCGCTGACAGGCTCAAGGTACGACTCACTTTAGCTTGAATTCCCTCGTATCAATTTGTTATCAACCCTTCTGGGGGCCAATCATCACTCGCCGTGGTGGCTTATCATCTCAATACCTTCCACACATTGTTATTACAGTCGCTGACTACGACTGGCACGGTTATCGATAGACCCCATCGTTCTCAGGTCTGATATCGGGTTGGAAAGAACATGTAATTCATGGTTATCAATTTACTACTGTTGGACAATCCAGAGGATCTCCTGGAGTAGTAGTATGAATATCTCTCCACCATTTTACTAAAGCCCTAAGGGGACCCATCGTGACCCTCTCAGCCTACTTTTACTCTGTTTTATTTATTTATGTATTTTTCTTTCTCTTTTTTTCTAGAAAAAAGGTACACCAATACTAGTATTTTATGGCGATCTTGTATATCAGTGGACCGGGTACCTGCCTCCTTTCCTTCCCTCTCCTTTGGAGCTACGTACTCCGTCCACTGTCTGGTTATGGAGGAGGATGAAGTAGAGATAAGCATTTAAGCTCCCATTGGCCAGAGGTGGGCTTTCGTGACCGTTCGGCATCCCGAGGCGTAGTACGGCCTTGGCATCAATACTACTTACTAGGACTAGTAGTAGTAGTACTACTACGGAGTACTCTGTACTAGACGTATGGAGTACTCTGTCGATTGATTCAATCGCTCTCCATTGACTCGTTCAGGTCATGGGCACATGTGGACGTCTAGAGCCTTGCTTCCATTTTCCCACTATCGAAAAGCTTGGGGAGGAGCTGCATATACTATGAAAGAACTTACCAAATGTGACCGGTACGGAGTATAACCAGAGAACAACGTTTAGTTCCTTCAGCTCAGGTCTATAAGTGAACCTGTTTGGGAGAATATAAGAATCGTTGTACAGCAGCTATCAGACTTGAGCATCAGTGCTTAGCCTCTGAATGGTAAGGCTTCCCCAGATGTTCATCCTGAGCTCAAATCCCGGACTGCTTTCTTGTGTCATGAGACCCGCACACGCCAAATCGAGCGTTCGGGCCCACTGATCAACATGATATCGCTTTTGATGCATGTACTATCGATCGTTTAGCTTGTCCTCCCTAACTGCAGAGTCTGAAAAGCTACTCCGTACTATGTATATATTCAGGCCGGCAGACGCAGTCGCATGGATTTGTCACGCTAGATAGTTGCCTATAGGATTTGGTCGACTCTTAATATTTGCCAAGGATTTTAAACTCCCGTGTATTGTACTCCAGAGGTGTGCAGGACAATCAGAGGTGTGGACACTCCTCCTAATCGGAGTATCTATACAGGTTGACGCACATCATGAATAACTTCTCTGCAGCACAGGCAAGATAAATGCGTTGCTGTCCTGTACTCGGTACTAGTAGAAGGTACCTGTCTCAAAAGGACTCTCCCACCATAGCGATTAGTAATCATTCAGCAGCCACAATTGATTCCGATAGGGACGCACCGCCACAGACCCCTATCTAATCCACCGTAAGCTCCTCCTCATCAACTCCGCCATCCAGTCCATGCGAAACGTGGAGGCTCATCAGGATCGTAGATTTGAGACCATGGAGCACCCTGACATGAACAACAATGACTCGGATGGCTCAGGGTCATCCGATGAGCTTCTCCAGCAATCCTACGCCAGATCGAACTCGAATTTTACAGACTCTTTTGACGGCCAAGTACAAACGCCAGCTACCACAATTTCCTCTTCGCCGCCTCCTTCGGGTCTTCCATCTTGGGTCAGCTCCACAGCCTCGCGTCCACGCGGCTCCAGTGTTGGCACCCCAACCGTGCTTGAAAAGGCGCCTTCTGCCGACGGCCTCCCAGTGTCAGATGTGAGGCCTCAACGTCCCGCAGGTCCCGCCAGGACACCTTCCAATACCTATGCCCCCCAGCGCCGTCCACCCCAATACATCAGCTTCCAGAATGACCGCCAGAGATCCTCCTCAACGAAACGTAACTCCAGACGGGATCCTAACGCTCAGTACAGAGCCCAGGAGAAGGCATACGTTCAGAGGATTCGTGCGGATCCTCAGGCGTGGTACAGCCACTTTGACGAGGCCCAAAATATGAGCATAGTCGGTGATTCCGACTTAGAAGAACCGTCCCCGTCGTCAGAGGTGCCATTTGAAGATGATGCTTACGACCCCGATATTCAACTTTTTCTAACGGATGATAACCAACCAACGCTGGAGGAGCTGAAGAACCCGAAGAACCAGGAAAGACTCGAATGGCATTCTATGCTGGCTTCGGTCTTGAAGGGAGACGTGGTGAAGCAGGAAAAGCAACGACTTCTAGGGTCTACCGACACTAAGCGGTCGTCGGCGCAAAATAACGCAATATGGCTGGGAGTCAGGGCTAGGACATGTGGACGGAGTATTGCCATGCAGCGGAAATTGATCGAGGAAGCTCGTTCTGGTCTTGGGCCGATAATTGAGGAGATCATCAAGTTTGAGATCAAGGGTGAAACGGAGATTGGTAAGCCACCAATCAAGCAAGTTGAGGACATCGTCGAACAGATTGAGAGATGTGAACTGCTCTACTCAACCCAAAAGGAACTGGAAGCCGCCCACCCCCGCGTCGCCTCGGAGGAGTTTATCTCTAGTCGTGAAGCTGTGCTGGCATGGCATAACACTACGATTCTTATCAATACCGAGCTTGCCATCTTACAGAAGTGGGTCGGTAACGATGAGCTTGACTTTAGCAAGGCGAGGGCCAAGTCTGTCAACAGGGACCTTACCGACGAGTCGTCATTCCTCGACCGCATCATGAAAGAGGACGGCCTGAAGACCCTTCAAGGGAAGCACAACATGCTTCATGGCGTCAGTGAAGTCATTCAGAAAGCTAAGAGTACCTTGATTGAAAATGCCAACTCTTTCGCCAAACGGCACTTACCTCCCTACATCGAGGAACTTCTCACGTTGATCAATTTCCCATCGCGTCTCATACAAGAAATCATCCGTGTTCGACTGTCCTATGCCAAAAATATGAGAGACCCTGCACAGCAATCTCCTATCTTGGTCGACCAAATGATTTCGCAATTTCAGATTCTGATGAGGGTTGCGGTCGACCTCAAGCAACGCTACTTAGATATCGCGAAACCAGAACCGGGCTGGGACCTGCCCCCTTGCATTGACGAGAACTTCGATTCGGTCGTTCTAGATGCCTTGAAATATTACTTCCGGCTCCTGAATTGGAAACTAAATGCGAATAAGAACACATTCAAAGAAGCAGAGATTCTCGAACAAGATTGGGAATTCTCCAATCACATCGGTCGTCAGCTTGAAGGTGGCGATATCGAAGTGGCCGAACAGTTCAGGTACAGCATCTAATTTGTAGTGTATATGTGTGTCCTAGTAACTGACAAGCGAATAGTGCATTGACCGCAAAATCCCTCCAACGCTTGATGATCCATTTTGAACGAGAACTGGTAACTCGCCAAAATGAGGACCCAGCCGACATGGACAAACGTTACAAGAGCGTCCTGGATTCAACCCGGATTCGCCAACGAAAGTTATACCGTTTCTCTCGTTTCCTTCGGCAGCTCTTCGAGAATGCTACAGAATACAATATCCCGGCAGACGCTTCCTATGAATTCTTTGAGTCGCTCCTGATCTCGGACCATTTCCTGATCAAGTCAAATGCATCTACCGGGCAAAAAGGGGTTTATCTATTTGCGCATCATGCGTTATGGAATCGTCCCGGCGATATTCGAGCCATCTTAGGAACATCTTTCCGTGAAGAGGATGTACCCAAAGACTCGCCTCATGTGCCATATATCCTCGTAGTTCGTCCGGAGAAGCCTCTGAACTGGGCGGGCAAAGAAATGCAGGTTGGCCTGTTGGAGCAACCTACAGACCTGCGGCTGGGAAAACTGCGTCTCGTCGTTGAGGGTACACAACAACGCCTGTCTAATGCAAGACAGGAACTGTCTCAGTTGACTGGAATGCAGCTTGACATGACCATCGAACAACGCGCAAATCTTGGACGGGTGAATGTGGAACTGAACAAGATCAAGAAGATCTCGTTCAAGCTGTCTATGACTATCATGGATAGTGTGGCGATCATTAGAAATCAACTGAAAGAAAGGGGTGTGGAAAACCACGATCTCATTCAGGCGTGCTACGCCTTTGCTACTGAATTCGGCAAGCGCTCCTCCAATGTTGATCCGAACAGGCGTGCAATGAATAGCGCCAGACTTGTTGAGTTGTCACTCGACTGGGTGTCTTTCATTTGTGATGATTGTGACGCTGCTGATAGAAAAACTTTCAAGTGGGCTGTATCAGCGTTGGAGTTCGCAATGGCTATAACCTCCAGCAGGCATCTTCTGTCCATGGATGATATTCAATTTGCTCTATTGAGGCAGAAGGTAGCCGGGTGCATGTCGCTTCTGATATCTCATTTTGATATCATGGGTGCTCGGTCTTCACGGGCAGCTCAGGCTGAAAAGCAGCGCATGGAGGAGCGTGCAGGCGGAAGGAAATTTGGCTCTGGCCGGATTCTGACAGATGCGGAAGCGACTAAGCTTGTGCGTGAGCAACGCCTAACCCACCTACAAGATATTGAAGACCGAAGAGTGGAAGAAGATGCGAAACGTCAGGCCCTAGGAAGGGTGCTGGAAGGATCTAATGAAGCCGACAGATCTCTCGCCGTGTTGTCATCGTCTGCCACCAATGTCACTCTCCGATGGCAACAAGGCCAATTCATCGGCGGTGGGACGTTCGGCTCTGTTTATGCCGCTATCAACCTCGATAGCAATTATCTCATGGCAGTCAAGGAAATCCGACTGCAAGATCCTCAGCTCATCCCCAAAATTGCCCAGCAGATCCGCGACGAGATGGGCGTTCTCGAGGTGTTGGACCACCCCAATATCGTTTCATACCATGGCATCGAAGTTCACCGGGACAAAGTCTATATTTTCATGGAGTATTGCTCGGGTGGGTCTCTTGCTAGTTTGCTTGAGCATGGCCGTGTTGAGGACGAAACTGTCATCATGGTTTATGCCCTCCAGCTTCTGGAAGGATTGGCATACTTGCACCAGGCTGGTATCGTCCATAGGGATATTAAGCCGGAGAATATTTTGCTAGACCATAACGGCATTATTAAATATGTCGACTTTGGTGCGGCCAAGATTATTGCTCGCCAAGGCAGGACTGTTGTTCCCATGGACGCTTTCGCCTCAGCGGGTCATAAGGACGCAATAGTGCCAAAAGATGCACAGATCGCGAACCAAAGGGGCAAGAACCAGAAAACAATGACCGGAACACCAATGTACATGTCGCCCGAAGTGATTCGCGGCGACTCCAACAAGCTGATCCACCGCCAAGGGGCCGTTGATATTTGGTCCTTGGGATGTGTGATCTTAGAGATGGCGACTGGTCGTCGTCCCTGGTCCGCCTTGGACAATGAGTGGGCCATCATGTACAACATTGCCCAAGGCAATCAGCCCCAGTTACCGACCCATGATCAACTCAGCGACATCGGTATCGACTTCCTCCGCCGGTGCTTCGAGTGCGATCCTTTGAAGAGACCTACTTCAGCAGAGTTACTCCAGCACGAATGGATAGTCTCCATCAGACAACAGGTCGTACTTGAACCACCAACCCCTAGCAGTGACCACAGCGGTAGCATAAGCAGCTCCGCCTCGGGCAGCCGTCAGAATTCCAGCTATATGTGATCTTCTTTCACCCCCCGTTGCTTTCAATGATATGTATATTTTAACCCATTCTTTGTTTCTGGGCAACTTTTCATCTTCCTCTCTTTCCTTGCCCATTTCCCTTCGCCCGAAAAGTTTCGCACATGATCACAAAATTATCCTCTCATCACATCAACAAATTGCGCTTGATACCCCTTATACAATGACTAAAGCATGCTCTTCCCGCCAATCCTTAACGTGTGATGTGCTCCATTTTCTTTTTTTCAGCGCTCTTTTCTTTTACTTGGTTCTAGGAATGGTGTTACGGGTCTGTCATACGATACTTGCACGCATGAAGCTCAATTTGATCTTAGTTTGCATCTCTATGTTCCGCATATCTTATAAATAAACCTGCAGTCTACTATGTTAGCAACATATTCTCCGCCTGTAGTATCAGCCTCTAGCATCAGCGTGCTTTTTAAAACAAAATACTGACATGAAACTGCGAAATAAACTTCAAAGGTAAATCTAGATACCTCTCACACCATGATGAGTCAACGAAGGTCAACATGATGACGGGCTATCTGTTTCAGTGTATACACTCGAATATGCATATATGGTCAATAAAAGATAGAATATGACTACTATTCAGGCCCGAGGAAAATGAATGAAATGTGAAAAATAGCCCAAACGTGTTGAACCGAGATCCTTAGATAACGCTACCTATTCGCACACAATGGCCCCAGTGTGAATCGAGAATAAAAGACTAAAGACCAAGAAGATGGAAGGAATAAACACAAGATGGGGTGACAGTTAGAACCCTAGAACCAACGTGGACGCCAATTTAAGAAAACAGCCATCGTAAAACCATGAGTCAAGTGTCTGATGTAGGGAGCGGGAGGTTAGAAAACAAGCATTCCTGTGCTTTGGGAGCACCACGCCGTGGGTTTATCACAGGCAGGAACTGGTGGAGAGAATTAGAAGGAGGCAATAGAAACAATTAAAAAAGTAGAAGGTAAAGGCCGAGGGACTTGATGACCAGAACGTTGTCCCGCGCCATAGAAATTGGTATCAACGAAATTCAATAGCAGGGGTGCAGCCGTGATCCGGAACGTGTTTGAGCTCCAGCTGCTGGTACCTATTGAAACTAATTTATCAGTATCGGAAAAATCAACGGGAAATTTGACTAGTGATTGGGATACATACTTCTCGCTCTTTGCATGGAAGTATATACCAGTCACGGTTCCTTCCACCTGGTTGAAGCAGATGTAGTAGAAGCCCTCGAAGCTTGCACCTGAAATTGTTCTTACACGATGGTCGGGTACAAGGAAGTACTCCTTCCATCGCATGAAGATATGTTCGCGTTGGGCGAAGTTGCGGTATGTGAAATCCGGTCTTTTTGCCTGCTTAGCTAACGGCCTCCAAGCTGGAAATCTCGCCCAGTGATGCATATCGGTCTTCTCCGTAGCGCCCCATGCTTCGTTTCTAGTTTTGAATGTATGTTTTGTTCCGATGATCTCTCCCTCGAAAAATGTAGTAAGGGTGGGATGATCCTCCGTGAGACCTACATTTAAGCGCAATTGGTCAGGTTCGACCATCTAGGGTAGTCGTAATCATGTCGGGATACGGCACTGACCTTGGATTCTAAGATAACCACACAGATATGATTCAACCATATCAACATGCTTGATCTCTACATCAACATTGTATATCTGACGGTCTGACTGCTGCGTGCCAGTGAATTTACTTCCGGGTCGCAGAAAGGACGATGTGTAATTAGGCAAAAGCTTCGATTGTCAGTACAACCAAGCCAGGACATAATTCCGATTGTCGCATACCCGTATATTTGAGAATTCATAACTCAAAAGCGCACTAGTGGAAGGTGTAGTAACAGAAGACGACTGGTTGGAGGAGCGTGGGGGTTCCCCAGCAGGACTCAATCTTCCCGCAGCAGCATCTTCGTCGGATTTTTCCATACTCTTGGCAGAGGCTCCAGGTACAGCACTGGCCTTTAATGCATCTGGATTTGAACGAGTTATGGCAACATCATCCGACCGAGTCAGCACGGACTGCGCCGACGCAATGGTGGGGGAGAGGGCATTATCGGGAGCATCGCTCTCCGCCACGGTAGATTCAGGTGAGTCTCGCCAGGACGACAGCCTCTCTATTTCAGGCGGACATGTTGTCCGAGTGGAGATTTCTTCAGAGATCGATGTGGCATTCAGGCTTGGTGTGTTGTCACTCGGGGTCGGCATTGAGGCGAATCAGAAAAGGAATGACATCGGATCCGGTTAGTAGAAGGGTCTCACACGACGGGACAAGAAAAACAGGCCAACTATGTGAAAGTACAATGCGAGAGAAATACTAAGAAGAGATGAAAGAGAAGGTTTGATGTGAAAGGGGTTGTGAATGGAAGTCCATTCGACTCATGAAGTCCGGGGCGGAAGACGCACTTCCCAAAAGGGATAAGCCCGCTGATCATGCGAGCGCGGGGGAGGCAAACCAGCGCTTGGGGCGGATAATTCCTGGCGGGCCTTGGCCTTCAGGTCACCGCCAGGCATTCATTCCATTTCCATTTTTGGCTTTCTGGTTTACAATTCCATTCCACCCCTTTGATAGAAATTCTTTTATTTTTCTCCCTTATTTATTTTTATTTTTATTTTTTTTTGTTCTTTATTTATACAAAACTATACAATTACTGAACAACCACAATTACACATAGTTCATCAGTTCATCAGATGGGTATTTATTTCTCTGCTACACACTCGGTAGAAATCTGTGGCCAGCTATAGCATTGCGTCATCACTGCCCGTTTGTATATGTATTGCGAAATTGACTCTCGAGCTTTAATTTGCCTCATCATCCAAAACGCCCTATTTTTGAATCCCTAATTGAACAACCTCATGTCATTTGTGAAGTACCTGTTTAGATAGGCTTGATCTGCGAGGCGGGAAAATCACTGTCAGAGCGGTGTCCTCGAAATGAAGAGAATCTGATATTACCTTGAAATGAAGAGAAATAAGAGAGAAAATGAAAGCTTTGAGATCCTGGACAAGGTAGTAAAAAACCCGAAGACCTTCTGGGTCTGCGGACTCGGTCACATCCACCAGCGAACCGATTTTCGCGGTCTGCGCAAGGCCGTGTTAACAATTGTGCCTTGTTCCCAAACACTCCGGGGCTAGAAACGTACTTCAAAGGAGATATGTTCATTTCCAAGTCTGATTTCGAGTTCCTGTCGTCCGTCCTTGTTCTTCTGGGGCCACTTGGAATCGTCCTCTCTGGTGCGCATTAACATCCTATTTCAGGTTTGAACATAGTAACCCATCACATACTTGATGATCTCGCTCTCCCTAATAATCCGCTTGATCTCCTGAATCATCGACGAGCTCACGCACACTATATCATTCCCATTAGCGACGATGTAGTTTCCCACGGCGAGTTCTTTCACTAGCGCTCACTTTCTTTGCGGATAAGGGAGTCATTGCGGTAGTTGGAGTTGTTTGCGTACCGCACGGCGGCACTGCGACCATCACCAAGGGTGCGGAAATCGAATTCTAGTGATCATTAGTGCCTGAAAAGAGAACCAAGATGCTATAGCAAACCAACCTAAGAATTCATGTCCGAACCGCCCAGAGTGACCTGAGCTGCGGGACTGTCAGCAGCTGAGGAAACCTGGGCTAACGAAAATCCAGTTCTTACTAGTAGCGAAGATAGAAAGGTTCGTTCTGATTTTGTGTCGACATCTTCTCCAAGCTCTTCCCACCAGGAACGGCTGCGGCAGACAATACAAGTCGTTGGCTGTGAGGTGCGGCCGGTGCCTGGGTCGAGTTGGGCCTTTGCACGGGATGGGGGCTTAGTCATCCACACACTCCGGACAGCTTGCGCTCTCCGCCGCGCAAATGGACAACGTTGATTCTCAGATCAACATTACATGCTGATGAATGCAAGGCTGGTGAGGGGAGTCGAATTGCTTTTTTAAGTTCCTTTCTTCCGCTTGCTTCATACATCTGAGGAGAGTAGTTCCGGTACTTCTCCCTGCCCGCCTCCCCTGAAGGATCCAATCAATAACAATAGTCTGTTGTACTGACCACATTTAGCTCTCCTCCCTCCTTATCCCATTCCTGCCACGGCCGCTCACTTTTTAAACCCTCGTCACCATGGCGTCGTTTTTAGAAAATGCATACAGTCTTGTCCATCTGGACAACACGGCTGATCAGCCTTCCATACAGGACCTGAAATTGCAGTTGGAGAAGGGCAATGATGAAACTAAGATGGAGACGATGAGGACGATCATCACGATCATGCTCAATGGAGATCCAATGCCCCAGCTGTTGATGCACATTATTCGATTTGTGATGCCTTCGAAGAGCAAGCCTCTCAAGAAACTACTGTACTTCTACTACGAGATCTGCCCGAAGCTCGATGCGAATGGCAAGTTGAAGCAAGAAATGATCCTTGTTTGGTAAGGCATTCCATTCGGCCTTTGGTAGGTGGCTGCTCTAATATGCATTTATCCGCGCAGCAACGGTATTCGCAATGACCTTCAGCACCCCAACGAATATATTCGAGGCAACACCCTTCGCTTCCTGTGCAAGCTCCGAGAACCGGAACTCATTGAACCCCTCCTCTCGTCAGCCCGCTCATGCTTGGAACACCGTCATGCCTATGTGAGAAAGAACTCCGTTTGGGCTGTCGCTTCTATTTTTCAACATTCGGAAGCTCTTATTCCCGATGCGCCTGAACTCATCCAGGCGTTCCTCGACACCGAGACTGACGGCACGTGCAAGCGCAATGCTTTTGCGGCTCTCATGTCCATCAGTCATCAGAAAGCCCTAGAGTACTTGGCCTCTACATTCGATAGTATTCCCAATACAGATGAACTACTTCAGCTGGCGGAGCTCGAATTTATCAGGAAAGATGCGGTGCAGAACGCTCAGAATAAGGTGGGTCGTCGAAGAGCAGAAGGATGCTACAGGCTACTAACGACCGGCAGGCGAGGTACCTGAAATTGATCTTCGATCTCCTAGACGCTTCAACCAGTACCGTGATTTACGAAGCTGCGACATCCCTTACTGCTCTTACCAGCAACCCAGTAGCCGTCAAGGCAGCTGCCCAGAAGTTAATTGAATTATGCATCAGAGAGGCCGACAACAATGTGAAGCTCATTGTTCTTGATCGGGTTGACCAGCTGAGGATCCGCAACGAAGGTGTTTTGGAGGATCTCACAATGGAAATTCTACGCGTCCTTTCCAGTCCGGACATCGACGTTCGGCGGAAGGCCCTCGGCATCGCATTAGAGATGGTCTCCAGCAAGAATGTCGAAGAGATTGTCATGCTACTGAAGAAGGAGCTTGCCAAGACTGTAGATGAGCAATATGAGAAGGTATGTTTCCGACTCCTTTGTAACAAAAGCATCCAACTGACAACCTATATAGAATAGCGAGTATCGTCAACTTCTCATCCAATCGATACACAATTGTGCCATTAAATTCTCGGAGATCGCTGCTAGCGTCGTTGATCTTCTAATGGACTTCATTGCGGACTTTAACAACAACTCTGCCGTAGATGTGATCTCATTCGTCAAGGAGGTCGTGGAGAAGTTCCCTAACCTGCGCGCTTCCATCGTCGATCGCCTGGTGTCGACTTTGAGTGAGGTCCGTGCCGGAAAGGTTTACCGCGGTGTCCTGTGGGTTGTCGGTGAATACTCTTTGGAGGAGAAAGACATCCGTGAAGCCTGGAAGAAGATCAGAGCTAGCTTGGGTGAGATCCCTATCTTGGCTTCGGAACAGCGGCTGCTCGACGAAACCCCAGAAGACAGTGCACTCAAGGAACAGGTCAATGGCCATGCCAAACCTTCGGCGCCAACCGGATCTAGAAAGGTGTTGGCAGATGGCACGTATGCTACTGAGAATGCTCTGACTAGTCAGTCCGCGGCTGCAGCCAGGCTTGAAGCCGTCAAAGCTGCTCAGAAGCCCCCTCTCCGTCAATTGATCCTGGACGGTGATTACTACCTAGCAACCGTTCTTTCTTCCACCTTAACGAAATTGGTGATGCGCCATTCTGAGGTTTCTGAGGATGCTGCTCGGACAAACGCACTGCGTGCGGAGGCAATGCTGATCATGATCTCGATCATTCGTGTCGGCCAATCCCAGTTCGTCAAAGCCCCTATCGATGAGGATTCAGTGGACCGTATCATGTGCTGTGTACGTTCGCTTGCTGAATTCTCCGAGAGAAAGGAATTGGAAACCACTTTTCTGGAGGACACCCGGAAGGCATTCCGGGCCATGGTCCAGGTGGAGGACAAAAAGAGAGCGGCTAAGGAGGCGGTCGAGAAGGCCAAGAGTGCCGTGCAGATTGATGATGCAATCCCTATCCGGCAATTCTCCAAGAAGAACGCTCTTGAAGGCGCGGAGGAGATTGAGCTTGATTTGGCCAAGGCCACCGGCGGGGACTCCACGGTGGAAACTGTCTCTTCCAAACTTAGCCGTGTGGTGCAACTCACTGGTTTCTCGGATCCCGTCTATGCCGAGGCCTACGTCACCGTTCACCAATTTGATATTGTTCTGGATGTTCTTCTGGTCAACCAAACTCTGGAAACCCTGCAAAACCTGTCCGTCGAGTTTGCGACACTTGGAGACCTGAAGGTTGTCGAACGGCCAGCAACCCACAACCTCGGACCCCGCGATTTCTTGAATGTGCAGGCTACAGTCAAGGTATCGTCCACGGACACGGGTGTCATCTTTGGTAATATCGTGTATGATGGCGCCAGCTCAACTGAGTCGCACGTTGTCATTCTTAACGACATTCATGCCGACATCATGGATTACATCCAGCCCGCCCACTGCACCGAGACTCAGTTCCGGACCATGTGGACCGAATTCGAGTGGGAGAACAAGGTCAACATCAACTCCAAGGCGAAGAGCCTCCGCGAATTCCTCAAGCAACTCATGGACAGCACCAACATGGCATGCCTGACGCCAGAAGCATCGCTGAAGGGAGACTGTCGATTCTTGAGTGCTAATCTATATGCCCGGAGCGTATTTGGTATGTATACTTAACCCGCGTGATGGAAGTATTTCGTCGGACGAGGGCTAACGGTGTCACAGGCGAGGACGCACTTGCAAACTTGAGCATCGAGAAGGAAGGAGACGACGGACCGATCACTGGGTTTGTGCGGATAAGAAGCCGTTCACAGGGACTGGCATTGAGTTTGGGATCCCTGAAAGGCCTGAAGGCCTCGGCTGCCTAATTGATGTTGACCGGCGCTTGAATAGTTGATTACCCTTTTACATTCTATCTTATTATCATAGTATCTATTGTATTTGATCTGCGTTTTTGTTCGCTCTTCAGTGTGACTCCGATGGACGAATCTCTTGACTATACGTGTTTCCTTTTTCTACCGTGTTGTACTGGATGAGAAAAGACTTTTTCCTCTTTGAAATGAAAGAATTCTACCAATAGATCTTCCATGGGTTTCCGGGATTATGTCTCTTTGTTAACGCATAGATTGGCCATCAGCGGATCGTACAGTCATCATGTATATAATTATGTATGTACAATCATCCATGGGGTATGTACTATCTACTCCGTCCTGTATTTATTATGTTTCAAGTGTTAAGTTGTCTCCACACCCCGCAGATCGCTGATACCTCGGCTGTGGAAACGACCCAACCCTGGGGTGAGGATGCAACGGAAGGGCCACTTGGTTTCAGGAAAGGTTCATTGGGCCTGGAGAGGGAAAATGACCCAAGAATTGGGCTCGGTATTCAAAAAGAGACATGGTTGGGAATTCGGCAATGGCTATGGTTCTTCAGCCCATGTCAAACGTGGAGTCATTTATACGCGCGGAAGGGCCGGAAGTGATAGAGAGGACTATAGTTATTGAAGGGATGGGCGTGGAAAGGGACAATACGATTCCGTACAACCAAGAATTAAAAAAAAAAAAAAAGAAAAGAACAAAAAGAATCACCAGGGGAGATCCGCGCTGTCATGTCCAGAATGGCGAAAGAAATACTCGAAATAGAAAAAGGCCAGTACTTGTACGAAGGGAACTGGTGGGCCATTGCAACATTTAAATGAAACCAAGTCTGTCCATTTGGATTGAAATTTTTTTTAACATTTACAAAAATCATTTATTTAGTTCGTTAGCCTTTTCCTGAACTCCGCCCGGCTCGTCCATACTCCGGAGTTACTTCGAGTAACTTATTATTGACTACCTGAACCTCCTCTCTCCTTCTCTGCCCTGTTGATCACTCCCCTGCCAGAGTTGTTCCTTTCTTTATTTATCTCCCCCCCCCTCTGCCCATCCCTCGGTAGGATGCGATTTCCGCTTCCCAACGGAACATCATGACTTCTCCCTCCAATGGCCCTTCTTCCAATCTTGCGGATCAGCCGGATTCTCAACGATTGCTGCAGCACGATTCAACCTTGACGGTTGCACAATCGGTTTCCCTTACAATCGGGGGCGACTCCCTTCTCGTTATCGGTACGTGGTTAGGAATCAATGGCTCGTAGTTCCTTGTTGATTAACTCTGGTGCTACAGACGAGCGCCCAAAGTCAAAAGATCAGCGCGCATGCTGTGGCTTGTTAGCCAAGTCATGTATGTCGCACTGAACACCTTCCCTTTTTTTTCCTTTTGACTTTCTTTCTCGTCGCGTTCTACTTGGCTCCAGTTCGGAGGGGAACTTATCGCGCGTCGACTCAAAAAGAAGGTTCAATTTGACTGACTATATCTATAACAGCTAAAACTACCCATTCCATTGGGCTATATAATATTCTTGATGCCGATCTTTCCCCTGCGGGCCTAACCATCACCTATGCCCAAGCCGCTACCAAAGACAGCATTTCCGTGACTGCCCTTGAGTACCCGATCACTGAGAAAGAAAAGGCAAATGCGCAGACGTGGGTTTCGCAACTATTAGACCTCGCATATGGCGAAGCACAACGGTATAAAAGACTTAAAGTTTTGATCAACCCATTTGGCGGTAAAGGTGCAGCTTCTAAGAGCTATCACAAACATGCAGCGCCGGTCTTCGCCGCTGCGCGCTGTGTAGTGGATGTGCAGGAAACAACACATCGAGGCCACGCCACCGAGATCGTGGAGCAAATTGACATTGACGCCTATGATGCTATCGTTTGCTGCTCCGGTGATGGTTTGCCGTACGAGGTCTTCAATGGTCTAGGAAAGAAACCAAATGCTGGAGAAGCACTGGCAAAAGTAGCCGTCGCCATGGTCCCCTGCGGCTCTGGTAATGCCATGGCATGGAATCTTTGTGGGACGGGCAATGTTTCAGTGGCAGCGCTTGCGATTGTCAAAGGCCTGAGAACGTCGATGGATCTGGTCTCGCTTACGCAAGGGAACACTCGCACACTGTCGTTCCTGTCTCAATCCTTCGGTGTCATCGCGGAATCGGACCTTGGAACCGACAACATCCGATGGATGGGAGCTCATCGTTTCACGTACGGTTTCCTTGTACGCATCATGCAACGGACGGTGTACCCATGCGACCTCGCCATCAAGGTGGAGATTGATGATAAAAAGGCGATCAAAGACCATTACAATACATACGCACACAACCCAGCTCCGCGTCGTTCCCCCGAAGAGACTGCAGGACAGTCCAAGGGTCTTCCCGAGCTTAAATATGGCACGGTCCAGGATGATCTTCCCAAAGATTGGGAAGTCATTCCAGGCGAAGAAATGGGTAACTTTTACGCGGGAAAAATGGCTATTGTGTCCAAGGACACAAATTTCTTCCCCGCCTCCGTGCCCAACGATGGGCTGATGGACATTGTCACCATTAACGGAACAATCCCCCGTACTACGACCCTCAAGATGATGACCGCCATCCCGGAGAATGAGTTCTATGATATGCCCGATGTCAAGATCCGCAAGGCTGTTGCCTACCGCCTGGTCCCTCGCCAGAAGGAAGGCTATATCAGCGTTGACGGTGAAAGCATCCCCTTCGAAGCGTTCCAGGCTGAAGTCCATAGAGGTCTGGGCACGGTGCTCTCTAAATCGGGACATCTCTATGAAGCAGAGGGTCCGAGACCATGATGTCCTTGACAAAGTCCCTTGCTTCAAGTAAGAGAGGACACGATGGAGAAACAGGTCGTCCGTGATGTCTTTTGGTTGTATCCATATATTTACTATTACTAGTCTTGGCATTTTATGATACCCGCGCGCAAGACTTTCGAGGAAGCACAGGCATGCTTTTAATACAGTTGGTTTAGGGCTCTGCTAGCTGGATACCGTTAGCCAGAACTGACTAACAACTATAGCTCGTGATGTATACACTTTACTATAGAGTTCATGGAAAGACAATCGTTGCTGTATCTGCATCTCTGAACCAGTAATAAGAGCCTTTAATTTGGGAAAATAGAAAAAAGAAAATGGTGGCCGCTATAATTGTATATAAAGAATTAACACCATGAAATCCCACAATAGACATCAAATTTTCTAGTAATACATGGAAATCAATCAAATCCACCCCATTCCTCGTCACTATCCTCCTCTTCATCGGAAACAACCTTCCGAGTCCGGAATCCCCACTCGATCAATCGCTCGTCCTCCAAAGTCTCCTTTGCCCGAGTCCTTACAGGCTTGTACGGACTGTCGGCCCGCAGCTTCTCAATGGGTCTCAAAATCAGCTCAATTGGAACATCACCCTTTGGTTTCCGCACCCCATCAGACCCCTCCTCAAACTCAAGCACCTTCTCCACCTCATCAATCCAGATATCCATAATATGATACCTCAACCCATCGGGGCCATGGGGCATGGCGACATAATCCTTCTTCTCATCAGTGGCGGGCTGGTCGGGGTCGAAGTTAAGCGGACAAAGCGGGCCCTCTTCCAAGATTGAGATGTACGACTCCAATTCCGCCCACTTAGTCTCATCATTCTGCTCCTCTTCCTTCTCCTGGAGAACCTCGCTCTGCTTCTTTCCCTTCGACCGCTTCTTCGATTTTCCGTTCTGTTCAGCTTCCCTCTTCCGCTTCTTGTTGCTGTCCTTGTCCTGCGCGGCCTTTTGCTGCGCGCCCTTCAGGAAGATCTCAAATGCAACCCCGACATAGAAACGGATCAGCAGCAGGTACTTGTCCAGTCGCAACCGATCCAGCGAATGGAAATCTCGGCTGATGGTGATCCAAAATGCGCGCAGGAAGCGATGGACGGCAGAGCGGGGAATAGTCGGGACGAGTGAGTAGGAGAGGTTCCGCGCGAGGGCTTGTTGTGTGAGTGGGCGGTCGGAGTGGTAGAAGCCTGGTTGAGTCGTTTGTTAGTTTTTCTCGATATACAATTTGTATTTCAACCTCGGGTGTATGTAGGCATGGGGAGCAGCGCGAGACGTACAGAAGAACAGGCCTTTCCATAGTTTGAGAAGCTCGATGAGAGAGAGGTCGGCTCTGGAGCGGAGGAAGAGAGTTAGGGAGTCGGTTGCTTTGTCCCGGATTTTCTTGTCTGCGACATTGGTTAGCTTTGGGTTGGGATACGCGAAGCGGACATGTGCGATTGAGGCGGGGTTCGACTGATATTGGGACATACCGCTGGATGCGAGCTCCCTGACGAAGGGAGTCTTTTGTAGATCTGTCATGGTTGTAGCTTTGTTGTTTGCTGTATGTCTAACCTGATCTGCGGAAGACCTTCATACAGACAATCTTTTTTTTTTTTAATGTTTGCTCTGTTTGCTCTTGAAATATTTGGGCGGGATGAGTCTCGAGTTATGATTGGGTGAATATGCAAGTGCACCGCTGATGGGCCGAGATCCAACTGGGTGGGGAACTTTCGATAACTTAGTCTACTTTTATCTACTATTACATACTACAATTCACGATATTCCGCGACAGCGATGATGCTGGACCCACAAGCAGAATGAGACTTTTAAGACTGAAAGTTGGGAAGACCGATTAACGGAAAGATAGATGGAAGGTAAAAATGTACTCAGAAAACCTAGATTCCTAAAGCAGAAGGTGGCTACTTGATCCAAGATTTGTTACAGTACTATTGGATCACGGGTATCTTAGTATACGACTGACTGCATGAGAAAGTCTACAGCTATTGATATCCACACCTCCCAACTTACCCTATTGTATACTATTTGTACGGACCTGCTGTTGCGAGACACCAGATCTAAAGTTGAAAACCCAGCGGCTTGAACTAATTATTTTTTCTAAAATTACATACGCGTCTTCAACTCTCGACGCTGAAAAATACTCTTCTCGGCCGCATCCAGCACATTGAAACAGTACCTTCTGTATAACCCCTGGTGGCTCCATGTGTGTAGACACAACGACCACTCAGGTTGGGAAGATGCAGTTCAATAGTGCAGAAATCCTGGGGTTGCTCCACTGGGGAGTTTCTAGAGGCATTTGGGCCTTTCTGTCGATGACATCACCACTTACCGCGGGACGAATTGAAACTTCAGCCTGAGAGTTAATTAGCAAACCGTAATGCAATCATAAACAGGGTCAGGTCAGTCAATACACAGTACTTACTAGGTTGCATTTCACTGGTGACGAATGGGGTTACACGCGCAACGTGCGGGCTTCCTTATATAGAATCGTTACACCCATATCTTGCTGTTCGTTTCCTCGATTCCTATGCCTAGTCTCAATTGCATTCTGCATACATAGTTATTGTGCATCATTGGTCATCTAAAGTGAACAAATATCCACACCCTTATTGCCTTAATACTTGACATCTTATCTTGTCGGCTCACAAAAGGCTGGGTTGATGATTAAGAAATGACAGAGGAGAAACGCACCGGCAGCAGCCGGTCAAGTTCAATCCAGGAAGATGGGGCGGACGTGAGACAGCAGTATAAGCGGAGGGGGTCAAAATTCGACGATGCCTCAGTCTTCGAGAGTATTAATCCCGAAAACAGAGCGGAGTTGACGCGCATTGCGTCAAACTTCCCCTTGCAACGTCGTGCGACTAGCTCTCAAGAGAGCGAGTCTCGTCTCCAACGCAGAGATACACTTGAGGATATTGGCCTTGATCACCCTTCTCTGGACCCTACCAGTGGTCAATTCGACCAGTACAAATGGACTCGGATGAGACTGAAGCTGATGGATAAGGAAGGCATTCCTCGTCCCCCGTCGACTGGAGTTGTATTTCAGAATCTCAATGTGTCCGGGTCAGGCTCGGCGCTGCAATATCAAAGCACTGTGGGATCGATTTTGTTGGAGCCTTTCCGCCCACAAGGATGGCTGAGCCTTGCGAAAAAGTCCCCAGAGAAGCAGATTTTGCGCAATTTTGATGGTCTTCTAAAGAGCGGCGAGATGCTGATTGTTCTGGGGAGGCCTGGTAGCGGTTGTTCGACCTTTCTCAAAACATTGTGTGGCCAGCTGCATGGTTTAAAGCTTCGCGAAAGCTCAGAGATACAATATAATGGTGTTTCGATGGAGAAGATGCATAAAGAGTTCAAGGGTGAAGTTTTGTACAACCAAGAGGTGGATAAGCATTTCCCTCATTTGACCGTCGGACAAACGTTGGAATTTGCTGCAGCGGCGAGAACCCCCGAGAATAGGCTACGTGGGCTCAAGCGACAAGAGTTTGCTAAGCACATCGCCAAGGTTGCGATGGCTGTATTTGGCTTACTTCATACGTACAACACAAAGGGTATGTCGGGCAAGCCAGAAACCTCTGGGCGTTGAAGTAGCTGACACCTGTGCACAGTGGGTGATGATTATATTCGAGGTGTTTCAGGGGGCGAACGAAAACGAGTGAGGTTAGTATGCCCTACATATCATGATTGCTGGTGCTTCTCTGACCCGCATACAGTATAGCTGAAATGGCACGTAAGTATTAAGCCGCTTTGACTTTGGTAACTTTGCAATTGACATCATACCAGTTTCCGGTGCACCCATGGGAGCATGGGACAACAGTACCAGAGGTCTGGATTCTGCAAGCGCATTGGAGTTTGTCAAAGCGCTGCGGCTTTCCTCCAATTTAGCTGGCACTAGTCATGCGGTTGCAATCTATCAAGCCTCGCAGGCAATCTACGATGTCTTTGACAAGGCTATCGTTCTATACGAAGGGCGAGAGATCTATTTTGGACCATGTGATGAGGCAAGAGACTACTTCACCGGTATGGGCTGGCATTGTCCACCACGCCAAACTACTGGGGATTTCTTGACAGCCGTTACCAACCCGCAGGAGCGTCAAGCACGGGATGGAATGGAGAACAAGGTCCCTCGCACGCCAGATGAATTTGAGAAGTACTGGAAAAAGAGCCCTCAATATGCCGCACTCCAGGGAGAAATCGATGAATATCATATGGAGTTCCCAGTAGGAGGAGAAGCAGAGCAAAGCTTTGGAGAAATGAAGAGAGTTAAACAGGCAAAGCATGTTCGCCCGGAGAGCCCATATATCATATCAATTCCGATGCAAATCAAGCTCTGCACAATCAGAGCTTATCAACGGTACTTATCCACTACACTTTTGCCATCATTTCTATACTAACCACCATAGACTCTGGAACGACAAGCCCGCCACACTGACAACGGTCCTCGGAAGAATCTTCATGGCTCTTATAATTGGTTCCATGTATTTTGGGTGAGTAGTTCGATATCACCCTTATGTCTAATACAATTTTAACCTTCACAGGACACCAACTGCTACAGCCGGATTCTATAGTAAAGGAGCTGCCCTTTTCTTCGCTGTTTTGTGAGTATGCCCTTGAATGTCAGATATCAGCCCCGGTGGCCCGGATGGCCTTACGAAAAACGCAAATCCCGGACTAACCCCTGTGTCTAGAATGAATGCTCTTATCAGTATCACCGAGATCAACTCCCTCTATGACCAGCGACCTATAGTTGAGAAGCAGGCGTCCTATGCTTTTGTCCACCCCTTCACTGAAGCATTTGGGGGCATTGTAAGCGACGTACCAGTGAAGTTTGTCTCAGCCGTGATTTTCAATATCATTTTTTACTTCCTGGCTGGATTGGTAAGTAACGACTAGCCATCCCATACGTAAAAGCTGCTAACACAAGCATATAGCGATATGAGCCGTCCCAGTTTTTCATTTTCTTCTTATTTACGTTCCTTAGTACACTTGCAATGTCGGGAATCTTTCGGACCCTTGCAGCTTCGACAAAGACCCTCGCGCAAGCTATGGCCATGGCCGGTGTATTAGTCTTAGCCATCGTCATCTATACAGGCTTCGTAATCCCTGTTCCGCAGATGCATGACATCCCGTGGTTTAGCTGGATCCGGTGGATCAATCCCATCTTCTACACGTTCGAGTCCATGATAGCCAACGAGTTCCATGGTCGACAGTTCATATGCTCGCAATTTGTGCCTTCTTACCCGAGTCTTAGCGGTGATTCCTTTATCTGCTCTGCCAGAGGTGCTGTTGCAGGCGAAAGGACCGTTTCTGGGGACGCTTTCATTGAATCGCAGTATAGGTACACATATGCGCACGAATGGAGGAACCTTGGCATTCTGATAGGCTTTTGGATTTTCTTCTCCGCGATCTATCTACTGGCCACGGAAATCAATTCCCAGACTTCTTCTAAAGCCGAGTTCTTGGTGTTTCGACGGGGTCATGCGCCAGCACATATGCGCGACCTTGACAAAACTCAAGGTGACTCTGGATCTACTGACCTCGCTCAGTCACATAAAGAGAAGGAAACTGAGAATGCTGCATCCGTTATACCAGAGCAGCGGAGCATATTTACCTGGAGAAATGTGTGCTATGATATCCCTGTGAAGGGGGGAGAGCGGCGTTTATTAGACCACGTCTCGGGGTGGGTTAAGCCTGGTACACTTACCGCACTGATGGGTGTATCAGGAGCTGGTAAAACGACCTTGCTTGATGTTCTCGCTAAGCGTGTTTCTATCGGCGTCGTGACGGGTGATATGCTGGTAGATGGGAAAGAGCTTGACAATAGCTTCCAGAGGAAAACAGGGTATGTGCAGCAGCAAGATCTCCACCTTTCCACAACAACAGTGAGAGAGGCGCTACGGTTCAGTGCGCTCCTACGTCAACCAAAGTCTGTCTCGAGGAAGGAGAAGTACGGTTATGTCGAGGAAGTTATAGAGATGCTCAATATGCAAGACTTCGCTGGCGCTATTGTTGGGACACCGGGAGAAGGCTTGAATGTTGAGCAAAGGAAGCTTTTAACAATTGGGGTGGAGTTGGCTGCAAAGCCTGAATTGCTGATTTTTCTTGATGAGCCAACTAGTGGTCTGGACTCCCAGAGTTCTTGGTCTATCGTAGCCTTCTTGCGGAAGCTCGCAGATCATGGTCAAGCAGTGCTTTCTACAATCCACCAACCGAGTGCGCTCTTGTTTCAGCAGTTTGACCGTCTCTTGTTTCTGGCCAAGGGCGGCAAGACTGTTTATTTTGGACAAATCGGTGAGCAGTCTCGCACTCTCCTTGAGTACTTTGAGGGGAATGGGGCAAGAGCTTGCGGCTCGGAAGAGAATGTAAGTGCACCCTTTCGTCTTCATTGATAGCATACTAACAGGCGAAAGCCGGCCGAGTATATGCTGGAAATTATCGGAGCCGGCGCCTCTGGTAAAGCCTCTAAGGACTGGTCTGCCATATGGAATGAAAGTCGCGAATCGAGTGATGTCCAAAAGGAAATTGACAGGATCTATCAAGAGAGAGCTTCAGCATCCAATGGCAGTGGTGACACCCACCAAGGAAAACCTGCGGAATACGCCATGCCGTTTATGTACCAGCTGGGGTACGTAACTCATCGTGTCTTCCAGCAGTATTGGCGAGAGCCTTCCTACGTATGGGCCAAGATGCTTCTTGCTACCCTCTCGTCGCTATTCATCGGCTTCACATTCTTCAAGCCCAATAGCAGTCAGCAGGGATTCCAGGACATCCTATTCAGTGCCTTCATGCTGACATCCATCTTCTCGACATTGGTACAACAGTATGTGACAGCTCTAGACTCTCATTTGTAATTGCCAGCTAACACAGGCTTTAGAATCATGCCAAAATTCGTGGTCCAGCGGTCCCTTTACGAAGTCAGAGAGCGACCATCGAAGGCGTATTCATGGGCGGCGTTCCTTATCGCCAACGTCATAGTCGAGATCCCTTACCAGATATTTGCCGGGGTAATCTCATGGGCATGCTACTATTATCCCATATACGGTGCCAACCAGGCATCTCAACGGCAAGGCCTCATGTTACTCTTCATCATCCAGTTCTACATGTTCACCTCGACATTTGCAACCTTTGTTATATCCGCACTGCCCGACGCAGAGACAGGAGGAACCATCGCAACATTGCTATTCATCATGGCCACCACCTTCAACGGAGTCATGCAACCACCGAACGCTCTCCCGGGATTCTGGATCTTCATGTATCGAGTATCGCCCTTGACATACTTAATCGCGGGCATGACAGCAACAGGATTACACGGCCGAGCAATCAGATGTGACGCAGGCGAGCTAAGCGTCTTCAACCCACCCTCCGGCTCAACCTGTGGCGACTACCTAGCCTCGTATCTCCAGACTGCACCAGGCGTGCTGTACAACCCCAACGCAACACAAGGATGCGAGTACTGTCAGCTTCGTAATGCCGACCAATACCTAGCCAGCAGTAACATCTGTAAGTCCTTCTACCGGGATCCAGGCCACGGGCTAACTAGTGAACAGACTGGAGTGAGAGGTGGCGAAATTTCGGACTAGGCTGGGCGTACATCGGCTTCAATATCATGGGCACTGTTGCTCTGTATTACCTCTTCCGAGTTAAGCATTATAACCTACTAGCTTGGTGCGGGGTATTGCAAATAGTGCGAAATTGGTTTGTCGGGTGTTTAAGAGACGGTCCGGGACGACACCTAAAGGGAGGGAAGCCGAGAATGGAAGGTTGGTTTGATCGCATCTTGGTGTTTTCCATCCGAGAGAGAGGAGGGGGGGGGGGGAGGAGGGCTGCGATATATATCGCGCTGCACTTGTTTCATCATACGGTTTCATACATATCCAAGGATGAAACTACATATATCAAAACACTAAGAATGCCTTGAATATATAATAAATTTGTGAGCATAATTGTTGACAGAATTCCATAGCATCACTAATACAGCTAACTCCTTGTCATAACATTAGGGCTAGCTGCAATCCAAATGTAAAGCTCCTATACTTCTTTTCTTTCTAATTATAAAACACTTTTTAGACATATAAAACAAGTACTGAGTCAGATAGCCTACTGGTTCACATCTACAGCATCATTGGTCTAGTGGTAGAATTCATCGTTGCCATCGATGAGGCCCGTGTTCGATTCACGGATGATGCACTCTCTTTTTGGCCTTTTTTGCTTCCTCACCTACTTGCGGAGACTGTATTATATATATAGAGCACGCACGCCGCACTATTGCTATAAAGCCAAATAAACTTCAGCTCTGTGTATATGCCTTTTGACTTTCAATCAATTGTCACGTTGTATGTCCATTTACGGAAATCATGCTCATATACCCATTATTGTTATTCTGGAAGAGGGTACTGCAAGGGGCAGGGACTAGATTCATAATTGCATGCCACACCGGCACTCGGATTTCATTTAATTAGACTATTCATATGATTAATAAATGCAGTCAAACACATACTGTGACCTATCACATCATGCCGTGGCCAGGAAGGAGGTGGCTATCAGCCAAACCGAGTAGCCTGACAACAGGTAAATCCGAGCCAGGGAAATAGGTATGATAGTGGACATAGGTGATGAAACGGACAAACATGGGGTATTATGCAAATTAAACAATAGACTAGGGGATATCGTAATGGCGGTAGTCGTTAAATAGCTGAAATTTCTCGCAGATTGTATCAATCTCCGATTTGGGATTTCAAAAATCGATAGAAAGGCGACTAGCATGATGGGGATGGCCGTGCGACAACCAATGCGTTGATCACATTGCCTTGTTTCCATCCTTGGTCGACTAGGGGTAAATGTTCCTTGAGGATTTTGCCTAGGTAGGCGATTTTTATTCGCTGTGTTTTGGGGATCTGGGTGAGAACGCTGCGCGTTAGCTATGAGATATAATATAGGCCTGATTTGACGTACCTCGGCTTCCTGTTGTAATTTGCGTGCGACATAAGCAACATTCTGCGTTTTTCCGACAGTGACGACCATGTCAGGCCCGCCCCTATCGCTTAGTCGTGCTTTCACACGGATCAAGTCCCGCTCGCTGACCTTGCCCTTCTCATCTCTGCGACGCTCGGCATCGTCGGCGATAAGTTCGTCTCCCGATTCCTCGTCTAATGACAGCTTGTCGTCGTCGGTGTCGAAATCATCCTCTTCGAGGTTGGATTTCACCAAATTCTCTGGATCGCTCACAATGCATTGTGGCAACCTATAGAGGACCCCTTGCTCATCATAGACACCCTGACACAGATCGCCCGTAGGCACCGTGACTCCGGCAGCGTCAATGATGCTCTGAGCCGTGGTGAGATCACCTGTCTGCATGAGCGAAATCGCCGCAGACAGCGCGGCCCAGATCTCAGGTTTACCCGTCACCCGCGTCTCGAAGAACTCCTTGCGCTCCTGATCCAACTGCGCACGATTCCACAGTCGGCGCTTGCTATACCAGACATGACGGCGGATAGGGGCGTTGAAATTCTCATTCAGCGGGAGATGATCCGGGGAGGAACGAATGACGACACGCGCCGAGTTAGAAGGGATAGTGGCGGCGGTGGTTGAATTCACCCCGCGAGAGGACGCATCCGGACGGCGCTCTTCGGTGGCTGTCTGGGTTGCATATGCGGAGCGGTTGTCACGCGAAGTGGACAAGCAACAACCCTGTAAGAAAGAAAGTCAATATAGAGCTACGAAATGGGGTCTTCTGGAGGAACTTGGGTTGACGTGGAGGGGTGCGAATCTGCAAGGATGGTGCTTGTTATGCTAGTGGGAGTAGAAAGAGCTTAGCATTAATGGGAAGGGCTGTACCATTTTGTAGATATTGAAGACTGGACTCCATTCAGTCAGGAAGGATGATGCGAAAGGCTCCAAGATTCCCAAGATATCCTGTATGGGGACAGAGACGTAGTACGGAAGAGTGAAAAAGGACCGAAGACGAGAGCGGAGGGACGGCGTATGGAATGTAATGTTTGTATATACTTGAACGGAAATCGTATGACTGCCTCTGGGAATTTAATGGCCCACGGTCGAGAACCGTCGCATGACGTATTTGGTATGAACTGATAAGAAGCTGGAATGATAAGCGTCGTCTCTGGAAGCAGCCGCTGGGAGAGGCTCAGGACAGAAAAGAAGTCCAAAGGGGGAAGAGCAGGAGAGAAAGAGAGTAAGTAAGAGACGAAAGAGAAGAAGAGGACGAAGAGAAAGGGGAAAAAAAAGAAGGGAATGTAACGAATACGAAGATTATTAAGAAAGGAAACTCTGGAGAAGAGGGGAACCAAAAATCCCAAAAAAAAAAAAGATTCTATTCCATGATTAATTGAGAGGGGAAAAGCAAGCGTAAGAGGCATACGTATGTATCCTGTGAATTACTCCGTACTCCGTGTATCTTAAAAACCTCACACTAGGAGATTTCCAAAGGATGGTTCGCCGTAAAAAATCGACACTTACCACCCCGTGACTGATATTACTACTATTACTACTAGTATTACCACTGCCTCTGCCCTTTGCAGAGACTCTCTCTCTCTCGATGAATTCCAATTGACCGCTGGTTTTGAGAATCTCCAATTCAGACTAGTATATCCAGAGTCCAGACCGATGCTCGCTTGCATTCACCAGAGCTTGGTTGAAGGTGAATACTAATTAAATGTGGTCTCCACCATCCACGCCGTTGTGGGTTCGGTTCTTAATCTTTTCCATTGTGGAGATCCGATTGTGATTCGTCTTCGACTAACTATGCTTGTCACGCGGATCAGTACTCGAGGTGTTCGTCATCCATGCTTCTAAACCTTTCCCTTTCTCTCTTGCCTCTAAAACCCCCTTCAAATTACATATTGTTTTACAGGTCCTTTTTTCACCCCCTTCCCAGAAGAAAACCGGACATCATGTGCAATAAACCGTAGTGAGAAATAAGAGAAGACCAATCGAGTTGCTCAGCTCTCATCATCCTCGTCATCACTTCCGAATATCGCCTTGAAAATTTCCTCGCCTGGTCGCTCCGCCTCCAACGCTTCGTTGCGCTCAGGCTCCACTACAATCGGTTTAGGTTTTTCGACAGCGCCACTGTTAGCGCCTGCTTCAAGCAGAAGTTGATCCATAACCTCCTGCGAGACTAATTCCTTAGGCCCAGTAGTCTGATATCCTGCAGACTGGAACCGTCCCCCAGAGGCAGTGTCTGAAGGTTTGACCGGATCGTTGGGGTCTGCTTGCACATGGTCCGGGGGTTTCACATTAAACCGCTTGCACAACAGACGCGTCGGATAGAACGATATGTTGCTCCGAGTCATCGGGCCAAACATGCCGATCTTTGCGGCCGCCACGGCAGGGTCTTCGGGCTTCTTGGCAGGGTTCTGAAGCAATGAATCTGTCGCAGATGATTCAACCTCATCTGAGGATCCTTTTGGTCCGCTGGAGGCAGACGTGAATCGCGACGCCATGGCCCCCGACATCGGTTTAAAGACCTCTGCAGCGCGAGCGAACTCGTGGAGCTCAGCAGCCCATTCGTCAGTGCTCGACCCAGAAACCCGATCCGGAAGACTTTCTCGGAGTCCCGCCCGGACTTGAAGGAACGTTCGATATCGGGATCGCTTATCTGGATCCTCGGAATAAGGCATCCAACCACTAGCCGCTCGGGTCAAAGCCTGAACTGCGACTTGCTTATCCAATTTGGGAACAAGATCCCACAAATCCTTCCGTTTCTGCGCCTCTGACATCTCGTATCCTTCTGGAGCTTTCTCACCCAATGCTGGCGGTAGGTCAGTCTTCCCTGTTAGTTTGACGATCTTCTCCCTGGACTCAGGGGTCATCCAATCAAAAATAGATTTTCCGGGAAGTTGCGCCTCCCCTAAAAGCACAGCTCGTGATGTGGGGTTTAAAGAAGAAGCCTTAGCTGCCTCGGCTGTAGAAACGTATTTAGATGCATCCCTCTCTTCTGATGGGGTCTTGCTGCATTTCCAATCTTTAGGAACCTCGGGGGGTGCATATTTCTTCTCCTGTGCTGAAATCGTTAAGCTTGAGACGCCTTCCGCTAGCACAAACCCATCTAAGGGCAATCGGCCATCATGGCATTTCCTGAACCCGGTAGAGCTCCTAGAGGCAAGCACCTTCTTGGATATAAAGACCGGTTTATTGTTCAACAGAGGGTTGGATGCCATCTTTGGTTTAGCATCTTCCAGCAACTTCTTTTTCTTCTTTTTGTCTTTCCCGATGACTCGATTATATGAGATCTGAGGCCCTAAGGAATACGGGTCCTCGTCATCTGAACCGGTGTCATTCAGCACACCGACACCAAATGCTCCGCGACGCGACTCCTTTGGGGTTGACCGCTTAGAAATGTCTTGACCAGTCAGTCGCCGCCCAAAGAATGGATCGGCATCTTCGTCAGACTCATCGCCCCCGGCTTTTTGGGAGCCAAGACGAGATTCGCCTTCAAAACCAAGCCCTTTGTGATCTGTCTTATGTATAAAAGCCACCATGCGTGAGTTCTCCGGTGCGAACAAGTACGTCTTGTCAGTGCCTCCGCCACCGTAGGCTGTGTCGTCGCCAAGATGAGCTCTGCGTCGAACCTTAGGACCAATGCCCTGACCCTCTTTCCAGCCCATCCTTTTCAACAGTTTGATTCCCATTGTCTCACCGCCACTTCTAAAAAGGTCCATTAGCCCTCCCCGGCGGTTGGGGTCGACATCTGTAGACCCAAACCCAGAAAATTCATCGGTAGTGTGTAAATTTCGAGATTCTTCTGCCTCCCGGATATCCTCTTCGTCCATGAAGTCTTCTACCCGTTGTTGTCGGGCATCCTTTGCTCGGCTCTGTCGCGAGGAAATAAAAGTTGAGGGAGTCCATCCTTCCTTCGATCCGACGGTGTTGAAGTACCTGAAACATGCGACCACCTTTAGTGTGCTGTCCAACACTATCCATGAATCGTGAGCTCACCCGGCACTAAATCCACCGGTGAAGGCACCATGGAGGCGTTTCCTTCCCCGGTCATCTGTCACCTCCTGTTTCCAGATCGGCACATAAGATCCGTCGTCGCGGACGCCGGCATCCAGCGGCGGAAGAGGAGTCCCGTAAAAAGCATAAGGGGACTCCTGTGCCTGCAGGTCAGCCTCAAAGGCTGCGCGAGCCCTTTTGCCAGACATTTGCAGGTGACGCAACGCTAGAATTGGCCGTTAAACGCTGGTCATTTTGTAAGGCTAGTGTGACGACATATCAGTCATTCCATTCCAGAAGAGAAATGGCACACATACGAGCCCAAGCATACCTAAGTAGAGCAACGCAGTTAATGTGATGCTATATTCAAGCCCAAGTCCACTGTAATAGCGGTAACTTTGGTTGTCGCTGCAACGGCGGAGGTGTATTGAAGCCGATAGCACACCTACTGGGATGCATCATGGGTCTGTCCAGGCTATATCATGTGACGAGGCGGTGCTCTCTACAGGCCGCCACATATATGTGGCGGAAGCACGTGTCACGAGGAGGTGTGAGACTCCGTACTCAGTATGCCGAGTACTAGTTGTACGGTATGAAGGTACATGAAATTGACTTTATTGGAATGGACCCAACCTAGGCTCTTTCCGAGTGAGAACTCCGTCCCGAACCAGCACATTTCTAATGCTTAGTCCGTCGCCATAGAATATCAGATTACCGTAGTCTAAGACAATGATTCAGTTATCCTTATAATTATTATAAAAGGGGCTTGTGCCCCTAAATACGAGTAGAGCTGCGAGTATTTACCTTGCTCCAAAGTTGGCAAGGGAAGAACCCCGGCGGCCCAGTTCGCTTCTATGAAGAGGAAACCTAATGGGGTATGAAGAATGACGTTGTGGTATGTAATCGTTAGGTACCCGAATCTAGAGAAATGCTTCATTCTTTTCTATTTGTATTAGAGTTGGTGATAGAAAGAGTGAGAATGGATTGCATTAGTGCCTTCCGCTCTGAACCAATTCGATGAGTCCATTGGACCCAAGCTACTTATACCATGGTACCTGTTAAGTAGTTACTACTCTGGGCCCTGTCTTCATACTGGACTTCATCCATACAGAGTATACTTATGATTGTGCATACATTGGTCTAGATGGATGTGTATATAGAGTATATATATATATGCAAGCCTAGTCTCATTTGAGATGGAAAACCCTGTTTTTTATCACAGACAATGCCTCCGTGGTGACGTCAAGCTGTTATGTACGGTACATCAGGCTCAAGCAGCTCTTTGTATTCCGCTCGACTGGTAAGAATTTATTTTTATTGTCACTTGGATGCTACGGTGCCCGAGGCACCACGGAGTATACCCCAACGTGAATGGTTGAGCATGCACAACGAGTCTTTCAAAATGGATCATATAGTAAGTTGAAACTCCTGAGTAGCCCACTCGAGTCTAAGAGCTTATAAAACTATATCTTACTACCACATGTAGCTAATAAAGAGCCGATGGGATCATCTGGCTGCTCACAGGTAAATGTCATCAGGACATACTCGGTATGTACATACATACAGGCCATACGAATTTCTCGTATTAATACCCCCCATGATACCTTATCACGGTTAGTTTAACTTTGGGTTTTTTTTTTTTTTTTTTTATTTTTTTTTAATTATGTATAGCCATATTTATTCTATTTTCTTTTCTCTCTTTTTTTTTTCATTTTCCCCTGCATATTACCATTGCTAGGGATAATCGAAATTATGCTAGGAGAAAATTGTGAACGAGGCTACGATGGAGGACGTGATAATTTAAGCAGTAAAATGTGCAGGTCATAGGTTGCCTCCACATGGTGCCCTAATTGGGACAAAACAATAGACTATCGCAATAACCATTACCACGTCCACTTTAAACCCGTGGTACTAAACATAGTACAGATGATACTACTAACATACCTGACGTTACCGTTGTGACTGATTTGCGGCCCCTGGCCCCGTGTCTCTTTCTCCGCAGCCGCATCCATCGTTAAGTCAAACTAACCCACTGCTTGTTTCTCAACCATCATTGCACTTGCTTTCTGTTCTTTCTTTCCTTGTGTTCAGTCTCCGCGGTGCTCCCTTTTTTTTATTTTTTTTTTCTTTATGTTTTTTTAGTTCATCTTCCCTTTTTTCTCAATTTGACTCAACGTGTATATGGGGGCGTATCGAACCGTCTGCTGGACGTTTCGACGCCTGGCTTGAGCGCTTGTCAGCAAACCGCCATTCTTTCCCCCCCGCTCCCCCGACCGGTCCTTGACATACCAATAGTAGTACTTAGTATTGTGTCTCCCCTTGAACATTATTGCCCCAAAACCGATCCGCTTTCAAACCACCCCCCCTCCCATCACCCAAAATTTTCGGGTTGAGTGAAGAAAAGCTTGGGCCATCATTGACTTGGGGCTGTTCTAATTTCGCATCGTGATGTCCACAACTGCCCCATCGTCAGCGTCGCCATCGGTTGTCCGCAGCCATTCCACAACCTCCCGACCTCCTTCCCATCGTCCTGTTGTCTCGTCCGATAATCCTCACCGAACCCGAAGTGTCGCAGTTAGGCCCGCGACAGCTCATCAGTCCTCTCCACAACACCACTATCATCACTCGCAGTATTACCATTCGCATTCCCATTCCAAATCACAATCTTATGATCGCCGGCCCCCTTCGAACCACGCGGTATTTGACAACATAGCTCGTCGAGATTTTGAGCAACCGGTAACCACCCGTCGGAGCAACTCGAGAGAGCGGTCTCAGGAGCGTCCATCTACTGCTTATCGTGCCGAGCCTCCTTCGAATAAACATCACCGGAACTTGTCCGTCCAGGGTCACCAGCGGGATAGCATCGATATGGCTGCCGCAGGGCCTGTCATGGCCGAAGGTGTCGCTGGCCCGCAGCAGGTTGCTTCGGGCTCGCGCCTGCATCCGGGTACCATGCCGTCGAAGCGTCGCACGACAATCACCACCCCGTCAGGTCAGTGGGCTTTAGGGAAAACCCTAGGAGCAGGGAGCATGGGCAAGGTCAAGGTCGGGAAAAACATCGAGACCGGAGAACAGGTGAGCATATCTTATCTTGAGTCGGTGGATTCGTTCAATTAACCTTGTTCATCTCAGGTGGCCGTTAAGATCGTACCCAGGCAGTCCACGGAGGAACATCGGAGCTCACGCGATGCTGAACGTGCAGATCGTTCGAAGGAAATTCGGACAGCTCGAGAAGCCGCCATTGTTAGCCTTGTGAACCATCCATATATTTGTGGTATGAGAGACGTGGTGCGAACCAATTACCACTGGTACATGCTCTTCGAGCTGGTCAATGGTGGTCAGATGCTGGATTATATTATATCCCATGGGAAACTAAAGGAGAAGCAAGCACGGAAATTCGCACGGCAAATTGCCGGTGCGTTGGACTACTGCCACCGCAACAGCATTGTGCATCGTGACTTGAAGATCGAAAACATCTTGATCAGCAAAACCGGTGATATCAAAATCATCGACTTCGGTTTGAGTAACCTCTTTTCCCCCAGGAGCCTTCTGAAAACATTCTGTGGTAGTCTTTACTTCGCCGCTCCGGAACTACTGCAAGCGAGACAATATACCGGGCCGGAGGTGGATGTCTGGAGCTTTGGGATCGTTCTATACGTCTTAGTCTGCGGAAAGGTACCGTTCGATGATCAAAGCATGCCAAAGTTGCATGCGAAAATCAAGCAGGGCGTGTTCGAGTTTCCGCAGGGGCTGTCCGCAGGTTAGTAACACTATACGCCCACTGCACTCCTAATGTTTGGATAGTCACTGAATTATGTGTAATGGCAGAATGTCGCAGCATCATTTCGCGCATGTTGGTTACCGACCCCAAGCAGCGCGCAAGTTTAACGGAAATCATGAACCATCCGTGGATGAATAAAGGATATAGTGGCCCTCCTGAAAACTATCTTCCACACCGCGAACCATTGCAGCTTCCATTGGACCCAGAAGTCATCGAGAAAATGACTGGCTTCGATTTCGGCTCGCCAGAATATATCACCACGCAGCTCACCAAGATCTTAGAATCAGAAGATTATCAGCATGCAGTAAGAACAAGTATACGTGAGCACCCGGCGCCGAATCATGGAGAGAAGAAGCGTGGCATGTTCGATTTCTACAAGCGGCGAAACTCGACGAGCCGAGACACCCTCTCCGCCCCTTCTGCGGAGGCTGTTCAACTGGGAAATGACCCTTTGAATGCATACAGTCCCCTATTGTCCGTTTATTACCTTGTTAAGGAGAAGCTCGAGAAAGAACGGGCCGAGAAAAATCCGGGGACTCTTGGTGTTCCACACTCAGCCGGAGATGCTATGCTCCAGATGCCCGACCTCCCAGCGCCGGAAGCGGCACACACCAATCAGTATCAAGTGCCAGGGGAGAAGGACAATACCAGGCGGGCTCGTCCTCGAGCCAGGACCCATGGTGACGATGACCTCGCTGAGGGGGTTAAAAATCTCCATCTGGCGCCTGGACAGGGATCTCCTGCTCCCACAGCGTCACAACCTGAAACCCCTATAAAGAAAGAAAGCACTGCAGCGGGTATCCTGAGGCGATTCAGCACCCGCAGAACAAAGGATCGCGGCCGCGATCCAGACCGTGGCAGGGTTTCCAGCCCCCATGCCCCATCATTAAATGTTCAGCCACCTGCCGACTCGGCCTCCCCATTATCTAGAGGATTTAGCATGAGAAGGGCCAGACGTGCCGAGCCAACTCCTGCAAATATTCCTTCTGTAGGAAGCCAGCCGCAGCACCAAGATCTTCTTAAAGCCCCTGGATCAGAAGAGCCGGCCTCACGATCCAACAAATCCCTGGGAAGATCGACTAGTGTCAACTCGGCTGATTACCGAGCTCGGCGGGCAGCACGCAGGAACGATCAAGATGGGGCAGGCCAACCACCCCCAACCAGTGGGTCTGATTATTCTGGCGCGAGTGCACATAAAGACCAGACACCCCAGAAGGAGACCAGGACGGGTCGCACACATGCCTCAAGAACGATGTCACTCGGCCATGCTCGCCGTGAAAGTATACAGGCTCGTAGGGCCAGACGGGATGCTACTAGAGAAGCAAATGTTCCCGAGGAGACTGATGCAGATATCTCTGGCGCAGGAACTGCCCTGGAAAGTGCAAATGAAGGGGAAGATCTATCGAAACCAGTATATCTCAAGGGTCTTTTCAGTGTTTCCACCACTAGTAGCAAACCACTCCCCGTTATTCGAGCCGATATTATTCGCGTCCTTAGACAGCTCTCCGTGGACTACGTCGAAATCAAGGGAGGCTTTAGCTGCTGCCACACACCGAGCATTGAGATAGATAAAGTGGTCGATGTCGGGCCTCCAAGCCCCGATAGGCAGGGTCACATGTCTAATCACCGTCGACGTATCAGTTTCGGAGGGTTCCTGGGGCATGATGATGGCAAGGAGGAGGTTCGACACACCCCCAGGTCCCAGCGCCGAACCCGTGCTCCGGATCATAGCTTCGTCACCAATTCAGAGGCATCCGAAGAATATCTTGCTGCACGTGACAACAATGTGGTAATCGGAGAACGCGTCATGGGTGAGACTACCACGCGAGTTCAAAGCGACACCGGAGAGAACTTGGTTCTCCGATTTGAAATCCTTATTGTCAAAGTGCCGCTGTTCTCTTTGCACGGTATCCAATTCAAAAAGGTGTCCGGCGGCATGTGGCAATACCGAGAGATGGCCAAGAAAATTCTGGACGCCCTGAAACTCTAAGATGCATTTTTAATCTTCATACGATAGCATGAGACACTACTATCAGTCATAAGAATTATGATTGATGCGAATGGTCGGTATCATGAAGCATTTGCATGAGCGTCATGTTTTTTGTCGTACTTTTCCTATGTGGTTTTTTTTTTGTCCCATCTTGCCTCTACATGAATTACCGTCAGCTTTTGGTTTGCATTATATTGAGCTGGCTCAGTTTACAAGCCGCTGTTACTGGTCTGTCTTGGTGTATATTAGAACCGAGCAAGGATGATGCATCATGGATTACAGTCGATTTGCCCTTCGTTCCATGTGGCTATTGGCGTTGTTTTGTATATTTGTCCCGAAGTTGTTGCATGGCACCTTATAATGTAATTCCGCATGTCATGTAGGTCTAGAGCTAGACCTCTTGCACGTAGCATATAATCTACTAAGTACCAAACATTTTATGACCAACGCGACTTCCACAATAATATGAGTTTGTCTAAGTAGTCACCGGTGTGCTGATCGAATTGCCTTTACAATAATGCTCAACAAGGCCTGGCTAGCGTCAGTCATGGAGTCAGTGACAGACATGCTACATTAAAGGGCCGTGGCCCGCCGCTGGGATGCTGTTGTTATATATGCAAATTGTACATACGAGGTGTTTGATGATATATAAGGGTAAAATTAATTTCTCCTGAATAAAATCGTGCAATAAATTTGTACCATAAATTATAATAGAAAACTGTACGAAAGCGTTGCTTGGCAGCTTGACCAAGAGCTCAACGATACTTTCTACTGTATATATTTACGATTAACGAAGTTTGGTTGCTTGGGGGACGATCACTTTAGGATTCTAATCTCTACCAACCTTACCTCTTGTCAATATATTGCTTGAAAGCAGCTCACAGCAACTGGTTGGTAAGATATATGTAATATAGCTCTATAAAATATTGCAGTGAAGTTGGTAAAAATGTGGATATATTAGCACCCATCCGGTGAATGAATACTAACTGTACTATAGCTAGCGTAAACCGTAGTACCCAGTGGAAGAACACACCCTAGGGCGTGGCTCTAACACATATTCTCCGGGCTCCTGATATGTCTTTGCACGATCTGGCACCAACCTGACCAGGCCCTGAGCACACTCCGAGGACCGGGGCCCAGGCCCGAATTGCAGCCCGTAAACTATATACCAAGAGCTTCGGTCTTGACTTCTTCACTCTTCATTCCCATGAAGTTATGGTAGTTAAGTAGAGAATGAGAGCCCTATAGTTTAGCTTGTGTATTTAACCCCTTTCCGCTCCCCATGGGCTGTTCATTCCATAGGAACTACCTTTCCCAATGGCGAGCCTAGCTACCGCTAGTGTGCCGGCATCGCTGGTTGCCGGGACACGCACGCCCTGCTGGGTGCAAACCGTGACTATTACTAGTTAGCCACCTCGGGCCAAGGAATTAGGACTGCCCCTAAGATTTAGGGCCCACCAGGGCGTAGCCCCGGCTTTGTCGTGCCCGGGCGCCACCGTCACGGCGCCCTGGACTTAGCGGCTGCCCAGCCCTTCTAGGGTAATGGGCCCCTTAGCCTCGAGATTCCAAGAGGCTCTTCTTAAAAAAGCCTAGTTTATGATTTCGAAATTTCAATATAATAAGTAGATATGCGGTGGCGCAACTGTAACGGCGGTATACTATATAGATGCCCCCAGGGTATTCGGGATCGTTGATCCCGAATTATATGACCTGTTGGCCTTGTGGAATAGGGTGCCCTGGCTCTATCTCTTACAGCAACTTACAAGGATAAGAAAAAAATATATTCTGGCTTCTCTGAGTCCTCCTGGCTCCCTGTTCAGTGTTTCTATTGAAAATAATAGATAGTACGAGCTATAGTCTCTGAGTTGTGACTTCCAAGTTATAGCTGAGAAAATGGTGGCCAGAAGTATACCAGATTCTGACCAGTTGGTGGTTCGCCGGTGACCCGGGGTGCCATACAAAACCAGTTGGCAGATCAATGGCTTTGTAGTTCACTTGCGCTTATCTGGTGAAATTATCTTTAAGAAAAAAATTGGTATAATAAATCAAAAATAATATTGAAGTATACCTAGGGAGTATTCCCATACTCACCTAGTCTATCTTGTATTTGGTTGACCTCTGATTTGATTTTCTTGATCTCAGATACGGACCGCAACGGTCGGGGTGGCCGGCCAGAGTACTTTTGGTGTCCCGGTTGCAAAATGCAAGTAACACAACTGCGGCATGCCTCTGGCTGCACTGTCCTAATAAGTTTTTATTTACTCTGTATATACAAATCCATAATTATTCCAGAAATACAAGTTATGCCGAATTTCGAGGTCTATTTCGAGATCACTGATTAGGCACTCAATATCAATGCTACGCGGCAAGCCATCGGCCCATCGCAGAAACAACAACTAGAGTCTGTACATCTTTCAGCAGCTCTATTATGTCCACCAATGCCTTTATTTTAATTGTAAAAGTAGATTTATATCTAGGAAAATCTACTTTATATGCCCAAGTAGTTTGAATCATAGATTTTTCAAGTTGGTAGAAGCCCGTGTTGATTGGCCAGTTTTGGCCCATTGTGGCTGGCGGCACGGGCGAAAGTTGAAACCACATGTCTGGTTTTAGGTTCTTTTTTTATTATTGTGTTCTTTGTACCATATCATAATGGTTTCTAATCCCCTGTAAGCCATGACCTGCCCTCTGACTAGGAGATAGAGGTGCAGTGAGTGGATAATAAAGATAAGAATAATATAGAAAAGCCTCCGGGCTCCTTAATCTTTGTTTTCTTTTCAAGTTTTCCCTCGAGATCTCTTCTATAAAGAAGTAGTTAGATTCTGATGATTTTTGATATCAAGACCCATGACTAAGCAGCAAAAAAACACCCCGAATAGGCTTAGCTCCATGGACTAGCGCCAGCATTAGCGTCATGAAATCCAAATCCAACTCTCCTGATCTTCATCCCCATGTCTCCGTCTTCCTGAAGTTCCTTTTCGCTACCCTCCACAAGGCCGTTTCCTCGGCCTATCTCTTCCTCAACTTACTATTTTCAGCTCTATCTCATTGTGCCTGTCAAGATGGTCATCGATTTGACAGGAGATTCTGACTCTGAGGACCAGATCCGCTCGCAGGTCAGTTTTACTTTTATGTGGTTCTGAGACCATGGGTTTAGACCCGGACATGTTATTGTCAACAAATCCAGTGTTTACTAGCCACAACGGCCAACTAGTATGGCCGCTATCATATACAACATCCTTGATATACTGCCGTCATGAATCATGATATTCTCTTACTTTGTCTAAATCATCCCGAGGGATTTTTATCTTATTTAACTCCCTCCTTTCTTTTGTCCTTATACTTTTCATATCCTGCCGTACAATAACTGCAATTTTTATGTTATATTACTGTCCAAATCTTCTCAACTTTCCTTCACTTTTCATTGACCTTCACCACGCATCCTCTACGATGTCTCTCAACTAATATTATAATTAGCTACACTCAAATATTCAGTCGGCCTCACCAAATTTTTTCACCCACCTAGCACATCGGACACCGTTATCGTCAGTGCCTCTGAAGAGAAAGTCGGAGAAGAGTGCCGAAGCTGAGCTATACGAGGCCTTTTTCAATTTCAAAAAAAAGCCTTCAGCACCCTCAGTAGGATCCTCTGCAGCTTCAAGTTCTGTCCCCCATCAGAACAATACGCCGAATGGCTGTTCCATAGCTACAAAGCTTCAACCTAGCACCCCGAGCCCAAGTCCAGTCATCAGGGAGCAGAGTCTGCCGGCACGGGCCATCAGTGTTGTAGTTCCTTCTCCATCCGGACAGCTGAAGAAGGAAATTAAGTCTGCTAAGTGGGCGTCAAGCTCTCGAAGTCGTACCCCTGAGCTGAAGGGAGTCTTGGAGAAATTCTACCCAACTAACGCACATGTAGAGCGCGGCCTTAAGGGTGCTTATCCAGCGGCGAGGAAAGTCAACCGTGCTGCGATCCCTCTGCCTATCGGCACACCCGGGCCCATCTTAAAGAAGAGACCAGACGCCCTTGATCAGCAATACCGCACTCTACAGCGCAAGCTTTCTATGATCAAGGGGCCTAAAGTCACATTTGCACCAGATGATGGACTAAAACTCGCAAAGGTTACCGCCAATTTTGAGTTCATTAATAGCTATAAACTTCACAAAGGGGTTTCTCCTGCTCCAGCTGAGTTCATTGGTGGCTGTAGCTGTGGTAAATACTGTGATCCTGAGAGGTGCCCATGCTCTGAAAAGGAGGATGATTCAACTGACAATATCATTCCGTACCAAAGAGCTAGGGACCGCCCAGACCTTCTAGTCCTGACTCCAGAATTTCTAAAGCGCTCGACAATGATCTTCGAATGCGGCACGAAATGTGCCTGCGATAAGGGCTGCTGGAATAGGGTCGTGCAGCGTGGCAGGACTGTGGAACTAGAAATTTTCCACACTGGCAATCGTGGCTTTGGTAGGCTCACATCTCTCTCTCTTTTTTTTTTGTAATTAGCAAAGAAACTCTACTAACATCCAAAAAATAGGCCTCCGGTCTCCCAGTTATATCAGAGCGGGCCAGTTTATCGACTGCTATTTAGGAGAGGTTATTACCAAACAACACGCAGATATTCGCGAAGAGATCGCCGTGAAAAATGGCCATTCCTATCTCTTTGGACTCGACTTCTCTCCCGAAGTTGATGAAGAAGACATCTATGTCGTGGATGGACAGAGGTTCGGCTGTGCAACTCGTTTCATGAACCACTCCTGCCGACCGAATTGCCGGATGTTCACCATCACTAACACAATCGGAGACGAGCGGCTCTACAATTTGGCTTTCTTCGCCTTGAATGACATACCACCGATGACCGAATTGACCTTTGATTACAACCCCGGCACAGAGAGAAGCAAACAGGTTGACTCTAGTGTCGTCGCTTGCCTTTGTGGAGAGGATAACTGCCGAGGTCAACTCTGGCCGAGTAAACGCAAGGGCACCAAATAAACTGTATTATCCTCTCGCCTCGGCAACCTATCTATTCGCCTGTCTCCCTCGCCTTGCATCTTCATCTCTGACCCCTTTTCCCACTACCGTCTCAGACTTCTTTTGTATGTACCATACGTGCTTCATTCAGCGTCAGCGTTGCATTGGGAGCGTTTGCACAACCACACCCGGCGTTTCTATCGTGGAGGAGCGATCTTACTTTTTTTTTTTTCTTCTCTCTCTCTCAAAAGTGCATATTCTACAGGATGAGGCTGGTCTTCTCTCCGACATAATCGGCTATTCCCACGGCGTATCCTTGGATTCGGTATGGACAACTGTTCATCGCCCATTTAGGGCTATTACGATACATGTACATGTTTCATTGATCTGCATCCGTGGAAGGAACAGACGCGTTTTTTCTTGCCTGATCTTTCATTTAAGTGGCAATTTCCTCCGTTTCTCTTTTTCCTTACGAATTTCTTTGGTGCATACTTGAGGATTACTCATCCAATTTGGCCTGCATCTTGATTGACTGGTATGATTTTATTATTGGAGCTGGGTGCTGCTTTTCGTTGTTGATAGCCTGATTGAAGAATATCCCTGTACTGGCACAGCGCAACGTCCTCGACTAGATATCAGCTAGATAGCTGAAATCAATAATGATCATTACAGTTGCTGCTCCTTTACTCAAATCGACAACGATATTCATGATAAACTGCAGCGATGGGAAGGGAAAGATACGTAGTATATTCCATCATGGACACTCATCTAAAAAAGACTACCAAATCACATCCGTTCTTTCTATATCGAATCGGTTGACGCCGTTGACGCCGTTGACCGTTGACCGTTGACCCAAACTCCAAATCAACCAATCAACCCAGTTGATAACACCTTTGTCCGTATATGCAGCAGATAGCCAGCCACCCATTATCGCTAATTACTATACCAAATCGCTTCACGGGTAGCGATGATAGCAAACGTAGAGTCAAGAAAGAGAGTAAGAAGGCAAGATAAGAAAGAAAAGAAGAAAGAAAGAGGGCGAAAGTGAGCCAAAAAAAATAAAAATAAAAATAAAAATAAAAAAAAAGAGCGAAAAACTTCAAGCACGCCCCTCCATGACCTCGAATATACCACCCATGACGAACCGTGGCTGGGACACTTGCGACGCCTGACTCTGGCCGGACGACCGATCGCCCGCGACAGAAGAGAAAATATTGGCATTCAGGTCCATCGGGATCCCGACCGGGTCGACAGGGCGCGGCTCCATGAGGTCGAGACCTTGTCGCTCGATGGCATCCTCGTCACACCGGGTACGTTCCTCGCTGAGGGCTAAATCGACCTTGGACGGACGATGGCGGAGGAAGACAAGCGAGGGCCGACGGAAAACGGATGACAGGCGGAAGGGGCTCTGGCTGCGACTGCCGGCGTCGCTGGTGTCGGAACGGGAGCCGGAGGTCGGGCGGTAACCACGGTTGAAGCGGCGGAATGGGGAGGTGGGCGACGAAGTGGGACTGTTGGTAGTGGAGCTGAGAGGGCTGGCCGTGGAATAGCCATCGCTGCACACGCGGTCTTGAGGAGGTTGGAACGACGTGTGCAGGGAAAGGCCGGGAGTCGAGGTGAGGTTGGGACGCATTTTGGCCTGGTGGGAGGGTTGGTTTAATTTTTTTTTTTCGATGAATGGGTACGGTCAAATGTGATGTGTAGCAAATCGACGGTGCCGTGCCGACTCTTTTTAAGGTTGATGGACTCCGGGATCCTTTTGGCCTCGTCTTGAGCGGGGGAGGCGATATTGAGTTTAGGTTTCGATGAGATTTTCAAATGAAGGGGGAAGTGGTCCTAACCCGGGGGTGGTTCGGACGGGGCCTTCGTCTGTGTTGTGACACGTCGAATGAATGGGCGATGGAATGCCTGGTAGTGGACGGATGGCTGGCTGGCAGGTATAGATCGCAAAGTAATGGCCAAACGAATGGATTGATTCGGGATCACCAGCGAGTCATTTCAGGCCGGGTGAGAACAACACAGGACAAGTCCCGATGTAAAGTGAGATCAGAAGAAGAATAATAATACGATCGACAGCTCACCCACACGGGAACGGCAGCAAATGAACAGGGACGAAGCAACGTGAGAGATTGATGGCTGGATGAAACAAAACAAAAAACCACCAGACCGCGAGAGAGAGAGAAGAGAGAGAGAGAGTTCCGTGGATGATCAGAAAATCAAATAATCGAGTCAATAGGTCGTGTATGTGAGAGAGAGAGAGAGAGAGAAGGACCGACCGATCGAGAGACGGAGAGAAAGAAGAGAAAAAGAAAAAAGTAAAAGTAGAGACAGAGAGAGAGAGAGAGAGGGATAAGTGTCAGAGCGAGACCAGGAATAACAGGATCCTTTATAAGGATCGGAGGATTTCCATCTCCAGGATATTCATCGATCGGAAATGGTCTGCAAGGATGAGCTCGTGAACGAGGAATCCCATTCAACTCCTGCGCTCAGGTCATCAATCGTTTATTTAATTTTCCTTTCTATTCTTTTCTTTTCCTGTAATGGATGAGTTGTCGCCGACGAACGCAGCGCAAATGGGATTGTTGACCGAGATGGAAAGGTCACGGAGGAGGCTGCAAACGTCGAGTGCTGCCCGTTTCCGTCTGTCCAGCTTCCTCTGATCTCATCCGGACCCCGTGGCGAAGGGGTTCTTGAAGGGCAAACACTATTGTTTCTTAGTGACGGCCATCCCTCCCAATCCGGTAATCAGGGCTTTCTCTACTAAGTCGGATTTCTCTCTCATCGCATTCCTCTCCTCTCCTCTTCTCTTCTCTTCTCCCCTCTCTCCTCTTCTCTATATTCCCTGAATCTATCCACATCCGACTCTCCATCCCAATGGAACATAATCACTTCATTTCGCCCTCGCGCCACCGCTATGCAATTATGTACTCAAGTCTAGCGGATCAATCATGATATCTGTACAAATCTTACATAACCAACATCAAAAAACTTAAAAAAAAAAAAGAAAGGGGGGAAAAATAATAAAAAAGAAACAAAGAAACAAAGCCTTCGTTATACATACATAGTCAACGTTAGTCTCAAAAACTTCATCACAACATGGCTCATACCCCTTCCTCCCCACCAAATCCGGCCTTTCAGCTATCCCGTCGTCGACGCTGGGTAAAGCTCCGACGGATACTTTCACCCCATATCGAGTCATCCAACGTTTGCATCACGTCTTGCGCACTCATCACACTGTTCTGTCGTGATCGCCCGGGAGCCAAAGACAACTCGTCATGTAGATCCGGCCCATCTCCATATGATGACGTCGTATTCGCTCGAGCACGGTTCGGCGAGAGAGACGGGCTGATGCTAGACCACTCGGTAGGGGAATGCGTCACCGACATCCGCCCAGCCAAAGTAGTGTCAATCCGTGGCAGGTGGCCGGGCTGCGAGGACGGGCCACCTTCTCCTCGTGTGGGTGAGAGGGGTGACAGCATGGGCTGCGACGACGACGATTCTCCATGATCATCACCGGCTTCTGGCGCCGTCGCCCTCACCTCTTCTTCGGGATCGTCGTCCTGGGTTCCATCGTCCACAAAGATCTCCGGCACTGTGAAGTTCGGCACTGCGGTCATCCGAGCCGATCGACTACGCTCGACTTGTCGGCGGAATTCCCGGGACCAGTAGAGCGTGTCGAAGAACCCAATGACCGTCTGTCGACGAACGGCTTCCTCGACGCGTTGGAGCCTTGCTCGTCGACGCAAGAACTCTTCGAGCTTTAAGCTCTTGCTGTCGTTGATCACATTGTAATGTGCGAGGATCATTAGGCATGAGTGGAATGAGATGCCGCGCACTGGGTCCGCGGAAACCTTGACTTCCTCATAGAAAGTGTTGAGTCGTTGCCGTCGCTCACGGACATCGTCAACTGGGATACGTCGCAGAATCTTAGCCATCTTCTCAAGGTCTACCCCGTCGACCACCCTTCGGTGCGCAATCAGCGAGTCTCTCCTATCGACTCTACATTCCTCCAAGATGCGTCCGATCGTGAATTCGTCGTCATATATGCGCATCGAAAAAACCCCCGAGAGCTCCTGCATACCATTTAGTGATTTGGGCGAGGCAGAAAACGAGACACGGCGCAGAATCGGGGGCAAAAGATATATAACTTACCCCTAGTAGTCGTGGGAATTGCTCCTTAGAGATATATCCGGTCCCATCAGGGTCATACGTCGCCCAAGCTTGCTTGAAGCGGCGAATTTCCTCACGACTGATTGCATAGAGCCCGCTGCTTCTCTGATACACATACGAGAAGCTCTCGAATATCAGAGACACGAACAACGAGACGAAAATATACATGCTAATAATGTTCCACGCAATGAAAAGCGTTCGAGCCCATGCCGCACTGCCACAGTCGTCGTTTAAGAAATCGTCATTAGACGTACAGATCGGAGGTACCATTGTGGCGAAATCTTCCATTACTTGATTCCATCCTTCGCCGCAGCTCATTCGGAAGAGCAGGATGAGCGACCTTGGAATGTCTCGAAAATTGATATTGTTGTTTTCCTCGCCACCGAATTTCGTAAGACCAAAGGTTTGGTTCAACGCAATAGCGAAGACAAGGAAAAGGACCAACCAGGTTGCAAGGAGGTTACCTATTGCCGTAAAACTAGCTGCGGCTGTCTTAAAAAGCTGATCAAGTTGGTTGTTCCGTGGGATAATCAAGAGGGTAATGGCCACAAGGAAGAGCTTGCTTAGTTCCACGATGACTTGCCGGTTTGACACAAAATTTAGGATTGTCATCACGATGGTACCCGGGACTACAAGCAACGAATAAAGGTCCCAGGAGCTTCTACTAAATCGATGCCAGCCCAGTCCGAACAGCCGGATAATGAGATTCGCGGCGTAGAAAAAGTTGAATATGAGAAACAACACCTCTAGAAGACAGGCTCTCGTGTCAGTAATGTAAGAATTTTCCTAGATATCTCGTCAAGCCACTCACCTCTGCAAAACTCGAAGAGAAAGGGCTCTGGGTAGTACTC